TTTGATTTTTTTACGTAAATTATATGGATAATATATATAAAAAATATATTTTATATTGAATATTTGATAAAATATTTATTGAGAATCCTGTTAAGAAAAAGAAGCAAACAAATCGTTTTTAATAAAAGTATATTTCTTTTGTATGTAAAAATCATGTAATTTTACTTAAGTACATAGACTACAAAATATTAGTATTTGATAAAAATAAACTAACGGTATTATTAAAATTTTATAAGAGAATTAATAAATAATAATAATAAAATAATAATTATTTATTAAAACATTATTCAACACACATGATTTTCAATAAAAAAAAAAAAAAAACACATTATTTTTTTTCAATTGCAATTTTATTCTACTAAATCTTTTGTGGTATTAGCCAATTCAAATCTCATTTTTATAATAAAATTAACATATCATTTCACTTTTATAAGTTCATTTCACATGACTAGTCATTCTTTACTAGAATATTGATACAAGATTGTATTATATTTAGATACATTTTAAATTTCATATTTAAAAAAAAAAAACTGAAAATAACAAAACTTTAAAATAAAAATAAGATATTTGAAGTGATGTAATAAATGTTGAATAAAAATAATTTCTTAATACAATAATTTAAATAAAATATATGCTCTTATAAAAATAATAAACAACTATTTAATTACAAATTGAATATAAATATAATAATCTAAAATAGAAATAAACTCAGTCATAATTTATTTAAATTTTTTAATGTAAATAATATAATGTGCATGTTATATGTTGAAGAATTGATTGTGGGAAGGCCCATCTTGACTATTATAATTTTAATAAATTTATTTAAAATTTAATGCCGCATATATAGATAGATATAATATATATATATATATTGATTCAATTTTATTTTTTTTTTAAAAAAAATCACTAATTTCTTTTTTCTAGACTATTACATTCAATTTAAGTAATAATGGTAATAATAAATTAATAATAGTAATATAAAACACAAATACAAAAGTATAGTAGACACACCAGAAATGTTGAGCCAATTTCGACTGTGTAGAAACCTAAATCAGAACTAGGGTCTTTAATGTAATTTAAGAGTTTAAATTAATTCAGTAGTTAAATTCGTTTTATTTTATTTATTTTTTATTATGTTTGTATATTGTAGTGTCTTGAATTCAATATTTTTTTTTTTATATATTTTTAATACTATATGACTAAATAAAGAAGAAAATAAAATTTACAATAGTACAAAATAACAACCTATTTTAAAAGATAATATAGGGAAGTGTGCCATAATCATGTCCAAGTAGATATATTGCAAATATTATGGCAAACATAATAAATTTTAATATGATATAATAATAATAATAATATTACTTCATATGTCCCGTATCTATTTTTTCATTTTAATTCGTCTCATAACAAAGTATTCATTTTTTTTAATAATTGTACTATCTATCTAATATTACAAATATCCTTACAACTTACAATATATTATACAAATGTCATTACATTTATATCACACATACTAATAAGGTTATTTTAGTTATTTCTATTTTATTCTTACTATATCTTAATATAATACTAATATTTCTACGTACAAAAAGCAAATTGATATTTATTTATGGGACCGAGGGAGTATATGCTTATTAGGTATGGGTTCAATGGACATTATAGCAAACATAATGAATTTTGATTGTTTATCCTCTTGAATTCATTTTTTTAATGAAAAGGTAAAAGTATTTATAATAATAACTTGAATGAAAATAAATTTTAAATATAATATTTTAAGTAAGAAAATATTTGTAATTATGCCTTATATTTTTACTATTATTATACAAATGTTACCATTTTCTAAATTTAAAATAAAATGCACAATCATTAAAAAAAAAAAAAAAATGACAAAGAGACTTCTAGATATTATTGTGTACCTACTACCAATAAAATATTTAATACTTCTTTAAATTTCATGCCACAAAAGTATGCATCAATTATAGTACAAGGGTAGCATGATTCAATATATATATATTTTTAGATATTTTAAAGGACTTTTTACATTCAACATGCCTATATATATATATAAGAGGTGAATTTTCTATTAATTGAGTTAAATCAGTATTTATATAATAAAAATAGACAATATATATATAATATACTATATTTATATTATGTCACAACAAATTATTATTATCTTGATACTTCGTAATATTTAATATATATATATGTATGTATTTGTTCAAATGATTCAATAAATCTCTTAAACGATTAAGAAAAAAAATCTATATATAAGATTGAAAAATAATCCTTGGGTGTGTCTTCATGATTGTTATTTTGTGAATCTTCTGATTTTTTTAACTATTCTATTCATTTTTTATTTTAAAAATATTAAATAAATTCTTTTTATATTATATAAAAAAATATTTTGATATTCAAAATATTATATCAGTAACTATTTACATTAAATTAAATAATTGTTTTAAATTTAAATTTACTTTTAAAAAATAGAAACTCAATTCTGTTTGAATTTTGTCATTTCAGATTAAAATCAATATTATTTATAAAAATATATCATTTTATTTCAAATTATCTTAAATCAATTTTAAAAAACCAATCAAATAAAACTCTTGTATTTGAAGTTTTGCTTTTTATTAGTATTTTTTTTTTAAAATATAATATTTTATATAAAAAATAAATTAATGATATTGAAGAAATAGCTTACCATAATTATATTAAAACCTCCCCAACCAAAGTATCAGTTCAGTTCTGTTGCAACATAAAATTCTTACACCAAAACTCAACCTAGCCTTACTGCACCCATATTAATAATATTAGCACCTCAACTTCCAACAGTTTTAATTTTATTTTTAAATTATTTTATACTTTAATCAATGATAAATATATATATATATATTTTAGTTAAAATTATTATTTAAATTTTATAATTTATTTATAAGTTTTCATTATTTACAAAAATATTTTATTTAATGTATATACTCCAAACACATTATTTATTACATATAAAATATTACTCTCTCAGTCCCAAATTGGACGTCGGTTATACACATGAATTTAAGTAAATATAATTAATAAATAATTAAAAATATATTAAAAAATTTAAAATGAGATTCAAATATATAACTATTTCTCACAAAGGAAAATAAAATTCAATACGAGACAGACAAATATGAATATAATAAGTGAGATAAATGAAGTCGTATTTTAATCAATTTACATAATAAAAAACAAATATATATATAAAAAGAGAGATTTATTTATTTAAGTCTTGAAAATAATATTTGTATATTTATTTTATTACTATTATATATATATATATATAAAAAAGTGTCCAACTGTACTTTAATTTCTGCAGCAGGGTACAGCAGAGCAGACTACTACTACTACCAATCCATTGATGATTTTGCATTGAGACTAATAAATGTCTAGCTGCCAATTTGTCTGTGCGTCATCCAATCTTCAGTACATAAATAAATAAAAATAAAATAAAATAAAAATTGTGATAATAAATAATGAATTGATATATATATGTATTTTACAATGTGAAAGTCTACAATTGTTATTCGAAAATGTACATTGAATAAATTTTCGATCAAATATAATATTTTAAAAATTAAATTAGATAAAAAATAATCAATTATATGTGACCAAAGCTGCAGTATTACCATTACTATTTATGTACTATAGCTAATTAATTTAATAATTAATAGTACGACTTTCTATTTTTAGATGGTATAATAGAAAGTAATATGTCTGTACCTATACTTACTTACAGTTAGGCAGCAACCTTTCTGAACTGTAAACTCATTAATTAATCGATCAAAAATGGATTGAAATATGGTGCTGTTGCACCGCCCTAATAATATATAGGTGTTTTTATTTCTTTGTTTTTAAATCAAAATTTTACTATATTTAAGAGTCAATTTATATAAATACTGTATTTTTTTTTAAATATTGGTATTACTAAAAAAACAGTAATGTTTTAATAAAAGAATATTATATTCCCTCCATCTCATATGTCTGCTACATTGTAGATACGGTATTTTAGAAGGGATATAATTAATAGATAATTAAGAATGTATTAATGAAAATAATTATCCTATAATATAAATAATTATAAATTAAGATTAAGATAACTAATTAGTTTAATTAAAATTAAAAAAAATAAAATTAAAAAATTTAAAATGAGATTAAAGTGTGTAATCATTTTCCAAAAAAAGAAAATGTCATGGTATGTGAAACGGACAGAAACGGCAACGTGACATGGTATCTGAGACGGAGGAAATATTAAATATTATTTTAATTTTTCTAAACTCAAAACGTTCTATTAGACGAAGTCTTATAGTTCTTAAATATATATATATATACCCATATTTATAAAATGTCACAAAAAATATTAATTAAATTAAAATTTTCAAACTTTCAGTCTCAATTTAAAACATAAAAGAATAATAACTAGTCAAGGCGGCGGTGGTACTGCGTGCCCGAACATCCATTAATCAACAGTAGCTTAAACATTAATGTATATCATTTTTGTCCGTCTTAAAACAATAATTTTATTTTCATAAATAATCATATCACCGTAAAACTATTTTTACTTTTTACACTAATACACTCACAAGACAAAAAATTTTTTTTATCCATACGTTGTACCCACTGTATCAATGTTTCTTAAATCTCATGCCAACTCAAAGACTATATTTATAAATTAGTTAATTGATAACTTTTGAAAAAGAAAAAAAAAATCAATCAATAAATAAATAATAGTACTTCTTTTGTTGTAAAAAAGATAAAAACCCACCTTTTTTTATCCGTAATTAAAAATATATATTTCTTTTTTTTAAAAAAAAAAAAAGAAATCATATAGTACTTTTTATTATATTTTTTATTTTTCTATTATAAAAAAAAAAAATACATACCTACTCAAATTCATACCAAAAGTAAATGAACCTATATATGTGTATATATATATATATATATATATCATCGTCGTTGTGGAGGTAGAAGAAGCTAAAGCTGCTGTTGATCTGATTCATTTCATATATAGTAATAATAATAATGGCTTCGAAACCTGGGATTCTTACGGAATGGCCATGGGCGAGCCTCGGCACCTTCAAGGTACTTAAGATTATTTTTTAATTGATTCACATTGTCCATACATATAATTAGGGTTTTTGATATTTGTCTGAATATAAACAAACAATGGAGTATTACAAAAGCATGATACGATAATGCATGCTGCTAATACAAGAAAACTTTAACGTCGTCCCCAAAACCCCTGAGATGAATTATTTCCTTTTGAATTTTATTAATTAATTAATGCCTAGTACGCAATCTTGGCGCCGTGGGCGATCCATGCGGCGTACTCTTACGCTTCCGCGACCAAAGATGAGAAGGAGAGGGAGTTGTCTTATTTCCTCATACTACCTTTCCTGCTGTCAAGAATTCTCCACAACCAAATTTGGATTTCGTACTCGCGATATCGCACCGCCAAAGGCGCCAACCGGATACTCGATAAGCCCATCGACTTCGCCCAACTCGACCGCGAAAATAATTGGTAATTTCTAATTCCATCCATCAATTAATTTTTTACAAATAATAATAAAATTGTGGTTTTAATTAGGGATGACCAAATTATTTTCAACGGGATATTGTTTTACCTTGGGTACATATACATCGAGGCGGCGCATCGCCTCCCGTGGTGGAGGATGGATGGTGTCGTATGGACATTCTTGATCCATGCCGGTCCCGTCGAGTTTCTTTACTATTGGCTCCACCGCGCGTTGCACCACCATTTTCTCTACTCGCGCTACCACTCCCACCACCACTCCTCCATCGTCACCGAGCCCATCACATGTAAGAATGTCGTAACCAATACTACTAGTATTTTTACCGTTTTGCATCAATTTTCATTGATTCATCGATTTTAAATAGATTCAATTAGTTTAGATTAGATTTTGTTATTACTTTGAGTCTATCTTGGCTCTATCACACCTAATTTAATAGTTAATAATAGAGCATAAATCATTTGCTGATTCATTATGGGGTGTTAGATTTGACCAAATCAACATATGCTAACATATAATTATACATATTTCAACATATTTATAATACAATATATGATTATATTATAAATCAGTATATACTATCTTATAATAAGTTGAAATATATATAAACATGTGCTGATCACTGATCCGATCAAATCAACATTATACTTAATAATGCGACTATATGAAATATCTCAACTAATTTCAAAATTTGCACGAAAGACTCTTTTTGCAACGATCATTGCCTCCCCTCTCTATATTCAATTGAAAGTTCGATTAAATGTTCATTTCTCCTTGAATGGATCATGTAAATGATTTTGTTAGATAATCTTATCGAATGGATAATCGAAAGGACTCGAATTACTACGAATAGGTTCGGGATTGTCATAACCTTAGCTTGTGTTTGTTGTTTCGATGTTTGTTGCAGCCGTGATCCATCCATTCGCGGAGCATATCGCGTACTTTGCGCTATTCTCGACTCCTTTGCTCACAACGCTACACATGGGGAATGCTTCCATCACTTCGATCTTGGTCTACTTGACGTACATTGATTTCATGAACAACATGGGTCATTGCAACTTCGAACACATTCCGAAACAGATCTTCTCCATCTTCCCACCGCTCAAGTACTTGGTGTACACGCCGTCGTAAGTTTCTCCCCGATTCGATTCCAATTGTATCATCTTGTAGCGATCGAATGTCCTAACGAGTGTCTCATCGATGGATGAAGGTACCATTCGCTGCACCACACACAATTTCGAACGAACTACTCGCTCTTCATGCCGTTCTACGACTACATATACGGCACGATGGACACATCGTCGGACTCTTTGTATGAAAACTCGCTTGTCCGAAAATTGGAAGTACCCGACGTCGTGCATCTAACTCACCTCATGACGCCGGAGTCAATATACCATCTCCGTTTAGGATTCGCACATTTGGCCTCGAGACCGCTTCGATCGAATTGGTACCTCCGGCTAATGTGGCCCGTCACGCTCTGGTCGATGGCGCTGGCTCGAGTTTACGGGCGGGTGTTCGCCGTCGAAAGAAACGTCTTCGAACACCTCAAGTTGCAAATATGGGCTATTCCTAAGTACTATGTCCAAGTAACGAGCTCGTCGACTTAGCTCCATCCATTGTCGAGCATACTCCGGGATTTCTGACAAAGGTTCGATTTTTCTTGCAGTATAACATGAAATGGCAGAAAGAATCGATAAATACCTTGATCGAGGAGAGCATTCTACAAGCGGATGAGGAAGGCGTTAAGGTGTTCAGCCTTGGGTTGTTGAATCAGGCGAGTTTCAGCTACATAAGCAGATACTTACGCACCCCAGGAAACTAATGTTCTCCGATAATGCAGGATGAGGAGCTGAACAAAAACGGCGAGCTTTTCGTGAGAAATCACCCTCGGCTAAGAGTGAAGTTGGTCGACGGGAGTAGTCTAGCAGTTTCCATCGTGCTAAACGCCATCCCGAAACGAGCAACTGAGGTCGCCATGCTCGGTAGCCTGTCAAAAACTGCATATTCTATTGCCCTCACATTATGCCAAGGCGGGACACGGGTGAGTTCGAGAATGATAAGCAATTTTCGCAAGAATCATAATAATATTAAGAATTTTCTTCGCGAAACCAACCTTATCCCAAGCTCCTCGTAACGTCGATAGGTCTTTACCACATCCGAGGATGACTTCAAGAAGCTTAAGGCAAAGCTGAGCACAGATGCTGCACACAATTTGGTCCTTTCGAAACAGAATAGTCCAAAGGTTAGTCGACATTTTCACTTTTCAATCTTACTTTTGAGAAGAATGTGTGTTACCGGAAAGTGTCTGCTTCGGTAGATATGGTTGGTGGGAAGCAGAGTGAGCGAACAAGAACAGCTCAAGGCATCGAAAGGTACGACATTCATTCCATTCTCACAGTTCCCTCCGAAGAAACTCCGCAAGGACTGCTTCTACAGCTGCACGCCGGCAATGCTGGCTCCCAAGCATCTAGAAAACATCGACTCCTGCGAGGTCAGCACTCAATACTAAAAAAAACTTTGATTGGATATAAACTACCTGTAAGAACTCCTCTGTTCTAATCGAATTTCTGCTGACAAACTCTAATCCGAAATGATAGAACTGGCTGCCAAGAAGGGCGATGAGCGCACCACGGATAGCAGGAATAGTACATGCCGCAGAAGAATGGGGCGTGCACGAGTGCGGAGATGCGATGTTCGACGTGGAGAAGATCTGGCAAGCCAGCCTCAAGCATGGATTCCGTCCCATGGAAAATGTGGTGGAATTGAGCTGGGAGAGTCTGTGATCGTCAATTCTTTACGCCTGAACCCTGTCGACTGCATCATTTATGACAAGTATTCTTGCATTTGAGACAAGTTAATACATGCTTTATGAAGAAATCTTAGCATGACTGCAACATTAAGTGAAAAAAGAGGCTAATTTAAAGTTCGACTAACTTACAAGTATTACGCTGCGCAATCGCATCCAGGAAGATAGAAACCTGTGAAAGCTGCATCTTCTTCTCTATATATATGACCGTAAAATTTGCCAAAGAAACTAATGGGACAAGAAACAACAGGCTACATTGATCTTTTATAGTTTCATATACAACATACACTTGGCAAACAAAACCTCTCGACACATCAAGCTAAACGTTTGAACGAGTCCAGAAAGTAGCAGTGCACTCAGCATAACATAAAAATAATCAAATTTTCGGGCATTCATGCTACAGAGTTAGCTACCTAGATATATATTACACATCATGATCATCGTACCCATGCCACGGAGTCGATCTCATCTCTTGCTTTCTTGTAAAGTTCAAGCCTCTTGGCACATTGTTGTCTCCTCTCCATCAAAGCTGGATCTTCGTCCAGTAAGTCCGACAGTTGCTTGCCCTGTCGCAAATGACCAATTAAGAACATAACAAGAATTTCACAAAAACATAACTTATGAAATATAATTTTACCAAATAACTTGCATAAATGAAACACCTCGAAATCCAATCCAATCAATCTCCCTACCTCTTTCTTGCCAATTTGGGTGTAGAAGTAATTAAGCAAATTCTGCTTTGCCTCTTTAACTTGGCAGTAAACAACTGCCTTGGGGATGGAGTTCTTTAGTGTCTCGGATACCATATGTATATAGGATGACACGTTTGAGCCGATCCTGCGAAAATGGCCCTCTGCATAACGATCGACATTTAAGGCAGCTGCTGAGTGTTCTCTTTCTCTTTCTCTCTCTCTTTCTCGTGGATTTCCCCCGGGAGGATTTCCTACTTTCTCAACTTCTTGAGGAAGTCTCCGAAAGAAATCAACAGTCAGATAAGAAGATTCCATATCAACCATTCTCACAACAGTTTTCTTGCCCTCATCACGGAACCTTTCCAAAGCTTCATATGCTGCTCCAGCTATGGTTGCTTGAAGAGATGGAAATCTTTTCAATTCCTGCACATCCACAGTAAATTAAGGAAATATACAAAATAAGTTCGAACTAAAAAACCTTAAGAAAAGCATAAGGATATTACAAACTTACCTGGCATTCGGAAATGGACTTCCGGACGAGTTCCTTCAGGACAAAGTGAACCTAAACAATAGTTTTCTAGTTATCAGTCGATAATGTTGCAAGACATTATTCAGAAATGACATGAGAAGTGGTGTGCTAGCAACAGACTACTTACAGCATCAGCAGACGCTTCAGCAGGCCCCCTAAAATAATTCAATGAACTCTCAATGAGCCTCCGGTAACCTTGCTCAGGAGCAATCAAGTGTGGCTGATAACCATCAGCCTCTGAAACAACTTTTCTCACATTTTGCACTGAAAGATGTCTATCAAATGGAAGTTTCCTCAATGCAGCTGGCAGCTGATTGTCGAATACTCCATAAATTCGATCACCTCCCGGTCGGCTGAAACAAGTATGGAGGTGAGTAAATCAACAACCAATTATGACTTGAGATCAAATACGGTATTAGTCTTGTGTAACATATAGCCAGTATATATCAGCAATGGGAAGAAAATTTTAGTCCCCGGATTATAAGGTTTAAGGGGAGTAAAAGGAGGAAAGGCTTTAAAAGTTCTTGCAGATGTTTTCTATCTTTATAATGGAGATGAAGAACAAAGACTAGCATACCCTCCATCTAGATGCTCCTTAAATATTTTGTCAAAAGCGCGGCAGAGTTCCAAGATGGTGTATAATTGTGCCTGTCAGAAAAATATCAGTTGATGAGAATATTGTGAAACACTAAAAAAACCCAATCTCATGGTAAGGACGGCTCGAAATGCTCACCCCTGCATCCACAGCAATAGGCCTTCCAAGGTGGTCAAGCTCAGATTCAAGTTCATCAATGCTTTTGTTGATCAATGAAGTGATACTCGGTATTCTTGCCTTAATTACAGATTCCAAGTGCTGACAGAAAAGATATATATATATATATAATCATCATTTCGATAAATGGCAGCTATGATGCCAACAATCAATGAGAAACAAAACTATAATACCCTTGAGAGAAGCTTTGCAAGATATTCAGAACCCATTTTACTAGCCAAGTGCCCGTAGTCGGGACTTGTAGAAAAATATTCACGCTCCTTTCGCCTGGCAGCAATCATGTCGACATTTTTGTTGATATCTGCTTGTGAACGATTCACAATGCCCACCCAGGGATGTTGTAAACGGTAAGATCTTCCTTCTAGGACCTATAGAACAAACAGTAGAGTAAGAACCAACTATAACAAAGCTACTCACGCTAGGACGTAAGTTAGAGAGCAGTATCAGGGTGGGGGTCGCATATAGATGAGCCGGGATGAGGAAAGGGGCGAAAACTCTATAATAAGGTTGATTTCCATCGCTTACGGAAGGACATGCACACACCACTTAATCTTACACAAATTTCATTGTTTCAAGTTTCATTAGACATTTTTATGTTTGATCAATATGGCCTCAACAGGACTTCGAAGGAATACTACTTCAAGTAAAGAAATAAAGAAGTACCTCCAGTGCATTAGTTCCTCTATCCATCAGATCCAATTTTGTCAACACTCCAAATGTGCGGTCACCTGCATGAATTACATAACAGTGACAACGATAATAGGACGAAAGATGAGGGATAGAATTGTCTCAGAATTTGAAATAGAAGGTAAAGATTCTTGCCTGTTGGATCCACTTCCCTAGCAAGTTTTATAGCATCCGATGTTGCAATATCTTGGTTTGCGGGAGATATAGCCAGTATGATGCAGTTGGGCTAGCACGGAAGGAAAGCTCATCAATAGTTTTTGAGGCTATCATTAATTTTTAAATACAGTTCACGATACCAATTCGAATTGGATGACGATCCCGTGAAATTGTTGCATAGACAAACATTTATGCATATTAAGAACCAAACTCTTTTCGACAAGTGAAGAGACAAGAAGAAGGCATATATATAACAAAGAAAATTTTTATCTTCACCTTCTCAACATATGCGCGAACCATGCTTTCAATCTCTTGGACTATAGTTTCTGGTTGACCCTCTGCAATGATACATATATTATTTGAATTAAATAAACTTCATATTGAATGAAAAATTTACCACCTGATTGCAAACAAATAAAAGCTTACCAACAGCAACTTTTGTCAAACCAGGAAGATCAATCAGAGTTAAGTTGACAACTGAAGGTAAAAAGAAGGGAATGAGGGGAGAAGCATCAGGAGGATAGCAAAATATTAAATACTGAAAATTGGGATGTCAAAATTACATTTTTCTTAGCACCCCACACATCATGAAGAATCACATACCATTAGGAGAATAGATGCTTAGGTGAATCGGAATAGGAGAAATCTGTTTTGTTTTTCCTGTGACCCTATCAGTTTCATCCTGAATTTCCTTACGAACCAGGGCTGCAATGGAAATAAGCCAAATCATTCAAAGGTCTAGCTAGTAGAAACAAAGAGTTAACATTAAGGACATCGATTATGTTGTTGGATCGATAGAGTACAATTAATCATCGAATCTTTTTAGTTCTTCATAGCAGGCCTTAAACAATCATGATCTTTATTCATTAGTGTAAAGATGTAATTTTCTCATTAACTAAACATGACCCTGAAAGTTACCATTTCAAGAATTCACAACAATGTCATAGGTGAGCAACCATCAGTCATGGCAAAACTTTATCAATAACAATCTTAAGTTATCAAAAATCAATCTCACTTAAATCAAATAAAACGGACTGTGTCAAATATTTTAGTGAGAGGTAGAGTTCCGATTAAAGCTGGGAATTTTCATTATCATTATAGGCAGCAACAGCAGAAAGAATTCATGCATACAGAAATCAGTGAATCGTCTTCGGGGCATATGGCCGAATTCTGCATATTCCTGCTGTCCATCTTCAATTTTCTGCAGTTGCAACACCAGTGGACGTCTTGTAACAATTCCTGAAGCCAAAGTCCAAAGAAACAGAAGCTTCAAATTATTCTACGAAGGCTAGTCGAATTTTATTCTGAGTAGCTCCCTTCCCTTCCACATAAATTATTCTTTACTACAAATTAAATAAGGCTCATCCTGCTCGCAGCATCAAATTCATAGCTCATAAAAGCTAACCTGAGCCTCGGGGAAGAAAATCACGCCCTACGATGCTCTCCAGTACGGACGACTTTCCCGAACTCTGAATTCAGACCAAACATGCGAAGGAAAGCAATTTCACGACAAATTCATCACTCAATTCTTCACCGACAGTCAAATACTAACAATTCTTCGAGTTCGTCAGTACACCTGAGTCGTCATAAGAAGTGGAATTTAAGCGATACAAGCTAATTAATTATTCTAACTACCTGACCACCGACGACAGCAACTGAAGGAAGGGCGTCCCAGAGAGAAGAAAACGCCTGGTCTCCACCGCCGTAGTCCCCGAGGGAGGTGCACGCCCTCTGAATTCTGTTCACCAGTCCAATCAAGCTCTCCATAGTCGCCATGTTTTCGGAAGAATCAGCAGCTCGGACTTGAAATTGACGCAAATTTCAAGAGATAGACTAATTTCTTAATTGGGAAAGAAAATATTGAAAATGGCGAGTCTAAAGGGTCGCTGCTATACTGCGCCGGGTGTGTGTATTATATGTGTATATATATTGTGTGGTGTGGATGGATGATATGTTTGTGCGGTCCCGGGTGCTAGCACCACTCTGGATATGTATGTGTGGTGATGTGGATTCATGTGGCGTTGGGGTCCAGGGACTTTCCAGGTATTGCTACGAGACCGTTGGACAAGTGCTGTTCCGTACATTCTTTGTTTTTCAAAATTTGAAAACACAGAATGTCAAATATTTGGAGCCGGTTTTTGTTGCTGCAGAAAGTAGTAGGTTTAATTCTCATCACTTATCCCAACCTAAAAGCTTCAATTAGCAAGATTGTGGTGCTGCTTTTGTCGTGATTTTTTAAATAATACTGTTGTTTGAATATACTAATTAAGACTGAAAGATAAATGAAATCATTGATAAGACAAGAATAAAAGCTCAAGAAAAATATAAAGGTGGTCGTTGCAAATAGATTTTACGGTTGGATTTGATCTCTAGCTATTCATAAATTTATTTCTTTTTGAATATATCAAATCAGCAGATCCGACCTCTTATTCAAACGCCAAAAATCACAGTGATGTCATTCATATTGAAAAAGATCTGGGGTATAGTTCCCCCTCAATAGTTCACAGAAATGGCCATATGTGATTCGGTGGTATGAGATGATGTCATGACCATAAGATCATGAATTTAGATCACCAACACTTTTAGATTCACATGCTACACATAATTTGTCTAATATGACTTATTTTATCGAACTTAGTTTACAGAATATTAGATTCGGTTGAAAATTTACTCAGAACGCACTCAAAAAGCATAGTGATTCCAGATTCTCATGTTTCCCAAAAAAAAAAAAAAAAAAGTTCAGCTTGAACTACACAGCACATATCATATTAACATTTCAAGGGTAAATGACATGGGTGTATGATGAAGAAGAGTGGTGATAATCTTTAAAGCATTGTCAATTTTCTAATTGATCGTCTGGATCTCGGCCAGAGAGATTGGTAAAATCATGGAATGACATTACCATCCATAAACTGAGTTGGTTTTAGCATGCTTAATAATAAAACTGAAACTGAAAATTAAGTGTTTTGTGTTGGATCAAAGACAGCAGAGAATGAAATCTAATTTTAATCCTTACACAAATGCAGGAAATGCCATTTCAGAATACTGAAGGAATTCTCTCCTTCATCAGATTGTTCACAGAAAGCAGTGTGGTGTGGTGTATGAAGATCAATAAATACTAAAATACACAAAAGATACAAAAAACATAAATTTCTTAATTGAATCGTGAGACTAGTATTCATAAATGAAGCATATATGTGTGTGTGTGTGTGTGTGGATGGGGGTCAGAGTCAGACCTTAATCCTGCTTGTACACCAATGTTGGGTATCCAGGACTCCACATATTGTTTTGCACATAACACCTTATTTCATCCTGCAAAAACATACTCTACTAATTAATACAAATGGACACTTAATGTATTGCATAATACCCCATAAAAATAGGGAAAATAATCAGATCCTAAAATATTTAACTAAATCTATATCTATATCTATATGTGGTTATTCAATTTTTGTTTAACTACATACCATTTCACAGTTGAATAAACAAATGTTGGTGCTATTTTATATTACCTGACTAAGTTTCTGCAATACCCGGGCATCCATCTCGCGGTATCCTTCCACCAGATCCTCCTCTATGGCTTCCATAATGACTGCTGTTGCTATTTCCTTTGTTATATCACGAATTCTGTGCACATGTTTCGTGACATTTAGGAAAAACAATCACCATGAGAGAGTATATGAAATCTTCGGGGTAGAGATCTTCAAATACCTGGATATTGATGGGTAAATGATCCCTTGGAGTACCTCTTCCTCCGTCATATATCCAGCCAGGCTGTAGTTACAGAAAATAGCAATGGCAAGCCAAATTTAAAATTAGATTTTATACAAAAATGCTACACAAAATGCTCATATTGAGATGCAGTTCACATAGCACTGGATCCCCTAAGAAGAAAATGAAAAGATATTTTAAATTGTCGGTGTTATTGAAAAAAATAAATAAATAAGCCGAGGAAACTTCACGGAAGTCAATATTGCACATAGATCAGATCAGAAGTCAGGAGATTATAACACGGATTATTTGGTTTATATATTCAACTTTTCTCTCTGACAACAAAAGCTTCGTCATAATTGCAACTGGAAATTCAACTGCAGGTACAACATTGAGTTATTCAAATTTTAAGATCATGAAATACCATTCCGCGGCGGCCTGTAGCATTCCATCTGAAACTATCTTAGATCCAGACAAAAGTGTACCAAGTCCAATGCTGCAATAACAGGCCAAGTTCATTAAAAGTTAAAAGTGCTACACTGATTATATATCTATTATGGTTTAGAATAGTAATTATCAGACCCGGGGAAAAGGAACATGTTATTTGCTTGGTTGCAGTGACCAACATGACCATTTCCTGCACAATTTAATTTGTAGTCAGAAAACAAAACATTTTCCAAGATAATATGTTGAACAAAGTACATGCTCTCTTTCAAATCCATGCAAGATGGAAACATTTGAATATCTACTTATTATATCTCTTACAACTCTCATTTTAGCTGCATTCCTAATACAAAAATGTCTTGAGCACATACATCCCTTAGACCATGCTATCAGCAATGTCAAAGGAGCATCTGAATCAAGGTGCAGTGAAAGATAAATTCCATACAACCCCTAAACTACAGAACATGATACACAGACCGCGGGTATATCACCTTACATACAGCCAATGTTTTAAGACTAATAACTGGATGAGAAATAAAAAAGTTCACTTTATAGCCAAGAAACATGAATTCAAGGAAACATTTAGAAGAGATGATAAATCAAGACTTAGGATACAAATCACCTGGAGAATTCGAAACATCAACTCCTTAAACCGAGCAAGGTTTGACGAGAACTGAATTACTTTCACAAAGAGGCTATATATGGTTTATTTGTTCTCACTAAATGTGTTCATATTAAAACTTCCGTTGCATCAAATCTATATGTGGCTTCTAACCAACTTTCAGAGAGGGAAATTACCAGAAAACAAAACAATGATAAGAAGCACTTCGGGAAGTTACAAAACATACCGAGTTTGACGTCTTTAAAAGGGCTTCCACTAGCAAATATGATGTTATCGCCAACAATGGAAAATGCATCTTCCGGGGTGCATTCAGCTAATAAAGTTCAGGTAGTATTCATAAAACAACTGGAGAAAAACATATGTAGGAAGATATATTTAACCAAGGTAAACATTCTACCATTTCTTGTTGGGTTAGACATTGGGAAAATTGCTGGTCTGGTTGAAGTTGTTTCTTTAAGAGCTTCTAGCACCTGAAAATTGAAATCAAATTTGCTGTATGCAACTTATATTAACTAATCACAAATGTAAATACGATGAAGTATGATATAGTTGAATTAGGCAAAAAATTGCATACAAGATAAAAACAGAACAAGACAAATTGCATACCTCTTTAGAAAATAGACCTCCTACAGCTGACAGCCCAAGAAGCACATCTGGTTTAACTTTGTGTACCTGATTGGATACAAAATCATATGAAGTCCATGCATACAGATAGCTATCAACATGTGTATGTATATCCATTAGTTTTTGTGGTTGGGGGCCAGTGGGTTGTCCTAAAGTATTCTATTCTCTAAATCAAGCACACGCATGACTGAGGATATAAAAAATGTCGAATTAGTTTTAAGAGAATCCTTGATCATCGTTATAGTTAGAAAATGTCCAGGCTGTAAGCATTAGATAAAGAACTAGGAGTAACAGTGGATCAACCAAAGTATCAATTCCATCATCTCATTTCTAGTGTACCTGCATGCTGAAGATGGTACATTTTCAGTTGTTTAGGCTTATCCCTGAAGCAATCAATGCATTTCAGAAAAGATGTACTAAGATTTTCAATCTATATGTTGGATCTGGTAAGCTAAAAGGAAGCTACCAAAGACTATCGTGTTAACCTGAAATGGATTTACATTTCTGAGATAGCACCAAAGGCCCCTTTTGTCATTTGATGATTAAGAAACCCAAGATTTAAAGACACCAAAGTTTAATTCACTGACCACTTCAGCAAGATTTGCCCCTTCTGCCAACCCTTGACGTTCAATTTCTTTAACTTTCCTTGCAAATGGGCGAGCATCTGGATCAATGTTTTCACGTGCCTCTGTAACAAGTCCCTGGAACACACAAGGTCTCAACTTCAGGACTTCCAACAGTTAAATAATTTATAAATGGATGAGGATGCAAATAACAAAATTGTGCTAGATGCCCCAGCTTAAACAGCAATTTGGAATGTTTATATTTTACAATCTCACACATCATCTAAATTAGAGACCAATTTAAAAGGAGAATTGAAAAAATATATTTTTGGACTACTTACATTAGCATCAACAACCCAAAATTGACTTCTAGCGCTTTCAAAAGCAATTTCAGTGTCTCCTAGCATCCTTGCCATTGTCTTCCTTGCAGCATTGAGAACACCTATTCCAGCACTGCAACAATAGTTTTGGTAGAGGTTGCATTGTCTTCATTAAACTATACCATATACCAATGCTACAACAATAGATAAAGGAAACATACCAAATAACAATACCAAATCAGTAAATATCTTCTTATACTAAAAAAAAAGTAAAAATAAATAAAAATTTCAACTGCTGGAAAACATAAACCTGGACTAAATTTTCTAAAGCAATGTAGTTTCAACTTGGATAAGCCATATGACACTACTTGATTTAGTGTTCAATTTTGATAAAGCAAAGTACTGTTTTAATGGAAAAGCTAAGCCCAATGAAAATGTAGTCAAACATCCAAATAAACACGATACAGATGCAGTTGGACATGCAAAAAAGGAATAAGATACTAATTAGAATTACATTTATTGAGTCTTGACTATAACAACTAAAACCTAAAGAACATTGTGAATAATACTGGCGTTTAGTTTGGAGTAAAATACAGGATAGTATTACAGCACTCAAATCCTAAAAGGACAGGAACAAAATTCTAATAATACCAAAACACTAAACAGCAGCTGAGGGTGTGTTTGTTTGGGGCTAGGGATTTGAATAGTAAAACTTTCTGAATTGAAATAGTGATATGATGTGATATAAATAAGTGTTGATGGGATGTTTTGAATGTAAAATTGATTTTTAATATAATATAGAAAGTGAAAAATAGATGTTCGATTTGATGTTTTGGGGGAGGGGGGGAGAGGGAATTTGATGAATAGTAGAAATTTAGTAAAAAATGATAAAAGAACACACCCTAAAAATGATAGACTGAACATTCAAACAAATACCTCCCAGCACCAGCAACAACAATCTTCATTTTTGGAAAATCAATCATTGGTCTTCCTTGAGCTCTCACAGCTCCTAATAGACCAGCAAGTGCAACCCCTGCCGTTCCCTAGCAATATGGAGCACGGAACCTCATAAATATAAAATATTTAATAGTGAAGACTAGGGAACCTCTAGACAGATAAACCATGCAGTTAATCTAATTTTCACCTTAAAGAATGCTAATAACCAGGCATGCTATTACTGAGTAAATGAATTGTAGCAGCTGCAAATTCCTCATATCCTTTTTCTTAGGATCTTCTAAGATCATAAAGTAAAGCATGGAGCTTCATTCTCTTTCATTAGGAACTTTTCATTCCCAGATATGTTCAGCAGAGACAATGGGTAAAATAAATAAATATATATATATAAAGATAATGTTTTCTTTTATGTATGTACTCTGAAAATAATAATTTAAAATAGCAAGTAAAATACATGCTCAAATGACGGAGTTGAATACCATTATTTATCACCGCACCATCAATTATTTATCACCACTCCATAATCTACTTATATCATAGAAAGCCTCACCATCAATTATTTATCACCACTCCATAATCTACTTATATCATAGAAAGCGTCAGCTGCAGGTGAAATAAATACCTGAACATCATCATTGAACATTCTGTATTCTTTCCTATATCGCTGCAACAAGTTCAAGGCCCACTTACTCTGAAAATCTTCAAACTGTATGGACTCAATGTGCATCAGTAACTCAGAGAAAATGAACTTAATGAATTATATAGATTGATCAGTGAGTCACCCTCCAGTCAGTTATAGCTTTATAATTAACAAACTAGTCAAAAATAGCACCTGAACAATCACATGGGGCCAACGAGTAAAGACAGCTTCCATGAATTCATCAATAACCGAAACATACTCATCCCCATCAAGCCGATGCTCTTGCAACCCCAAGTCTGCAAAATAGCATCAATGTCATACTTGTGAACCCTAAAAACCCCATTTATAATGATTTTCTATTACAAAATGGTATGCATGACACTCACACATGGGGTCCTTCAAAAGCTCCTCATTGTTGGTTCCGACATCAATCATAACAGGTAGAACCTATGGTAATAAACAAAAAGGAAACTTGAATAAGAACGAAATGCAGAATAAAACCCACAAAACAAAAAGAGAGAGATCTACAACAACTGATGAGTATGCCCATCCTGTTCAGTGATCTAGGTTTGCACACCCTGCTAGTTGCTCAAATTTTAGCTGCTAAAAGAGCAGACGGGTTATATATTTCTGATAAATTAATTCATGGTTTCCCAACTGTTTCTTTACCAAAGAGTTTGTTCACTAGAATTTGGGGGCAAAACAGCACAATGGCATTCAATTCTATGGTATGAAAAAAGATGATCCTGCAATTTGAGGTACAAGAGAATGAGACAGTACTCTCTGTGGATTTAATCCTGCAGCGGCAACATAAAGATCTAATTTTCCAATTGCAATTCCAATTCCCTGAACCCCAAGATCTCCAAGACCAAGAATCCTGCTTCCGTCCGTAACAACAATCATATCAACCTATATACAAGTAACCAAATATATTAGTATTTCATAGACCTAATTCTAACTAATCAGTTGTGTGTGTCAAAAAATAAAAAGTAGTACAAAAGCAGGCAGCTTTTATTAAAGGTTGCTGAATGCTGAGTGCATAACCACAACAATCAGCATAAAAAAGAACATAACATTAACTAGCAACACACACATTGAATGCTGAAACAAAGAAATTGCTTAACTAAAAACACATCAGATACTTTAAATCTCTGGAAACTGGGGAAAATGCAGCAAAAAAATTAATGCAAGGATGACTTAAGGTCATAAATACCAGAGAGCAACAAACATCCCAATTAACAAACCTGATCAGATGGCCAGTTGTAAACCATTGACATCATTTCTCCACGATCTGCTGCACTAAAATACATCCCCCGAGGTCGTCTGAATAAACCGCTATACTTCTGGCATACAAGACCAACAGTAGGTGTATATACTATAGGTGCATACTCCTCAATATTGTCAATAAGAACCTGTCAATATCATGCATTAAAAAAAGATAAAAATGTGAAAATGAAAGTAATTCTTTATAAAAAAAATCTAGATTGGGCTACACTTGATGTCCAAATAATCTGAGAGCTCAACCAATAAGATGATGTCACAAAACAAATAATGGCTATCCTCAAAGACAGTAATAGGTGACCTGTCCAACTTTTTCCTTCAGGAAAGAAAGATAAGAACGATTTTAAGGAAGCCATTGTACAATATGACTGGTTAACTTATAAGCTTAGTTGCCAATGATGCAAGGCACACAGGCCTTCTTACAGCATGGTCCATGGACAGCGTGCATCATATTGAAAATCAATGCAGAATTTTGAGATGTTTATGATAAATTACACTGCTAACTCATTAAAAAATAAAGAATAATTTTATATGATAAATCACCTTTTTTAACTTATATTTATATAAGATATGGCAATAGGAGCTAGCCAAAGTAAAATTATAATAAAATGGCACCACACGGAACCAGCCTAGTATGGATAGCAACATGAATAAATATGTATCCATAAGAGGACAAAAGATATGTTTTCTCACTGACCTTATAATACATCGTCTCATTTCTATCATGCAAGCGGTTAAGAATGCGCCATTTAGCCAAATTGTATGGATCAGATGGTCCATCTCTAGCACTTAGTTCAAGCCTCTTCAAATCAGACACTGGTTTGGAGAAACACAGTACCAAAATATTACCAAAAACAGTGATCACTCAGTTTCTCTTATTATTTAAATTGAACTCATAAGATATGGTTCACTTGAGATCATTCAAACCATATTCAATGACATTCTTTTTTGGAAGGAAAAAACAATAGTATATATATATATTATAGATTAGGAGATGAGTTAAGTTACAATATGAAGATAAAAACATAGGCGGAGAATTAAATATTAAGTGACTTGATCCAACTTGGTCCTATCAATTTTCTTTCAATTTGGCAAGCAAGCCAACATTGTAAGATCAAGAATAAGAAAATAACAGCAAACAACTGATAACAAGAATACGCCAGATATTAGACATGGATTAATTAATAATGGCCTATTTTCCACATAGAAGTCACTTCAATCAAAATTTACGGGCAATAGGTTACATTGAAAGTTGAGGCGCAATACGTATAACAAAGACATTTGGCAGACGAAGCTTACTAAATCGCATTATTTGTTGTTCAGGAGTCATGACATTTGGAGGCAGTAATCCTCGAAGGTCGAGACGATCACGTTCTGTCATAGAAAATGCAGTTCCCTGCATTCAAGGCTCAGACAAGTGTAAAACTGAACTCCTAAAATGCGGGTTTATTCTGATACACTAGAGCGGGACAGAATTAGACAGTCAAAATAATGAAACCAACAAAAAAGGAAAGCTGGGATGGACAAACACAAAACTATTAAGCATAATGAGTAGAACACAATGTACAACTATAATAAAAACAACTTAATTTGTTAAACAGAAAAACTTATAATCCAATCAATGCAACAAAATCTGCACTATAACAGCGACAATTACTATTGCAAAACCAAAGAGTAAGGATAGAATCAACACATTTACAGAAACAAGTAGTTCCATCTTGCTGTTAAATTCAAATATTAACCAGCCTGACGTATCTTCTGCGTTACATTCCACCTCAAAAGGCCATGGAGCAAACACTTATCCTATCAAATCAAATTTCCATCCAATTTCTCTACTAGCAAACCTCACATCACAAGCATCACGACAGTTAAACTTGCGCTCACAATCTATAGCAACAAAGTGAATCTCAACTTAACAACATCAAGTTCCATCCAAAAAACGGCAGCAGCCACTTCAAACTGATATTAAAAGCGACAATACACCCTAGTCTACACAAATTTACCCAAAACATCAAGTACTAATTACTCTCCCACCTTGTTGAACCACGGATCGTGGAGTATATCCAGGCTGCGCTTATGAACGATGGTCGGACGGTGCCCCTCCGTCGTGGTGAAACACCTCGAACCGTCCACATTCGCGGCAGAAACCGCCCTCCCCCGCGACTGAAACCGCTTCAGCAGCGCCGACGAGATCCTCATCTGGCGAGAGAAATTCCCCATCGTTTTACGGAGAAACTGGGGAGAAAAACAGTGATGGAGAATCGAATCTACTGAGCTCCTCTAATGGCGAGCATATTTGTATTACTCATGGAGTCAGTCACTTAACGGCGACAAACGGCTCACCTGCATCGGCATGGTTGCACTTCGTGCTTAGTTATTTGGACGTTCCGTAACGGAGGAGTGGTGCGGAATTCCACGGTCGTAGTATGAAGGCCAAGAGTCAACTCATAAGATAAAATAAAACTGCATTTTGGGTCATGGCCCAATTTCAAATAAAACTTCTTATTGGGCCAGGCCCAATTACAGAACTTTCATCTATCCGCTCTTATATATATAATGCAAAATCGTGCTACAAAATATAGCCTTATCTTTTCTTCATTCTTGTTTCAATTTCTTTAATTTTCATTTAAAACACTATGATTAGCGTGAAATTCATTTAAAACTAATTTTTAAAAGAACATATAAAAGTAAGTGTGTTCAGTTAATAATTTATTTTTTTTACAATTAGATTGTCACGGTTGTCTATAATACTATAATTTATTTTTACAAACCGTTAGTATGTAATCCCTCTGTTTTCCCTAGGTTATTTTTCAATTGCGAATTTTTAAAAAAATATAATAAACAATATAAAATATTCTTTTTGCAAAAATAAAAAAAAAAATATTTCAAATACTTATTAAAAAAATTCAAAAAATGAAATATTCAACTCAATATAATATATTTTATATTTTTAACACAATTCACTTCCGATGTATGAACAAAGCCAATTTCTTTTAAATTGAAGTGTAAAAATGTAAATATAATACTAGATAATTTTAAAATCATATGAATGAAATATAAAATACTTTCTCCGTTCCTTAATAATCTATTCATTTTTTCATTTTGGTTCGTCCCATAACAAAATATCGATTTTCTTTTTTAAGTAATTGTACTATTTACCTAACATTACAAATACCATTTCAATTTACAATATATTACACAAATATCATTATTTTTATATCATGCAATACTAATAGGATTAATTTAGTATTTTTACTTTTATTTCTACTTTATCTCAATATAATACTAATATTTCTAAAATCTCGTGTAAAAAATAAATGGGTATATAGATATGAGACGGAGAGATAAGTGGAGAGTGAAGTAATAAATAAAATAAAAAATAAAAAATTGACGTATATATTGGAGTGGCAGTCTTTGGCAAATCCCATTAATGAAAATATATTATATGGAATTAATGTCAACTGCCCCAATCAATATGTTCACCAACACTTCTTCGTCAACCAATTTTGTAGGACCCTTTCCTCCTCTTCAATTAATCCAACCTTTTCAACAAATTTAATTACTTGTATTTTTATTATTTTATAAACACTAATTAGCTTTAATATTTTGAAAAATAAATAATACTATATGTTTATTGAAAAATAACAATCATATAATATAAAAAAAAATTGGGGATAAAAAATCAGAATAAAACAATTTATTTTAAAAATAAAAATACAAAATCAAGATGAGTTTCAATTATTACATATCTCGTAGTAAAAAATTAAATAAAATAAATTATAGTGGTGAGAGGAGTAACATTGTGAAGGCAAAAGTCACTTACGAAAAATAAATCTACTTAGGGAATTGTAAAAATATTATTTTAATATTTTATGAGGGTATATAAGTAATTTCGATATGGGTGGGACATAAATTGATCCCATTGCCTCTATCAGAAGAAAAAATGCACCAAAGGCTAACGGGTATGTTCTTCTGTAATATTTAAAAATAAAAAATAAAAAATAATAATAATATTTAAATGATATCTTAATTCATTAAAAAAAAAAAAAAAAACACACACACCTTTAGTATAATACCCACGGTACATACTAATCATTCCCTCCATCTAATAAATAAATATCTATTTATTTTTATTTTTTTATAGAGTTCAAGATATATTAGTATTATATTAATATATAGCGAAAATAAAATATAAATAACTAAAATAATTTTATTAGTATTGTATAATATATTGTAATATTAAGTAGATTATGATTATTAAAAATGAGACGAAATAAAATGAAAAAGTTGATAATTTGTCCTTGGACGAAATGATTACTATTAAATAATCATTTTCTTACACCATTATATCTTTTAACCTATCCTTTATTTTTCTTATTATATCTATTTTGGATCATTTTCATAACTAAATATAGATGTTTGTGATTAAAATTACAAAAAATATTTAGAGTATGTACTTTTGCAGTTTTATGTCAATTTTTTAATATACAGTATGTTTTTTTCACAAAGCAAAAATAATAATAAAAAAAATTAAAAAATAAAATCAAACTCCAAAAGAATATACTCTTATAGGATTTTAATTGAATCACATTTACTTTTAGTCAATATAACAAAATAAGTCCGTCTAAGGGATAGTCTGGTGGTGTAGTGGTTAAATTTGTGACCAAATTTTTCCGTTTGGCCTGATTTGCAGGGTATTAGGTTCGGCCGGAGGTTTACCCAGCGAGCACTTTCGAATAGCAGCTGCGGGTTCCCACGTCATCCAAAAAAATATATATATATATATAACAAAATAATAATTTATACTACCAAGTATTCTTTCCAACATATGTATTTCATGTTTTAATTCAACCAACCACACAATAAGTTCTTTTGTGATTTCAAATAAAAATTAATATTATTTATTCTATATATTTTTAAAAAAATACCCTTTTTTTTATTTATTTCATAAAATACTACGTTTAAATAATATTTAAATTGCAGCCATATTTTAAATTAATATTTAATATGTTTTATTTGTATGTAGATTTCTAATTTAAAATTTATTTTTGGTATTATATTAAAAATAAATTTATAGTTAAAATATCATTAATATTTATTATATCACATCAAATTATTATTATTATTATTAAAAATATTGAACTCACTTCTTAAACCCGTACAACCACACTCAAAGTTGCGGGGAGGACGTGTGACGTCTAAATTTCAGTTTATTTATTTGTTAGTATTTTTTATTTATTACTCTATGTAAAAATATATGTATATATAATTCAATTTTACTAAATATATTAAAAATCAATTTAGGTAAAAATAGAAATAAAACCACCAATTATCACAAGAAAAATAAAATATATACAAGTAACAAACTCTTATTTATATTTTTTACTATATTTGTTCGAATGATTAATGAATAAATATAGTAAATTATTTCATATTATAACATATTTTTTAAATAAAAAATTTAATTTTTTATCGGAAAATTCTATTTATTCCCATTAGAATCTAGTTCAAAATAAAAAACATATATATACATAAATTTATAAATTACATTTCATATCGCTGTTATAAAAATAAAATAAAAAAATGATTGCCGGAGTCAGCGGGCTGCGTTTCTCCACTTAACTCCAACTCTCACCAAGCTTCCATCTCTCTCTCTCTCTCTCTCTCTCTTAAATGCTCTCCCTCTCTCACACAAACACACGCTTCTTCTTCTCTACAAACAAAACCCTAATTTTCTACAAACAATCGATCAGATCAATCCACAGAGCATTTCAGTTTCAATTTCAATTTCAATTTCAATTTCAATCCCAATTTTGATCGGAATTCAATTCGCTAATGACGTGCAAGAAACACCGCGCCGATCTCAGCAGCACCGTCGGCGTCTGCGCCTCCTGCCTCCGTGACCGTCTCCTCGCCGTCGTCGCCGCCCAGTCCACATCCAGGCACGGCTGCCGGAGAATCGACACCGCGGCGGCGCCGCCCTTCCCGCGCTCTGTATCGCCCTATATTTCCAGGAGGAAATCAGACACCGCAGGCGACACGTGGCAGATCGGCGGTCTGGGCCGCCGGTTCTACAGCACGCCCCAGGTAGGCCCAACCGGTTCGGTCTACCGGGTCGAAGTTAAGGAGAGGAGAACCGGCGCCGGCGGCGGGAGGCTGTCGTCGCTGTTCGGGAGGCTGTTCAGATCGAAATCGGGAAAGTTCGATTTCGATTCCGGCCCGATCTCGGAGGATCCTTGCTCCGATTCGCCGCCGTCGTGGTTCTCGAGCTTAATTCCCCGGCGACGGAAGAAGGCTGCCGCCGCGGAGGCGGCGGCGCTATCGTTGGAGGCGCGGCGGAGGAGGCGGCGCCGGAATCGCGACCGGGGAATGTCGCCGGCGAGATTCTCCGAGGAGGACGACGCGCATTGCTACGGCGGCTCGAGCGGGTACTCTTCGGAGTCTTCGCAGGGTGGGTGGAAGCAGACTCCGCGGAGGACGCCGGCGGCACTCCGCCGCGGCGGCGCCGGAGGTAGGTCGACGGCGAGCGCCAATTACGCTTCGAACTTGACATTCTGTCTGAGCCCTCTGGTCAGGGCTAGTCCCAATCAACGTCAGAAAGGAATTCCGCCGGATACGGCGGCGCCGGTGGAATCTAGGGCGTCGCCGGCGGCGGCGGCTTTTTTTTGCAAGAACCGTTCCCGGAAACTCGCCGATCTCGGAAGGTACAGCTATTGATAGATTGACTTTTGACCACGTCAATTTTTACCTGTGAATTTACCGTTTACCCCCACCCCCTCATTGTTACTATCATTGTAGATGCACTTCCACCCATTTTTCAAATAGTAATAATAATAATAAGGAAAAAATATATATTATATTATTTTTTATATATTGGGGATATTTAGCTGTAACACAATAGTAGTTGAGGTTTTATAAATGCCCTTTATTTTCATTCCTCTCTTTCCATTATTATTATTATTATTATTTTTCTTCATTAATTAATTAATGGTCCAACAATATTTTTGATGTATGGGACCTTTTGGTAGCTTAAGGTGTTGGCCTCAAATTTCATTTAATTTAATGTCTTTGTAATCTACATGTTATGTTAAGAGATTAAGCCCATAATCAACCCTTTATAAGATATTTAATTCTTTAATTTATATATATATATGATTATTTTGTATTTATATTATAAAATATATATGTATATATGTACATATATGTGTGTGATTGATTGTTGGAATTTTGAGTGTGCTGCCAAAACAATATGAAAAGGCAGTGTTGCTTTAAAGGGTACTTTTGTAATTTCATGTGTGTAAGTGAAAAGAAATCTGATAGTTTAGTTGGAGCTGTCTTTTGCCTTTTTGTGCTTTGTATCCTTTTGCCCAAATACAACACTCACTATGCATCATGCAATTTTTTAGACTAATTTATTGAGTTAGATTTTTTTTTTACTTACACAGTAATTTTGAGGTAATTTTTGATACGATAAAATTATATGCTTTTATAGTATTTTCTTCGTTTCCATAGAATGTTCAAGTTAATTTAGATACAAAAATTTTAAAAAAATTATAATTAATAATAATTAAAAAGTGTATTAATACATATAGTTATGATATAATATAAATAATTATAAATTAATATTAAAAAATATAAATAATAAAATTTAAAATATAATAAAATATATATATTTTTTCAATAAATAAATATATAGAACATTCGGAAATAGAAATATTGAGCAAGGGAGTAAATTGTTTAACAAAATATTAAAATCAAACTTACAAAAATATAGCTTAAATTCACAACGGTATCCACCAAGATAATTGTGCATGTTACCGAATTTACTAAAATTAAATTGATAAAAATAAATTAGTAAAATTGAATACATGGGGTAATAAAAAAATTACTGTACAATAATATTAGTCTCTCTCTGTCTCATAACAGAGTATCAATTTTTTCATTTGAATCCGTCTCATAATAAAGTATTAATTTTTTTTAATAACTTCACTATCTACCTAACGTTACAAATACCCTTACAACTTACAATATATTACACAAATGTCATTACTTTTATATCATACATATTAATAAGGTTATTTCAGTTATTTCTACTTTATTCCTATTATATCTCAATATAATACTAATATTTTTAAAACTATGTGAAAAACCAAATGGATATTTAGTTATGGGACTGAGAGAATATTATTATTATTATTTTTAAAATTATCATTTTTTCTTGCAAAATATTAGAACTAGCAATTATTGGTTGTATTTGATTATGGATTTTTGATTTTTCATCATATTACTTATTACTATTCATTTTTTTTTTTTGTTATTATTATAGAACATTATATTAAATTTTTTTTTTTTTATCTCTAATATTAAATTTATATTAAACATTATTTTATTTTTATATTATATTAAATAATTATTTAATTTGAATTTTGACTATTTTCAATTCCGAAATCAAACTCATCAATTGATCAAAACACGAAGAGGGTATGTTTGTTTAGTAAAATTGTTTGAAAAATATTTTTTTTATATTACATATAAGAGAAATTGTATAAATAATATAAAAATAATAAGCGTGTATAATATATTAATTTTTTAAAAAAATACATTTTTGGAAAATTGTGGAAGAACAAACCGGTCGACTTTTTTCACATTGTTGGATCCTCTCGTTTGATTGTACGTGGGGTCTCTGCACGGTTTAAAATATATTATTATTTTAAAATCTTAAATTATACTCTTATATATTTTATATAAAATATTATATTTTAGTGAACATACAGAATATTTTTATTTAAAACTTGAATTCAATATTTTATTAAAATTGCTCGCTTTGTCCACGTAAATTATGTTACCATTTTTTTTAATTTAAATTTATATATAATTTATTTATAATAAATAATTTTATACGCTCACAGTTTTATTACTATTATTTTTTAACAAATAATAATTCATGTACCACTATTTTTTTAAATTTAATTCACCATTTTTTATTAACCATTTAATAATTTTTTAAAAATATTACCTTTTTTTATCTACTTTATTTTAATATTAAAAATAATATTATTTTTAGTCTTGCCCAAACAAATCAACATAATTTGACATGGGACAATATATTTTTGTTGATGTATTTTTTCAACAATAAAAAGTAAAATACGAAAATAGGAAATTATCTTCGAATTTATATAATTCGTGTCTGAGATTAGAAATCTAAACACTGTAGGATACAAGAAAATAAAACTACAGACTGGAAAATAAAGTGGTGATCCCAAAGGCAATTCTTTTAAATTTGACGTCGTTTGAAGATGATTTTTCAGAACAGATCCGAATCCTTAAATATTCCTTCAAGAAAAAGTTTCAGAACCGTCGCCGGGTTGGTTACAGCAATCGCCCGCCAATTCTTCCTTTATTGACACGTGTCTTTAACCGTCTCGCCAAACGCTTTCACCAGTTCCAAAACTCAACTAGCTCGACCGACCATTCCAGAGACTAACTGGTCGCTAGACCAAACAACTTATTGGTCGCCCCATCAAGCCACCAACATCTGATCTCTCCAGACAATTCAATGGCCGTCCCAAACGAGCGACTGAACTACTGTTCACTTAATTGGGCGACAAATTAACAAACCTAATCTTTCCCGACTTCCTCTTTCGACCGACCTCCGTGTCAGCCGTCTTTCTTTGTCGGACTTCTTCTTTCGATCGACCTCTGTATCAACCGTCCTTCTTCGTCCGACTTACTCTTTCGACCGACCTCCGTATCAACCGTCCTTCTTCGCCCGACTTCCTATTTCGACCGACCTCCGTATCAACCGTCCTTCTTCCCCCGACTTCATCCTGCCCGATCTATATGCCATCCGACCTGGATGCATTTCCTTCATCCGTCCGATCTCAGTTGGTCCAACCGCGAGACAACCGACTACGAACTATCCGACAGCGAACCATCCAATAGGCTCTGTTTGCCTTATCTCCTTAGATGAACAACTGGTTCAACAGACTATCCTCTTGACAGACCTCCGCGTCTGCCGATACTTCTTCTTTGTCCGAACTTCATCTTGACAGACCTCCGCGTCTATTTCTGCTTTGCCCGACCTTATCACGTCCGATCTCCGTGCCCGACGTTATCCTGTCCGACCGCAGACCTTCCGATCTGCTTATCCGACTGCGGACCAACCGACCGCGGACAAACCGACCTGAGTGCATATTTTCTACTTTTCCGCCGACTTAATGTCCTAACTTCCTTTAAGATTCTGTTACCATTATTATTATTATTATTATTATTATTATTATTATTGTGCGTAACAATTTTATAAAAAAAATTTATAATAATAATAATAATAATAATAATAATAATAATAATAAAACATTACAAATATTTTGGTTAGGTTCGTGGAATTAGGCATGAAATTGTGATGAGTTTCCAACAAAGTGTGCAAGATTCCCACTAACTATTGTTGCAACAAAATTCAAAATTAGAATTTAATGATTAGAATATATGCCATATCAGATGTTTTCAATCATATAAAAGTGAATGCGATTTTATGAATTATGTTTATTTAATATAACATATATTATATTATCCACAAATTAATATCCTACTTTTTTATTTGGAATGTTCAACAACTATTGTCTTATTTTTTTTTAAACATAAATTTTATATTTTTACTTTTCATTCATTTATTATTTTTAATCTTTATAATATATTTAAAGACAAATTTGTTCATTCATAATAACAAAAAAAATCATCTGAAAAACTGTGTAAATATATTTTAAAATAATAGAAAATGGACGGAGAAAGTATTATAATTTAATATATATTGAATATTGAGTAGTAAATAGCAAAGGTACGTAACGTTGAGTCTGAATCTGACTCAACAATGGCGGTGCTGCTACTGCTGGGTGGGGGGCGTGGGCCCACCTATCATTTATATTCCATATACATTGTAAAAAAATAAATAAATAAAAACAATGTTCTTGGTGTGTTTTACAATAAATTTTACTACTAATTTTTTTGTTTTTTAAAAAAATATCATATTAAATAATTTTTTTTATATTATATTATAAATTTATTTTAAATTCAAAATATCATATTAGTCTCTATTTATTATTAGTAGTACATGAACTATAATTTTAATTAAATATACTTTATAAAATTTAAAACATATGCTTATAAAATAATTTTTAGTTATAAATTAAAAAAACTACAATATATATCTTAATTTGATTAGCCAATCAAAGAGGCACATTTTTGCCGAAAGGAGGGCGTAATTATTAAATCCAACTCCCTTCAAAATCAAAATCAGTTTTCAACGTTCAACAGTGGACACATTCAATTCTGTTCATTTTTATTTTTATTTTTATTTTTTTTAATAATATTTATTTTGTTATTCAATACAAGTGATGACGACTGATGATGTTGATTTCCTATGGTCGTGGCTGTGTTATATTCACTTTCTTAAATATTGTTTATTTTATTTTCTTAAACTAGTAAACCATAAATTTTAATAACTATTTCACCTTAAAAATATGTAAATATATATTCTAAACCCTAAATATACAATTTATTTGCTTGAACTTTTATTTTGTTATTTGTTAAGTTGGCTTCATACTATTTAGAACAATAGGCATAAATTATAAAATAATAATCGAATTCTAATTCGATGCGCCTAATAATTGAGAATCTTACCTAATAATATCACTTAATGACATTTATTAGCAATTAAAAAAAAATATATTTTTTTTTTAAAATTTGAGAATATATTTTAGTATTAAAAAAATATTATGGTATTTATTCCCATACTATTATTATATATATATATATTTTATTTCTTCTTTAAAAAATGAACAATAGTGAAAGGGAAATCAAATGATTGAGGGAAAATTCATATTATTATTATTATTATTATTATTATTATTATTATTATTATTGCAGTGTAATTAAATGAAGGAGCAAAAAACAGATAGGTAAAACCAAAATAAAATTTGGACAGTACTTTGGAAAAGAAAAAGAAGGGATATAAATTATTTGTTCTTCAGTTGATTAGATATTTTGGATTGAAGTAAAAAAGATCATCCCTAACAACTCTCAACCCTTTCATATATATATATAAATGATTGCTATATATATAGTTATATATATATATATACATATACATACTCTACTTCTCACTGATTGATCGATGATATATGTAAAGTTCAATGAATTTTGTAGTTTGTTTACTTGTGTTTGTTTATATGTGTTTCAATTTTATTTAATTATTTATATATATATACTCTAAGGGAATATTCGACCATTAGCTGATAGCTGATTTGATTAGTGGTTATCTGATTCAATTAAATCAATAATTTAGTATTAATTATTTATAAATAAAATGGTAACTAATAATTTTTTATTTTTAAAATATTTTGTTATTGTACAGATTTTTATCATTATTAGATGTTGAGAATTAGAAAAATATTACTAAAATATTTACTTTTGTTATTTTTCAAATAATTTTTGAAAAATTAATATTACTTTAAGATTTATTTTATACAAATTATTGCCTTCAATAAATATCTTTATTTAGAGAAATAATAAAAGCTCGCAATCAATCATTCTTACTACAATTCAAGGCATTAAGGTAATATTATGCTTTATTCACCTATCATTATTTTATTTTATTTTATTTTTTACTATTCAAACCCCTTTGATATTCTATATAAAATATAAAATATTATATTTAAACAAAATTAATAAAATAAAATAATCAACTAATAACACTGTTTTTGAAAATACATCTATACACACATCAAGATATTTCTTGTAGCAACCTCGTTCCAATTCATTGGGAGTTAATCATTATTATTGATAATTTGAAATATTTAAGAATTCTCAGGAATGATTATACGAACACAATTTTTACTGTATTCAAAATTCTTTTACAATATTTATTAAATTTTTTAAAAATGATCACTTCAAATAATTATTTCAAATTTATGTTGTATTTATTTAGATTTAAAGTGTTTGTGCTCAAGTAACTCAATTGAAATGATTGAATAGAATAGTGTATTTTACAAAAATAAAAAAATAAAAAAATGATTATTATTGATTTTCAGATGATGTTGAAGCATTTTCAATCAAGACTATTCTGAAATTGGTAATGCTACAAATAAATAATGGGTAAATAATTCATTCTTGATTTAGACTATTTTTGTAATATAATCATTACTGCTAAATTACAAAACAAGAAAAAGCATAACATAACATAACAAAACAAATGCTATTTATAATAAATAAATAAATAAAGATATATATATATATACATACACACATCTGTACGTGTGTGTGTGTTTGTGTCACTTCATTTGTTCCTTACCGTGTGAATAATCAAATCAAAGTCAATTTATAAGGATTTTAATAAATTAAAATATGAATTCCTCTTTGTTTTAAACTACTTGCAAATATAATAAGAGGCGGAATCACACCGCGATGAGAATGAGAGCTAATTTTTTAAATTTAAAAATGATCATCATTTATTTGTTATCCAATAATTTTATCAATGAAATTATCATATTTATAAAATCCTGCAAAATATCAATCTACAGTGACAACTGCATATTATCAGATGAATTTTGTATTATATTAAATTGATAAATAGTAAAAATATTTATTAAAAAAATAGCTCTTAAAAATATCATCTCCTATGTATTTAGTTGAGAATTTTTTTAAGATTTTCTTTTTTAAAAAAAAATTATTATTTATTATTTTTTTGTTCATATCTATTTTTATAGCATCAAACAATTATTATGATATAAATTTTTTTATTATTCAAAAATTTAAATTTTTACATAAATACTCTATCAATTTTTAACAATTTTTTAATTTATTTATTAATTTTTATATTATAAATTAAAAAATTAAAAATTAAAGGCCCCTTAACCCCACGTACATCCGCCCTGAATATAATACTACATTTATTATTTCTAATTTATTATGATTATAGATCACAAGAAAACAACAAAGCCTATATCTTACATCTTTACATTATTAATCAATAGCTAGCTTATCCAAAGTAAAAAGGGTTTTCAAGTAGTTTAATAGTATTAAAAATTTGAATCTATTTACAATATTAATTAATTATAAATCAGCTCAAAACCCTAAAGGCTCTCAATTAATTATAAATATTTATGGTAACAGATCCTACTTATTTAGAAATATGTCCCACTAAGATTTTCGCCTAAAATTTTTATCATACGTTATTTATATGCTTAGATCTCATTATGTAGAATTTATTTAATCATATAAAATAAATGTAGCACGTGCATGTTTATTGCAACCATTTGTTATTATTTAATATATATGGAAAAGCTAGCCTATCTATATAATTCAACAAGAATATCATACCACTTGACATCATAATTCTTCTAATAACAATAATGAAATGGGCAGCTATTCATTCTTTCAAAATTGAAAATAAATAAATAACAAGAAGAAGCAGCCAATATACGTACAATAATTTTACATAGGTAGACTGATTTAGACACTAAGTAATATAATCTAATTTATTGTTGACCTAATCTTGATAATCCACATATTAAAAAAACTACTTTTGAGTTTGAGCTAAATTCAAGACATTAGAAACTCAAATAACATATAAATCGAGTATAAGCACATCAAAGCTCGAGTAAACACCCCATTCTTATATAATAACATGTAATTCGACCGCGCGCAATGCAACAAAATAAATAAATGAAAATTCTTGGTTATATTGTAGCATGTATAAAGTTTATTACATATATATAATTCACACTTTTCTTCTAATCAAGAAAAGGTTTTAGATTCTAGGCTAATCCGGTCAAGTAGTATTATATGCTATAGGGGTGACCAGCATATGTTTATACAGTGTTATAAGATAGCATATGTTGAATTATAATATAATATATGTTGTTCACCACTCGAGAGAATTATTACAACTTATATGCAATAGTAGGAATAATAAATTTATGAGTGAAAAATACAAATGATGAATGTAAGTAGGCAAAATGCATGAACGAGGGAGTAGTGAAATTGTTGAATAAGTGGTCCAAACCAAACAAATCCAAATGTAATTATTAGTGTAATAATAGAATGATATATAGTGCACGATCGACTTATTTTATTTAATATATAGTCTTAAAGTAGAAGTTTGTGGTTTGTCTTATTTTATGACCACTGTTAGTTAACATTCATTACCTACAAATATTCTTCACCACATGTGCACCTTCATTCATACACCATAGCTAATAAGTCACCACCAACACTTTCATTATCATATTCTTTCTAGATGGTGAGATTTATGTATGTATATGTATATATATACGCATGTATAGTTTACCTACTAGCATATATAATTGTCCTAAAGTTATATGATTGATTTCTCCTTCCTGTCTTATTCCCCATGTTGTTTCATGTTCATATGCATAAACTATGGGGAAGAAAACCACTTGTATACACACCTACATGTTCTAATTGTAACGGAATAAATTTTACTCGGTTCAAACTAACTAAACCAATATAAATTTCAGAGTTTAGTTTCAATTTTTTTTTTACTATGCAATTATTGTAATTTCCTATAAAAATACATTGTCTACAGTCTACTCTCATAAAACATAACATCCAAACTACTAGTTAAACTAAAAACAAAACGAACTCCAATTTCTAACCGTTAAAACTTTGTTATATATATAAGTGCGCTTCCAATCATAAATAAAATTTGTATATGTACCTTCAACAATGTCGTTTTCAATATTCAGCCTGTTCCATTTCTTGGATAGTCTCCTCTATCCATTTCGCAATTTCTTTCACCTGTAAACACAAAATTTAAGTAAAAAATATTGTTTAGATGAGAGAAACTTCGACCCCTTTTCTCCAATTAACAAAATCAGGCAACAAATGTTCAACAATTCTCCCTATAAAACATAGCATGTTTCCTCATGCCATCCAACAAAAAGCAAATGTATTATGGTATTTACGATTTTTCAAGAGAATGGCGCAGAGTGCAAACAACAATCTTTGCTAAGAAGGGATTTAAAATGGTAACTCGGCTAGACACAGTTATAATAACTTACAAACATTTCAATATTTTTCAAACATAGAGCAAAGTTATCTATCCATTTCATCCATGTCCTTCATCTATTCAGAGATATTTATATACCCTGCAGATTTGTATCTGAACACTAGACGAGAATGAGCAATGTTTTGCATCAAACTCACAGTCGAAGCCAAGGTGCTATTGGTGTGAGAGTGCACAGAAAAGCAATACTTGGCTGACACTCCCCCCAGCACGTGACTGCCTAAACACTCAAACAATATCATCGAATAGTCCATCGCTTCACCAACCAAGATTCAGCCGTCTTTGTAGCTGCCTTCTGTTCATGCAAGCCATTGTATCATCATCCTGTCATTTCACTTGCAAAACGATGCCAGCCAGCTCAATAATTGAGCAATATGTTGAAGCTTCTGTCGAGCCACAAACCCATCAAATCCCAGGCCAACCGGCAGCCATACATCTTTCAACTACCTTGACAAATTTCAATACTTAGCTGGGAGAAATTAGCAACATTACTTTGGCAAACTGGTCAAGTCCCACCAAGCTAATAAAATTTTTTTTAAAAAAAAAATTAGTTCTTAAATTTATAAAAAATATTAATAATTTGCATCAAGGAGGCTTTTTGCAGGCTGTAGCTATATATTAAAATTTAATGCAGCAACTTTAATTTATTTGACTGCATTCTTTGCATGAACCTCAATATAATATATGCATATGTATCCTCTATTTGGTAAAACTGAACATTGTACACAGGTTTTAGCCATAATCCTAGCACCTCACTCATGAAACATTCTTTTTATGGTCTTTAAGATCTTCAAGTTTGAAATTCCAATGGATTAATTACTCACAGAACATTTCAAATATGCCATTTTGCTGAGTAGAGGATATACAGTATGATATATAAGTGCAGTCAAAGAAATTAAATTGATCAAGGAAAAAAGGCCTGCAGTGCAATGGAGTCAACAAATTGAAGTGACTGCATTCAACTTTTTGCTGTAGGTAAAAGGCATGCTGTTAAGCCAATTTTTATTAAATAGATTGCTAGCTGTTCTCTCTATAGGATGGCCAACAAAACTTTATTATTAGATTATTGGACAGACCATGTCTAAGAAAATAACACTTGCCAAGTTTCAAAAAATATTGACACAAGAGATCATTTTGCCAATTTCAACTACTTCGCTACATATGTAACCCTGTCGGTTCACCCTCAGTACCCGTCAGATCACTTAGAATTAGGAGCAACACAGTGAACCATGAGAATTAATGAGAGAAGGTGATAATAAATTAATAATTTGGGGAGACATTTTTGAGTTATTATGGTTGAATATATATGCATAAGAATAAACAAATGGCTTTCAAAGAATATTTACAGTCTATGAAAACTACACTCTTGATTTATGTATTAAACTCTTATCCATTCTCTGTTACGAAATTAACACCCTTCATGCAACAGGTACTTAACCAGATGGATAAGTAATACTATTACTAGCACAATCAAATCTGCAGAACTTTGGTGATAAAAAATGAACACCAGTGAAACTTTCTATACTTAGCTTTGGACTTCTAATCCACCCCATGTATGTACAATAAGAATCCATTTTGATGGACATGTATATCATAACAAACCAGATAGATAAGTCTCATTAGCATATTTTAAATGGGTTTTTTAAAATACAATTTCTTTTCCACGTGGTTTTAAACAGATTATATTTCATAGGGACCAAAATATTTATGGTTGAACCAGAGAACTTCAATTAACACAAGACCAAACAAAACAATATATATATATGTATATATGCAAACTTAACGAGTTTCATCCTTTTTGTGTGACTTGGATGAGATGCAAATTAATAAGTTTAGGTTTTCTGGTGCCCACAGCAGTAAATTCGCAGAAAACATATTCATTCCTCGTCACAAAATTCCACAAGTCGCCCTATACCAGGATTAAATGCTTTTCATCCACTTTCGCTATCATCTAAATTCAAAAAATCAAATAAATAATTAAAGCAGTACACATTGCAATAGCATACATGACTTTCAGCCCCATGGCTACGTTTCAGCTATCTTACGAAAACACTAAGAGCACCGATCATAATTGAGGATTCAATATTACCATCACAATTTCAACAAACAGCATTAAAACAGCAAAGAAAATCAAGCTGACCAGTTCAAAATCAACATCGCGTCCTACTTTCATACCCAATAATGCGATTGATTATATGTATGTATATATTTAAACAGCAAAATCCAAAATACGCACTCGTGTAAAGGTGAACAAAAATCGAATAAAAATCGGAGAAATACCTGCGAATAATGGCTCAAACATCAACAAAATATTAACTATTCCACCGGAGAGGAGAATCAAGGGTTTGTTTTTAACTGCTCAATCTTCACCTATTACGAAAAACGAAAAACCAATAAATTGAATAGTCTGCGTGGGTGTTTTTTGTTTTTTGTTTTTTCTAAATAATTAGAAAATCTTCCAACCGGGCCGACCCGGCCCATGATCCCTTCATTCTGGACCCAGCCCATGAGTTTCTTGTTCTTTTTTTGGTATTTTGCTCTTCTAAATGTAATTTATAAAATTATTGTTTTAAAAAAAGGCAAAATGATTTTAGAAAAATAACTATCAAAATTATACCACATTAAACTAAAACTAACAATTTTAATAGGACATAAAGAAAATAAAATGTTAATTTAAATTTTTATTTAAATAATATATTTTTATTAAAAAATCATATAAATTAAATAAAAATATTTTTTAAAATAAAGATATACACGCCTATATATACTATATATATATATATATAATTTAACATTAAAATAGTCTATGGTGTACTGGGTGTGTGACTCTGTGTGTTTTAATTTGACTTGGGTAATGATTTGTACGTGATATATTTTTTAATATAAAATAATTTATTTTTTATAAAAAAATTATGAATACTGTGTAATAAAATAAATAAATTAAAATTCAATTAAAATCAAGAAAAATCGAGTATATTAGAAGTAATATTTTATATGAAAAAGAAATTATTTTTATTGAGAATAATAAAATTTATATGATAAAAAATCGGAAAAAAAATAAAAAAAATGCCCTTGGTTATATTTGTTCACGAGATATTATGTCATGTGTGACTATATTCAACTACATATTTATTGTATTTGTATTTTAATTAAAATATTTTGCTTAATATACTATTAAATTTTGATAGGCCATTTTCAATCTTTTTCAAAGTTAAACATTCTTGTACTCTAACACACATGTTGCCTGTTAATTTAAGCATGGGCTTTTTGATATTGTTGATTTCATCAATTTTATTGTTAAATAAACAGAATAATACTTCCTCGTCCATTTTCTAATATCATAAGTGATATTTATAGGCTTTTTTAGATAATTAGTTTTTTTTGTTGTAAATTGACAAAATAACCCTTTATTTTGTATATAGATATAACAAAATAAGAGTAAAAGAGTAAATTCTATGTATAAAAATAGAAAAAGGACAATCATTTTTTGAGGTTCCAAATAGTAAAGTAGGACATTAATTTGTGGACGGAGGGAGTAATATTATTGCTATTATTTTTTTAAGAATCGATTGAACATATCGTGCCTTTTGGAGTCAATTTGTAATTTAATTACACTAATTAATTACCTATTGACAGTTAACAATATACATATACACACATATTTAATTATAATTTCAAATACTCCATCCGTCCGTTACTAAATTTTTCATTTTTCATTTTAGTATGTTCAAATAAAAAAAAATTTATTATTATTTTTACAGAAAAAATAATTCTCAATTAAATACCAAAAAAACTCTACTTTTTATTTTTTACATTACTTTTTAAGGATAACATAGACATTACAGTACATTTATCACTACTGCGGAAATTTATGGACATTACATATTTGTCTAAAACATCACATGTTGTGTGTGATGTATGAAATAAAGACAAACATTGTTGTTTATAGTTATAACGTATGTTGTACTGATGTACTAAAATCAATTGTTACATGTGTTGTTAGTTATGTATTGTATTTATATTATATTAATATATATGATGCATTTTATACAATAATATTATATTTTCGATTAATATATGATGTATTGTCTATAAGATTTCAATAACATCTCCTTTCTAAAAACATGAAGAAGTTTCATATACTTTTTAAGTCATAAGCAGACTTTCCAAATTATGTGAAATTTTTTTTTTTTTTTGCCAATGATATAATAAGGAAACGATATAATATTATGATTTTAGTATTTTTAAAATTCAAATAACATATTTCTATAAAAACTTAAGGAATTTCTACTAAAAAAAATATATATATTTGAAAAAAATGTGAAAAAAAATAATAATAATAAAAAGTGGAGAGTGGAGTATTATAATAATTGTTCATCATTATTGTATCAATTTTTGGAAAAAAAATAATTTGGCAAGTTGATGACAATTAAATATCATGTCATGTGGCCATCATTCATCATCCTTCGCAATCACCAGCCATATTGATATTTATATAAATAAATAAATAATCAAAAATATTAATAAAAAAATTATATAAAGAACACACAGTTTGTTGGGCATGAAATAATATTAATAATAAAAAAAAGACAATAAAACAGGCATGTTGAAAATGAAATAGTTGATTATGATATTGCCCATTCGAAATATTCAAAGTTAGTTATAAGGCTATATTTTATTTTATTTTATTTTATTTTAATTTTTAAATACATTTTTAAGATGAGTGTAACTATTTCCATACGTCATTTTAAAATTTAAATTATTGCTCGAGAGAAAGTATATTTAAACAGTGCATTAAATAAGCGAACAAAAGGTGAAAAATATATTTATTAATGAATTAATAATAATAATAATAAAAACATATGATTATAAAAATTTAGTAAATTATTTATTCTAGAGTAATTTCAAGAAAAATATTTTGGCCCATCATTTTATACAAGTGTGTTCATTTGTTTATATCTTGGTTATATTCAGTATTTTTCACTCATACAGGAATTTTTATTAGACTGCAATTTTATTTTATTTTATTTTATTTGTGGCATTTGATTTTAATGTTGGAAAAATATAGATAAAAAAAAATAAAAATAAAAATAATTGAATGTAAATGGACGCAAAATAATTGATTATAATTATTTGGAATGTGGAAGGATTAAGTCAGGCACTTATAAAGTAGAAAATGACTTGTAATTTTTTGGGACCATTTTTTCTCCACCTTAAAAATCTTCATATTCTACAAATAAAAGTACAAATATATATATATGCACTTTTCATAATTTTAGTACTATTCAAAAATAACAATATTTTTTTTCAATAAAAACATATTGTATTAAATATCTATTTTTTATTTAATTTATTTTACAAACTTCAAATTCTAAAGTTACAAGTGTATTTGTTTTGTGAAATTGTTAAAAATAAAAAAAAATTATATGAGGTATAAAAAAATGTATAGAAAATATAAAAATAATGAATATGTATAGTATAATTTTTTTTTTGAAAAAACGTGCAGAAAAGAAAAAGATAAAAAGAAAAAAACTATATAATGTCTATGTGGATCTAATTTAATTTAACTTTATAGCTTGATAAATGGTTTGTTTAATATGCATTTCTCTTCATGATTCTTTGTTTATATCATTATTAACAAAAATATACTCCATCCGTCTCATAATAAAGTATTCATTTTTTCATTTTAGTCCGTTCCATAACAAACTATCTATTTTTTTTAGTAACTGTACTGTATATTTAACATTACAAATACCCTTACAACTTACAATATATTATACAGGTGTCATTACATTTATATCACGCATACTAATAAGGTTATTTTAGTCATTTCTATTTTATTCATACTACGTTCAAATAAAATACTAATATTTTTAAAACTACGTGCAAAAAGCAAATGGATGTTTAGTTATGGAACGGAGGAAGTATTATTTATTTACCAAAAACTTATATAAGAGAATATATTTTAGATCAAAAGGTAAATTCAAAATACAAACTAAATAAATTCAATAAAGTCTAAAAAAAAAAGTAACATGGTAAAAGACAACGAGTTAGGTGAAAGAAGAAAAAACAAAAGGTGGCAAAAAATAGAAAAATATAAAAAAGCAAAAAGCTAGCTTTATTATTATTATTATTATTTTATATTAAATTCGCGGTGTAGAAAAAAAAAAAGTAAAAAGTAAATCATGGTATTGTAAATGACGTACTATAAATTGATTAGGTTTTTTATATTTCATTTTTTACATCAGTCGTTATTTTTATCGACAATATCATCTCTAATTGAGAAAAATATTATAATAGAATGTTCTACAAAAGAAATTATATCGTAAATATATATTTTTTTTATTTTATATATAAACGATTATTTTTTTTATCAAATATTTTAATATAATTTATTTAATGAATTAGCTAGTCAAAAATACTCAAGTCTCAAACCAATTATCTAACTAAATTAACTAGCAGCTCAAAATTAATTAAAATCAACTAACAACTAATTAAACATATGCTAAAAATCAAAACACACAATCATATTAAACAAACATATTTGGATTTTAATTAATATATTTTTAAATTTAAATAATTATTTAATATAATATCCAAATCCAAATATTGATATTTTTTTTCAATATAAGGGTACGTTTTGTTTGTTTTTTTTTTTTATACATAACTCTGGTTTTTACTATTTGAACTTTTTATTTTTTAAAAATATTAATTTTTTTCTCTCGTAAAATATATCATCATACATTATTTTAATACTAAATTTAAATCAAAATTATTCCAAATCCATCAAAAGAAACACACCCTAATTTTAAGTATACAAAGATAATTAATACTCCCTACGTCCCAATACAATAATCTTGTAACTATTTTTGTCCGTTTCAAATAATAATCTTATTTCCATAAATAACCATGTCACTATATAACTATCCTTACTCTTTCATTATTATTACAGAATTGCCACTATCTTTTACACTGATACACTTACAAGGACAAAAATATCTTTTACTTGTATTTTTTACCCACTATCAATATAATATCAATATTTTCTAAATTCTGTGTCAAACACAACTAAGACTATAGTTTTGGGACGAACGAAGTATTTATTTTAAAGAAATAATCAAGCATACACAATCTAAGGTTGTGTTTCTCTTGATCATGATTTGTGAAAATTGAGTTTGAGCTGGAATTGAATTTAAATTCTAAGATAAGTTTGAAATTTTGTGTATTTTTTAAGTTTATAAATTTGGTTTGAATTTGAAAGTTTTGATATATATTAATTTGATAACTAATCACTATAATGATATAAATATGTATTAAATTAAATTAAATAAAAATTAGTAATGATGTAATTTGTGTATTAAGTTATTTTAATTAAAAATAGACTTATATTTTATTTATATATTTATATTATATAAATTATTTTTTTTTTTACAAAATAATATTTATATTGTATATATATTTTTTTATATATATATGTTAAAGTAGGAATATTTTTAATAAATAAAATATTTCATAAAATAATTATTTTATAATTAGACAAGTTAAAATAAAAATATAATATTTCCGTTCAACTTGTCTCATTTACTTTATGCGTCATTATATTTAACATTAAAAATATTTTTATATTTATATAAATTTTTGCAAAAATATTATTATAGTAGTATTATCAAATACTAATAAAAATATTTTTTTTTTTAATTTCTACTGTATTTTGATATAATAATTAATGTTGTAAAAAGAAAATGAGTGAACCTAAAAAATAATTGTTTGAATGAAATAACTTTTGAATTAATATTTAAATCAAAATTTAATGCTCTCTTTGCACAAAAATCAGTTTGGACTTTGATAAATACTTATTGAATTAAACAGATATTTTATAAAATATATTCCCTCCATTCCACATAATTTGTCCTTATTTTTTATTTTCGTCCGTCCACATAATTTGTCCATTTCTTTTTTGGAAATATAATTATACACTTTAATCTATTTTAAATTTTAAATTTTATAATTTTTTTAATCTTAATTAAACTATTTAGTTATTTTAATTTTAATCTACAATTATTTTTATTATACTATAATTATTTTTACCAATACACTTTTTAATTACTTACTAATCACATTTTACCTAAATTCTCGTATCTATATTAATAAACTCATAATACATGAGACAGAGGGATTATCAATTACTATTATTTTTAAAATTCTAAAATTCTCCAAAAAATTTTATTAAACAAAATATGTTAAAAAAAATCTTTAAAATTATTATTATTATTATTATTTTACAAAAAAAACACACGCCCACACACAATAATTTCATATTTAAAAAAATAATAATAATAGTACAAATAGTTGTGGAGAGGACAAAGACTCGAGTCTGGGCTGCACCAGTAATAATAATAGTACAAATAGTTTCATATTAAAATAATAATAATAATAATAGGGTGGCAGATCGTGGCCGTTGATCTGATTGACCTAGGGAACTGCGACTCCTCCCACATCGTAGATCGAGAAGAGAACCAACCCTATACACCTTTTTATAACCATCTCCTGCCACGTAGCGCATCTACGTAGCTGCGCTGGAGCCTTCTCCACACCTCACGTGTACCTCTACACACTTGTAAAATAAATACTAATATATTGCAAATAAACATATTCTCTTTGTGTTTTTATTAATAATATTTTATATACAAATCGATAATACTATAAAATATTGATATATTGATATAAAATTAAATATTGAATATATTTTTTATTGGGTAATTATATAACATCATGGTATTTTAATAAAAATACATAAAATGGTGTTTGTTTTATTTATTAGGTAAAATTTTTTTATTTGTACAAAATACATATAAATTGCGAGTATTATACAAATATAAAATATCTTAAATAATTTTTTTGAAATAAATAAATAATTTATCAATCAGATAACAATTTGTTTAAAAAAACTATAAAAATAAAATATTAATTAGTTATTTATTTTTTATATTAAAAAAATTATTTAAATATTTTTTTATAAAACTTTTATAATTTAAATTTTTATTTAGAATTAAATATTAGAAAAAAAAATAGCTTATGTGCAAATTTACAATAGAACAAGAAAGGTCATGCAATAAATAAATAATAAATTACAAACAAACATATTCTCTACGGGTGTTTTGTTTAGAGTTTGGATTTTGAGTTGATATTTAAATAATAAAAATTTTAAATTTGAATAATTGTATGATGTGATGTTTTGAATAAAAAATTAATTTTTAATATGATATAAAAATAAAAAATAGATATTTAATTTGATATTTTTTTTTAAAAAAAAATGCAATCCCGAACAAACACACCCTAGATTTTTTATTACTCCTTCCGTCTCAGATACTGTGTCTGCTACACTGGTATTTTAGAGGAGTATAATTAGTAGATAATTAAGAATGTATCAATGAAAATAATTATTCTATTATATAAATAATTATAAATTAAGATTAACATAACTAATTAGTTTAATTAAAATTAAAAAAATAAAATTAAAAAATTTAAAATGAGATTAAAGTGTGTAATCATTTTTTTAAAAAAGAAAGTGACATGGTACGTGGGACGGACAAAAACGGTAACGTGGACATGGTATCCGAACAGAGGGTCCTCTTATAAAGTTTACATGTTTTTATTATAGGACGTTTAATTACAAAGTTTATATTTTATTAAATACTCTATTTTTTTTACAAATACATTTACTTTACATCATATTATTACTTTTACACAAACAAATAAGGGCAAAAATATTATTATACTATTTTTAACTGCTCAAAAATATTATTATTTTTTAAACAACACGTCAAAAATAAATATAACCCTTGTAAGGAGAGAGACTCAATATTTTACATACAAATTGATAATACTATAAAATTAAATATTAAATATATTTTTTTATTCAATAAACAATGAAATAGCAGGCGGGCAGCGGGCAGCGGGCAGCGTCGTAGGGCAAGGGAGACAAGGCCCTCGGAATCCGAGCCTCGCATGGACCGATGGTCCCCAGGAAGCAGTGGGTCCCGCGTGTGCGTGATTTTTGTTGGTTTTATTATGGCGGTGGGCCCACTTTTGGTGGCCAGTGGGGCCCGGGTCTGACGTAGGGAGCGATCGGGAAAGGACAAGCCGTTGTGGGGACTCCGCTGTAATTTCTCAATTTTGCAGGGGCCGTCCTCCTTATCTTTGTGCTCTTTCCTTGGTTCACCCTTCTAGATTTTCGTTTTTGTAATTTTGCCCACATATGTTACACTCCATTTGTGCTCTCCTTGTAAGCCTGGTTTGAATATAGTATACGACAATAGTTGCTTAAATGCAATATTTCTATAAAACAAAAAATAAAAATATAATTTTACTAAAAATTATGCATAAAGATTGAAAAAAAATATAAAATAACCACAACTTAAATCAAAGAGCAAAAAGACTTTTAAAATTGCGAAATTGTATAAAATCTACCTGTAATTTTATAAAATTGCATCAAATTTTCTATATTTTTAAAATTATATTAAACTCCCTTATTATTTTTTTTTATAAATTATGCGCCTAATTTTTTCGATTGTTCTTATTTAATAGTATTTGACTTATGTGTCTCTAACTGCCTCAGAAATAATTGATTTTTTTTACAAAAAAATTAGTAATTTTGGGACTGAATATAAAATTTTTTTTAGGAGTTTAAAAATAGAGATTACGGAACTTATTCATAATTTAGGAAAATGTAAATTAAACATCATTAAATAAAAACAATAGAGAGAATTAAACATAATTTATAAAATAACGAAAAAATTTGATATAGTTTTAAAAATGCGAAGAATTTATTGCAATGTTACTTAATCACAAATGAATTTTGTGTAGTTTAATTCTTTAACATTAAAAGAGAAAAAAAAAAAGTTGAGGCATCTATAAAAGATAACCGAAAACAAAAGGGACCAAAGTGCAAAAAGGCACCATTTCACTTTCCCCGGTTTCGTACAGAAACCTCTGCTGACTGGTGGCCAGCAGATGCAATGAACGGACACCTTCAGCCGTGGGATTCAATTTCAGCCGTTGGATCAATCCCACCCATTGGATTCATTTTTTCTATCAAACCCCTCTCCCACTGCTTTACTCCGGTTTTCAATTGTTTTTATTATTATTATTATTTTTAAATATAGAAATCATATTCCAGTGGTCCCCGTCCACACTGCACCGTCGATGACCTCCGCCAGTAAAACGAGTCCCCTCAAGCCTGCGGTCATTTCCAATTGGCTGCACTCGGTGGGTCTTGGTGGACCGCACCGCACCGAATCATAACCCTCCCACCTCCCTAACTTTATATAACTGCCCTTCTTCACACGCTCTCAGATCAGTGCTTCGATTTCTCGGCCGGAGGGGCGGTTTTTGTTCTTACACCGGAGAATTTATTACAGCCATGAGATCTGCCAATTCTTACTGCTCCACCTTCGAATGCGACCGGAATCCGCCCCATTTTCTCGACTCTTGCTTCCTCTGCCGAAAGCAACTCAGCCAGAAAAGCGATATTTATATGTACAGGTAATAATTGATTTCGTTTTTTTTTTTTTTTGATTTTTTTATTTTTTCCCCTTTTCGTGGAAATTAGGGTTTCGATTTCGATTTTTGATTTTTTTTTTTTTTTTAATTACATATACAGAGGAGACACGCCGTTCTGCAGCCAGGAATGCAGACAAGAACAGATAGAAATGGACGAGGCGAATGAAAAGAGATTAAAGGTTTCGAAGAGATCGAACGCCGTTCGGACACAGAACAAGGATTCTTCCAAGGAATCCGATGCCAACAAGGCTGTAAGAACAGGCACTGTAGCAGTTGCATGAAGAATTATATATATATAGGAAAATTAAAATAAAAGAAAACGATGAAGCTGCTATATATATATATATATAATCTGCTGCAAATTCCCAGTGGCTCCGATGAACATCATGGTGGAAGCCAAGAAAGATTTTTTTTTTTTTTTGAGAAATTAGGGCTGGGATTTGATCTGTAAAGAAAACTGGTGAAGATGCGAGAAGCAAGGCTCAATCTAACAATTTTGATTTTTTTTTTTTTTTTTTTTTTTGTGTTTTTATAATATCGAATATCGATGATCTCTACTTTGTATGCTAATCTATAAAAGAATAGAAGCATATGATGAATGAAAATTACAATGTAAATCTATTTAATTTTTATTTTTAATTTTCTTTTATTTACTGTTTTTTCTCATAAAAGTTATCTAACGATTGGAGTTTTCACAATTTGGGTTCAATAATTTTACCTAAGAATTAACTATTATTGGGTTTCTTGTTTTGAATGTAATTTTTACTCTAAAAGATGGAGGAATCAAATTATCATTGTTGTTAATAAATAAATAAAATACGAATGAATAGAAATCTGCGGCAATAAAAACTGTGGGGACCGAATCTAGGAATTGGAAAATTTGCTGGGGGTCATTGTTGAAATGTAGCTTACTTTTAGGGGAAGTTTGGAAATTACTGTTTTGCATTTATGAAAAAATAATTAAACATTTTGGAAAAGTGCGAGAACCTTCCTTGAAAGTTGAAATATGAATCTTTGAGGAAAACTCTATTTAAGGAATTATTTTATTAATAAAAATTATTGTAAGTCACTTTTTATAGATGTTGTTCATTAATTAACTTTTAAGGCCATTTTCAGTTTTAACTCTAAATATGCCGTTGCTTTAATAATTTTATTTCAATTGTTCTTCAAATATTTAATTTTTTCTATTATTTTAAACAAACTTTTTATTTTTATGATTTAAAATAAAATTTTAAAAAATAAAAAAATAAAATAAAAATGGCTTTTGCAAACTCTAAATTTGATGCTGGGAATGACACTGAATTGAAGCAACTCAGCAACAAAAATGGTGTTGGAACGCCAGATATGGAGCATGGTTGGAGATAGCCTAATAGTAACAATAATTATGGAAAATTGTACTCCCTTCCTCCCAACATCATGTAATATTTTTAAATTAAAAAATATTTAATTATATTAATATATATCTCCGAATTTTATCTCGTTACATCACCTTAACAGAATAAAATAAAATAAAATATATACTTCTTTCTCGTTTACATCACACTTAAAATTCGTATCCTACTTAATACTTTTCAACTAAAATCCGTGGCCAACTTAAATGTAACGGAGGAAATAATTTTTTGTATGGGACGTGCCACGTTACTTTATTTATTTATTTTTATTTAGTACGATTGGTATTATATTATAGAGTTTTGGGAGTTAAAATTTAAAAAATAATATATTTAATATTGAATATTATGTTTTATAAGAAAAATTTGATAATGATATTTTTTAAAATATTAAATTATATTAAAATTTTACAAATATCGTGCAATAAAGCTCAAATATTTATTTGATAAAATGTACTATAAGAAAACAAAAATAAGTATTTAGTGTAAATACACAATTATTATTATTATTATTATTATTATTTATATTAATATTAAAATACTATACTGATGATATAATTTTATTATTATTATTTTTTTATTAGAAATATATTAAAAATATTTAATTATTTTAACAAAATAATTTTTTATATATATTATTCAATAATATTGATATGATACAAATAAACATATTCAACAGCTTTGTAAGGGTAGTGGAATTGGTGCAGTGATGGACTTATAAAATAAGGTCATGGACTTGCTTAATAGTCTAATTCGCAGTTATTACATAATCATTCAATGGAATATATGTATATATATATATATATTTATATCTGGAGTATATTTTTTATCCTATAAATATCAATCTACTCCCTCCGTTCTCATGTAATATGGGTGTATTACTGTAGACACGAGAATTTAGGTAAGTATAATTAGTAAGTAATTAAGAAATGTATTAGTAAAAATAATTATTATTTAATAAAAATAATTATAGATTAAGATTAAGATAAGTAAATAGTTTAATTAAAGTTAAAAAAATTATAAAATTTAAATTTTAAAATGTGATTAAAGTGCATAATTATATTTCCAAAAATAAAAAGGACAAGTTATGTGGGACGGACGAAAATAAAAAATAGGGACAAATTATGTGGGGCAGAGGGAATATTATTTTATTTTATTTTATTTTATTTTTATAGTAGTTATAGTCTCAACAAATATATATGAACATACAGGTGGTCTACTATTACAACATTTCTATTAACTCAAGTTAACTATATTTTTGTTATGTACTTTTGATGTTAACTAGTACTATGTGTTTAATTAAAAATTTTATTATGAATAATATAAATGATAAAAGAACAATTTTTTTTTTTTAAAAAAGTGATATAAATAATTATTGATATTGTATTTTGAAGTTAAAGTTAATTTATAGTATAATATAAATAATAATATTAATAATAATAATAATAATAATAATAATAATAATAATAATAATAATAATATTACAATATTTTGATGATTTTTAAGAAAAACATTTATTGAATGGTAAAAGTAAAAAATAAAAAAAAAATCGAAAACAACCTTTATTTCAACACATGTTTTGCCTTAAATGAACAATGAATTTGGTCATAGGTATTATGGTTGGAGGTTGAGTTGTATGTACATGTAATGTGGCCGGTTCCTTCATACATATTGTATTATTATTATTATTATTATTATTATTATTATTATTACCCCCTCCGTCCCAGATACCATGTCCACGTTGTCGTTTCTGTCCGTCCCACGTACCATGTTACTTTTATTTTTTGGAAAATGATTATACACTTTAATTTCATTTTAAATTTTAAATTTTGTTTTTTTATTTTAATTAAACTAATTAGTTATCTTAATCTTAATTTATAATTATTTATATTATAGGATAATTATTTTCACTAATACATTTTTAATTATCTACTAATTACACCCCTCCTAAAATACTGTGTCTACAATGTAGCAGACACGGTACCTGGGACGGAGAGAGTATTATTATTATTATTATTATTATTATTATTATTATTATTATTATTATTAGTTTAAAAATAATAAAATAAATTTATGATGTCATATTAATAGAGAGAGAATAAAGAAAATTGTTGTTCAAGTAAGGAGTTTTTACAATATCCTCAATAAAAAATACATTATTATAAAATATAATAATACTTTTATTTTACAAAATATTATAAAGTTCACTTGGTCTAAATAATACTAAATTTCTTATAAATTACTTTTATAATTTTCATTTAATTTTGTTTTACTAATTACATAATACTAGAAAATACTACACTAATGATATATTTAGTTGGTAATTCATTTTTTTTTTAGTTTTCACATTTAGTTTAAATAGTAAATTTAAAAATATAGCATTATATTTTTTTTAAAAAATGTCAAAATAAAATAAAATAAAACACCGAAGTGACAATAATACTCTCTCCGTTCCATGTAATATGGGTGTATTACTGTAGACATGAGAATTTAGGTAAAGTATAATTAGTAAGTAATTAAGAAGTGTATCAGTAAAAATAATTATAGATTAAGATAAATAAATAATTTAATTAAAATTAAGAAAATTATAAAATTTAAAATTTAAAATGTGATTAAATTGCATAATTATATTTTAAAAAATAAAAAAGACTGATTACATGGGACGAACGAATATAGAAAATAATGATAAATTATGTGGGAGGGAGCATTTGAACAATTCAAAAGAGGTGCTGTCTAATTAAATACAGTAACTGAAAGAGGTTTATTTCCACGGCAGATTTATTACAAAGTTGACTTTTGTGTGCCATAAATTCTCACCCACCCCAAAACAAACACAATAAAAGTCAAGCTCCTACAATTCACTACTTACGTGGCATCCCTGTCAACATTTATTTACGCCTCCCTCGTTCAAATTTATACTCATTATTTTTAGTTGTTGTTGAAAAATATTTTTGTTTATTTTTTAAGTAAAATATTATTATATTTTTATATATATTTTTTTATTATAAAAAGAAAAAGTAACTATTATTACTCATTTTTATTAAAAATGCGTGCTCGATCAAATGAACATATATTTGTACGATGGATAGAGTATAATTTATATCAGTACTAACTATTATCACGTGGAATAATTAGAGTAAATATAAATTTACATATTCAATTTCGTGTCGAATAAGTAAAAATAACTTTGGCTGTTTTTATTTCTGCATTGAATATATATAGGCTTCCGATATATATATATTTTATTATTATTAAAAAAGGTCATTGTTTTGTGTAAATAGGTCACGAGTGTGTTTTTTTTTAGTTTATATTTTCAAAAATGTTTTATTGTGTAGTATAATAAATTGGGTTTTTTTTTTTTTAAATATATATTTATTTTTAAGTGGTAGCATATCTAAAAGAAAGTATGAAAATACGTAGGTTTATTTTGTATTTTTTTATTTAAATATAAATAATCGTATTGCTAATATAAAAGAATAATATTGTTGAACTGTTATTTTTTATAAGCAGATAAAATATCTAAATTATATACTATATTATGTGAATGTGCATGTATACTGTACTTCTGATTATTATTCATTTCTATCATTAAAAGAAAATTTTGATTAACAAACTTATTATACACTCATCAATATTTTCCATCAATTTAAGTAACTATGAGTTTATTTTTTTTTATGGGTTTGAAAAATATTTAATTTGAGTTTGATATTAAAATAATATACGATGAGATATTTTGTGAGAAAAAATTATATTTTTTTTTAAAAAAACAAAATTCAAATAGTAGAAACTTGAAATTTTGAGTGTAAATAAACACACCAAAATATAAATAAATGAGTGTAAATCTCACATGTAATAGTTGGGGTTTGGATTGAAAATTTTGACTCAATAAGTAAACCATTTACTTAAATAAATTAGATTTAAGTCAAAATTATCAATTTAAAAATAATCCATCTAACTAGTTTAAAGTAATATTCCTGTAAACTAAATATACTTTTTAAATTTTACCAATCCAAATTATCCAATTAAAATATTAATGGCCCATTTTATATTATTCATGTTTGTTGAATATGAGATATATTCATCGACAATATTCACACAACTGCCTAAAGATTGTCCTAAAATGACAAATTCAACACAAACCAAAATCCACGATCAAATTTACACTCTCACAAAAGAACAATAAAGAAAACGTTGCTCACGTCACTTTGGGCCGGTGAATCATCATCAGCCACCGCCGGCTCGCGCCGCCGCCGACGTGTTCGCTCAGCTTCGCCAAATGGGCCATCCGCCGCCGCCTCGACTCCTCAGCTCCCCCGCGGGGCTTCTCCTCGTTTTCTTCCTCCTCGTCCTCGTCGTTGTCGACGGACATCCACATCGGGCCCGCATGGCCGTCCCCGTCCCCGTCCACGTCGTCTCGCACGATTTGTTTCAACGTCTCGACCACCTCGCTCATCCTCGGTCGATCCTTCGCGCTCTTCACAAGACAAGCGTCGGCTAGTTTCGCGATTCTACGTGCCGCGGCGAGGGAGTACTTCCCGTCGAACCTCGGATCGATTATGGTGACGAACTTTTTGCTATCGACCGGATGGTGTTTTATCCAATCGAGAAGTTTTTGCTCCGGCCGCGGCCGGTCCCTCTCCAGGGACCGTCTTCCGGTTAGTACCTCGTACAAGACTACGCCGAAACTCCATACGTCGCTCTTTGTGGTGAGGTGTCCGGTCTCGATGTAATCCGGCGCGGCGTAGCCGTACGTCCCGACAACCTTAACAAGAAATCGATTCGGATAAGAATTAGTCGCTGTCTCAGTTAATAGTTTAAGCTTATCGGAAAATGAATTATTAATTGCATTACTATATGAAATTATCATTTTTGTAACGATATTTTTTTATTCCTAAATCCATTTTTTTCGTTACTAATAATATTAGAGACGGAATTATGGATAAAATTATGTTAAATACCTGAACTTTAGAGACGGAATTATGTTAAAAATATATTATTTCTTTTTGTAGTACATACTTCCACCGTCATGTAAAAATATGGTCATTTGATTTGAACACGAGTTTTAATGTGATACTCCCTCCACCCTATTGAGAGGTTGTCGTTTACAGTTTGCATTTAGATTTTTTAATATTAGTATTATATTGAATTGTAATAGAAAAGACAAAAATCAATTTAGGGTGTGTTTGTTTGAAGGGTGTGTTTGTTTGAGTTTGTTTGAAGGATTTTGGTGGATTTCCACTATTCATCCAATTTTTTCCCCCCAAAAACATCAAATCAAACACCTATTTTTCATTTTTTATATTATACTAAAAATCAATTTTACATTCAAAACATCACATCAAACCCTATTTATATCACATCATACAACTATTCAAATTCAAAATTTTTACTATTCAAATCCCAACTCAAAATCCAAACCCCCAAACAAACACACCCTAAGTATAAAAGATTGTATTTGTATAATATATTGTAAGTAACTTTGTTTTGTGACAGACAAAAATGAAAAATGACAACCTTTTAATAGGATGAAAAAAGTACGTAGTTTAACATATTCTTTTATGTTACAAAAATGAACGTTTTTTTTTTTTTCTTATAACAGAAAGATAATTATATAATCTTACATACCGCGGTTGAGACATGAGTATGACCGGCCTCGGGGCCTTCTCTAGCAAGCCCAAAATCCGAAAGCTTTGGCTTGAATTCGTCGTCTAATAGCACATTAGACGACTTAAAATCGCGGTATATAACCTGTAATAACAATAAACAAAAAATTCATAAACAAGTAAATCGATCTCGAGCAACATTAGCCCTAAATCAATCCACGATCATCGTAGAAGTTCAGTAATAACTTTTTATTTATATTTTCTTCGCAAATTATATTCGCGTAAAATAAAATTGTGGGGACTACACTTACTTGAACCTCTAATTCTTCGTGGAGATAAGCCAAGCCCTGAGCGGCGCCAAGAGCGATTTGCAATCGACGGTCCCAAGATAGGGCCGGATACGACTTGTTGAAAAGATGATCGTCGAGGCTCTTGTTGGTCATGTACTCGTACACGAGTAGCCTTTGGATGCCCCTCTCGGCATCCACCGCGCAATACCCGATTAGCTTCACGAGATTCGGATGTTCGACGACGCCGAGAAATTGAACCTCGGCTACCCATTGCTTGTGACCCTAAGAATCATCGATCCATATGTATGTACAGTTAATGTGTGTTTCATTTTTCGATCGAACATCTAAACATAAAGACAGTGATAAATGAATTTTGGCCACGACAAAGAGGGATTTTGGAGTTACCCATGATTCAAGAAATAGACCCAAATTATAGAAATTGCATACGCAATTAGTAGCATGTAAGAAAATTATTTGGTAATGTGATTATTATCGTCCCTTTTTTTTTTTTTTTTATACTATCTCCGTCCCGGTTATTGTGTCCCTTTTACTGTAAAAAGAAGAATTTAGAACAAATATAATTAATAAATAATTAAGAATGTATTAGTGAAAATAATTATCGTATAATAAAAAATTATAAATTAAAAATTTTAAAATAAAATTAAAATGTATAAAGTAATAAAACTCTTCCACTAAAAACAAATGAAGATGATATTGAACCAATTAATTAAAAGAGCACCAAACCGTTACTAGCGATTGATATAGATTTGGCCTCCTAAATTTACTATTGTTATTATTTTATTTTATTTTATTTTAAAATTAAATTAAAGATATATATTATATTAAAAATTAATAAAGTCACTTGACAGGCATTAGAATGCTAATTAACTAATCTAACACATAAAATATAAATTATTAATATATAGTATTAGTATAAACAAATAATACAAGTATATATTAACATAAAACAAATGCACATATAAATAAATAAGACACGATACAATATATTATATAATTGATCTTAACATACTATTTATGTGTTAAGACCAATCCCTAACCCAAAATAACAAAACACTCTAATGTTATACTGAAGCAAAAAGACAAATTCTTATGTAAAAATTAGCACTGCAAGAAACAGACAGGACACAAAAATTAGATTTTTTTTTTAAAAAAAAAATAAAATAATAATGTAATCAAGATTCAAACCCTTATCTTCTTCTGCAAACAAAAAGACAAATTCCTAACTAAGAATTAATAATGCAAGAAGCAGACAAGCAGCCAGCATTCGAAAAATGACAGCTCATATCACCGAATGAAAACCCCAAATAATCTTCTGCACATCAGAGATTTAAATTAATAAATCGAATCAAATCAATGCTACTCCAGAACACGAACCCCAAATTAAACACGTACGATCTAAAAATTCGAAACCCTAATAAATCCAAATCGACAAACCTGGTATCCATCCCTGTTGAGTTTCTTGACAGCGACGACAAGAGGGTCGGCGCCATTGTTGTCGGGCTTGAGAGCTCCCTTATAGACGCAGCCAAAGCCTCCTTCCCCAATCTTGAGCAGCCTGCTGAAGTTGTTGGTCGCATGTTTCAATTCCGAGAATGTAAAAACCCTCAGGTGGTTATGGCCTTTCTCCTCGTACAGCTCCGGGATGCTGCGAGCCGACGCCGAGGACTTTGTCGCCGTCCCGTCGCTGATCTCCGATGCGCCGTAATTATTACTGATTAAATTATTGTTGTTCGAAATCGGCGCCGATTTCTGCTCTCTCCCTCGGCTTCTATCCTTGAAGTAATTATAGAAACACTTCATTTTTATTTCTCTGTGTTCTTAGCTTCCTGAATCAATAGGGTTTGAATATGGCCGCCATAGATTGAATCTTTAACCTTAAAAGAATCTCGGAAAATGAGAAACTTAAACCAAACATGGCCTTAGGATTCAAGAATTTGGGAAGAAGAAGGAATGATATGCCGATGAAGTTATTGAAAGAAAGTTTGGGTAAAAGGAAGTCTTATCTGCTCTCTCTCTCTCTCTCTATATATATATATGTGTGTGTATATTGGAAATGGAAGTGATCATGTCCTGGATTTGTTCAACCGATTGGACTCTTCTTGCATCTTCGACTTTCAACGCGTTCCAAAGATCTATAATTTACATATTTATATATGTATGTATGTATAGTTTGATCTATATATTTTTGTGCACAATTGTTGGGATTTGTGAGTGTGGACATATAACTTATTCCTTCTCTCTCTAAAATGGTGGGGTTACAAAAAAAAAAAAAGTCTTTGAAACTGGTTGGGAAAGGGTTTGGGGTTGCGTGGAATGGTTGGGATTCTTGTAAGCTCCCGGGAGTTCGAAGCCAGGTGAGATCTGGGCCGTGAGATTTCTCGACATCTAACGGTGGGGATTCATTCGGGTTCTGGCACGGAAATTTATTTATTATTATTTTAATTGTGAAAAAAGATGTGGCTTTGATTTCATAGTATAGTACGAAGAGAGAGAGAATTTTGTTAGGATATGTGTTATGTGTTTTCTAGAATGATTATTGTCCCAACAAGTTGACATTGTAAGTAATCATTCATAGCGTTACATATATAGACATATTATTTATTTATTTTTTGTTCTGTTTATTTTATAATAATATTAATATATATATATATATATAAATATTATAGTTAAATTTCAGGGCTATTATTGTCAAGTTCCACAACTGCCTGCTGTTCAAGTAATTTATTTTTAACCCAAAGTGATATATATATATTTAAAAATATGACGGTGTGACATAAATTATTATTATTATTTTTAGGAAATACACGTAATCTTAAAAAAAATAAAATAAAATACAGACAAGCACATTGATTTTAAAGCTTGCCAATCAGTATTCAAAAGAGTTTGGCAGTGATTGTCCAAATAATTGATTAATTTAATAATAAGTGTTATAATTATTGATTAATTATTAAGTTTTAGGGCTTTAAATAATTTAGGTCACGTACCCAATAGGGAATGAATGTGACAGAAGCCACACAAGTCGTTTTATTTATTTTTAATAATAATTTTGGCTAGACAGAAATTTTTGGATTTTTCTAAACATAATATTAAAATATTAATACTCCCTCCGTCATTGTCATTTTTCATTTTCGTTCGTCCCAAAATAAGGTTACTATTTCCTAATTCAGTAATCGTACTACCTACCTAACATAATAAATACCCTTAAAACTTATACTATATTCAACAAATATCATTACTTTTATATTACACAATACTAATAGGACATTTTCGTTTTTTTTTTTTAATTTGATGTTTTATTAATTTAATGTTATATCATTAAATTTTGATTAGGTCTCCCTAATGGGTAGGTTAAAGATCATAAAAATGGACTTTGACTAATTGGCCATCTTATCATAATTATAATATTTGTATGTTAACAATTAATCCAAAGAGAATTGCCATTAATTAATTTATTAAGGTGTCATGTCACCTTCTTCTAATTATCTATTTTTGTTTGGTATGTTCACGTTATGGATTATTGGTTGGTCTCAACCACATTTGGCTATTTGAATACTAATTTTATTTTATTTTTTAACATCTATTAATTGATAAGTTAGGACAAGTATTGGTTTCTTAAGCTACTTTTGATTTTAACTTCTAAAAAAAACTTGTGTTTACTTGTTAGGTTTTACACCTGATTTTACTATTGTAACTTTTTTTTCCCTATAAAAACATCAAATCAAATACCCAATTTTTATTTATTTTATTACACTAAAATCTAAATTTACATTCAAAATATCGTATCAACTCATATTTATATCACATCAAACAAATATTTCAATTCAAAATTTTACTATTCAAAATCAAAACTCAAAACTAAAACCTCACGAGTAAACACATGGTCTAGTTGTATTGATTTTTTAATCAAAAAATAAAAATATCTTTTTGAAGCTCAAAAACTAATTTTTAAAGGAATTTGGGAGAAAAAAAAATTAAAATTAAAATTAGTACTTAGAAAGATAGACAAAAGATATACAAAAAATTTGAGTTTTTTTTTGGTGGTTTCAAATAAAAATATAGACATTAAAATATTATTGAGACAGAAATTTAAATAAATAGTAATTAATTTTAAAATAATTTTAAACCACATTTAAACAAACTTTCTTTTGGAGTTAAGTTATATTATAATTTTCAATTTATATATTATATCAAAATAAAAGTTTAAAAATATATAATTGAAACATCAAAATTAAAAACATAAAATTTTAATGACACTAGGTAACTAAATTTTTTAAATACTTATCTGTTTCAACTAAAAATCTTGTTTTTTTTAAAAAAAATAAAAATAAAATAAAATTATAATAGATTAAATAATAAAATTTTATTAATTATATAAATATACAAGATGGTTTTAATATTTTATATTTCATGTATAAATTCATTATAAATGATTATTTGGTATTAAAAAATAATAAAAAGATATTCATGGATAGAGACGAAAGGAATCTAATTTTTATAAAATTTGAAAATAAATTAAAAAAAAAAAACTTTATCAATTTAAAATACTTTTAGCTTCATTATTACCAAAAATATATATTTTATTTAAGGAAATTTAATTTCACTCCAAATTTTCTATTACCTAATAGTATATTTGGTACGTTTAACCACTATACCCCAAAATTCCAATTGAATGCATAATTGTCGTTTAATAGTATATATATGGTAAGTTATACCTCAAAATTCAAATTAAATGAATAACGGTCGTTAGTTTTCTATCTAACGGTGTTTAATAGTATATATGGTAAGTTATATCTCAAAATTCAAATTAAATGAATAACTGTCGTTAGTTTTTTATTTAACGGTATTTAAGAGTATATATGGTAAGTTATATCTCAAAATTCAAATTAAATGAATAATTGTCGTTTGTTTTTTATCTAACGGTCACAAGAGCTATATATGGTAACAATTTGGTATGCGTATACACTTCACTTGTACGTATATATTATGGTCTGGCAAATGACGGTGGGGCATAAAGAAGTTTCCATAAGTTTCGATATTCTCAGGAGCGTAAGGTTGTAGCTTGTATTTCCATTGATCAGAGGTTTTCTGCATTTCTTCAACTTCCCGGTGCAATAGCTGATGGGAAGAACGGCGACGTTGCGGGCTTGCGTCGACCATTTCAATCGGCACGGGAAGTATTTTTACGTTGAATCCAATATTTTTTATTCTGATTGAGGGTGATGATTTGCGATTTGCTTCAAACTAATCTACGATAATACATTTGCTAGATTGACTGCTTATAGATGAATTTTCAATTTCGAGTTATACATATACTCTTTAATTTTGATTTGGAGATTCGATTTGCTTTCTTCAGTCGCTACATTTGTCTACGGTAAAATTTTTAGGGTTTTGAGGAATTTATGGGTTTGGTTCTTGAAGGAATAAAAATTCATTGTCTTATAAAAACTCTTTTTTCATCAAGTTCTTGCATTCCACTGCATTTGATGTTTGAGTTTTCGAAATTCCATTTCTCTCTCTCTCTCTTTTCATCTGAAAATCTTTAAAGTGGTCTTTGTTCTTTTGTGCATTGATTATTCATTGATGCTTAACAACTAACCACTCTTCCCTTCTTTTGCTTTGACCAACATTTTTCTCTCCTTTTGCTATTTTACATCTCAAACACAACACTGCTGCACCATCGGATCCTCCTCATCCGATTTCTTCTTTTCTTTTCTTTTTTTTTCTTAAAAAAAATTGTATTTTCTTGGTCAAACTCTTGTCAACTACGTAGATGCTAAGGTTTTTCAATTTAAAAGAAATATTAATCCATTGATGGTCAGGTTTCAGCTCGAGTTCGGTTGTGGCTTTGGCTCAGGTGGTTCTGGGTAAGGCTCAGGTCTAGCTTGGGCTGAGATCGGGTCTAGTTCATATTTTGGTTTTTGGGTTTGGCTCTTGTCTGGATCGGGTTCTAGTTCGGGTTTGGGTATGATTCTTGACTCTGGCTCTGAGTTGGGTTTGGTTCTTGCTCTTAACTCAATTCAGGTGATTCTGGCTTGGGTTTGGGTTTTAGTTCCAGCTCTACCTCGGGTATGGATCAGATCTTACTTTGGCTCCTCATCTAGGACCAGGTGTGGCTTGAGTTCAGGCTCATATGGTTTTCCTTTTTTCTTTTTTATAACCTTATGGTTTTCTTTTATCCATGCTTATACTTGTTTGCCACATACCTAATATATCTTATTAAATTTCATAGATATGTCTATGAAGCATTTATAACTCGGCTAATTTATTCTAGATGTCTGATACGTGCATTCAGGTGACCATGGGAGCATGACGAGTTGATCGAGGTTCAAGAATTTTTTCGAGCGCATAAGGATAGGGAAGATTCCACCATTTTTTCTTTTATATTCAGGTATACATGCATTTATTAGAGCATCGTTTTTTTAGGTGGCGGGGAGAATTAAGGTTCAACGTAGATGAGCTCGGTCTACATTTCCAACAAAGAGAAGTTCTTTTATTTATTTTCTTTCTCTTCTATGTATGGTATTTCATGTATTAGGTTATGACTGTTCTTGATTTATAATCATAGTCTACAAAAGAAAGAGTATTTTGAAATTTCATTTCTATTTTTTTTTTTTTTGAATGTTTTTCAAGTTCAATGTGCAACTTATTTTTGTGCATTGAAAATTCATTGATGCTTCACAACTAACTACTCTTCCCTTTTTTCGCATTGATTTTTCACGACCAACTGTTCTTCCTTCCTTTTGCATTTTCCCATCTCAAACACAACTACTACACTGAGTCCTCTTCATCGATGTGTTTTTTTTTTTGGTCAAACTCTTGTCAATTTAAAAGAACTATTAATCCATTGATGGTTTGGTTTCGGTTCGAGTTCGGCTGTGGCTTTGGCTCAGGTGGTTCTGGGTTAGTCTCAGGTCTAGTTCATGTTTTTTGTTTTTGGCTTTGGCTCTTGTCTGGATCGGGTTCTAGTTCGAGTTCGGGTATGACTCTTGAGCCTGGCTCTGAGTTGGGTTTGGTTCTGGCTCTTACTCAGTTCAGGTGATTCTGGCTTGGGTTTGGGTTTTAGTTCCAGCTCTACTTCGGGTTTGGATCAGATCTTACTTTGGCTCCTCATCTAGGACCAAGTTTGGCTTGAGTTCAGGCTCATATGGTTTTCTTTTATCCGTGCTTATACTTGTTTGCCACATATCTAATATGTCTTGTTATAAATTTCATAAATACGTCTATGAAGCATTTATAATTCTGCTAATTTCTTCTGTTTGTCTAGATGTCTGATACGTGCATACAAAATTGATGTTTTGTTGATGTCTAAGTTGAAGGATGATGATGCTATAGAATTTGAAAATCCAATCCTCTATATTACTCGTTCATAATGTTTTGTTATGTATATCTAATTGAGAGGAACATGCTAGGCCATTCTCGGTGTTTAAACTTTTAGTGCCAACTAGGAGCACACCAACCAAATCTCCAAATTCAGGAGACCATGGGAGCATGAGAAGCTGATTGAAGTTCAAGTATTTCTTTGAGCACATAAGGATGGGAAAGATTCCACCATTTTTTCTTTTATATTCATTGATACATGCATTTATTATAACATTTTTTTTAGGTGGCTCAGCGGGGAGAATTAGGGTTCAATGTAGATGAGCTCGCTCCACATTTCAAACAAAGAGAAGTTCTTTTATTTGACTTTCTTTCTCTTCTATGTATGGTTTTTAGTGTATTACGTTATGATTGTTCTTGATTTATAATCATAGTCTACGAAAAAAAGAGTATTTTGAAATTTCATTTCTACCTTTTTTTTTTAAAAGAAGATATTTTTTGAATGTTTTTCAATGTGCAACTTATTTTTGTGCATTGAATGTTCATTGATGCTTCACAACTAACTACTCTTTCCTTTTTTTGCATTGATACTTCATGACCAACCTTTCTTCCTTCTTTTTGCTATTTTCCATCTCAACACAACTATTGAACCAGAGTCCTACTCATCAATTTTTATTTTTTTTTTCTGCTCAAACTCTTGTCCACTCGTAGGTGCTAATGTCTGTCAATTTAAAAGAACTATTAATCCATTGATGGTTTGGTTTCAGTTCGAGTTCGGCTGTGGCTTTGGCTCAGGTGGTTCTGGGTTAGGCTTAGGTCTAGCTCGGGCTGAGATCGGGTCTAATTCATGTTTTGGTTTTTGGGTTAGGCTCTTGTCTGGATCAGGTTCTAGTTTGGGTTCGAGTATGATTCTGACTCTTAACTCTGGCTTAGGTGATTCTGAGTTGGGTATGGTTCTGGCTCTTACTCAGGTTCAGGTGATTCTGCTTGGGTTTGGGTTTAGTTTCGGATCTACCTCGGGTTTGGATCAGATCTTACTTTGGCTTATCATCTAGGACCTGGTTTGGCTTGAGTTCAGCTCATATATCTATGCTTATATTTGTTTGCCATATAATATGCCTGTTATTATATTTCATAAATGTCTATGATTTCTTTTGTTTGTCTAGATGATGTTTTGTTGATGTCTAGGCAGGAAGGTTGATGATGCTATAGAACTTGAAAGCCCAATCATCTATATTACTCTTTCGTAGGTTCTGTTCTGTATATCTATTGTTCTGTATATTTATTTGAGAGGAACAAGCTAGGCCATATTTTGGGGTTTAAACTCCTTGTGCTGACAAGGAGCACATCAATCAAATCTCCAAATTCAGGTGACCTTGAGGGTTGGTAAATTTTATTTTTTTCATCTTAATTTCTCTCGCTTTCTTTATTTTCTTGATTTTTTATTTGATTGATTTGTTATGTGATTTTCTTTTTATATTCTAATTAATATTTATACATATTGTAGATTAGTGTCTTTATATTATAATTGCCAGTGAAGACTTTGGATTTGACTCTTGAGTTCCATTGGAAGTGAGTTTTTGCAATTACTCTATTAAATCTCCAAATTCAGGTGACTGTCAGGGTTTGCTAATTGTTTTTTTTTTTCTTTCATTATTATTTTTTTATTTTTCTTGTTTTCTTTATTTCCCTGATATTTTTTATTTGATTAATTTGTTAGATGATTTTCTTTTTTATTCTAATTAATGTTTATACATATTGTAGATTAATGTCTTTATATTATAATTGCCAGTGAAGACTTTGGATTTGACTCATGAGTTCCATTACAAGTGATGAGTTTTTTGCAATTACTCTACTAACACCATTTTTTACAAAATAATTTTGCTTTATGACCTTGCTTTTATCACCTTATAAAGTTCAATATAGTTTTACATATTTCCTTTGTGTTACTAAGCATTTGATTGCATCTAACAATTCTCTATTGTATGTTTAATTGAATCTTACCTAAAATGCATTGAAGTGATACTGATTATTCCTTTGTGATTATTATGGCAGGCTGATGAGGGAATTTCTTTTAAATGCAATGAATTTATTCAAGGGCCTCAATGATAGGGAGGATTTGGTATTTGTGCATACGTACATTTGTTTATAGCCTCAATGAACCATTGTTGATTTTATATTTTGCATAATAACCAACTTTTTTTTTTTGTAGGTGCTTAATGGAAAGAATTAGGGGTCAATATGATGAACTCGGTCCACATTTCAAACAGAACCAGATAAATGCTTTTATTTTATTTTCTTTCTTTTCAATGTATAGGACTTAGTGTATTAGTTTATGATTATGGTTAAGTTATAATCATAGTCTAAGACTTTAAGATTAGGGAATAAGGCATAGGATATATAGATGTTATGTCTGTCAAGATTTAGGATTTAGGATTTAGGGCATAGGGCATAGGGCATAAGAAGTGTCATCAGTGTAGTTAGTGTATAGTGTCTAGTACTTAATGTTTTAGGGCATCAAGTATGGGCATTAGAAGTGTAGTTAGGGTCCACACTTTAGGATATGGTGTATAGTGTCTAGTATTTAGTCTATTAGGGATAAGGTATAACTTAGGCATTCTCAATTTAGAGTCTTATAATCAAGAATATGGAAGTGTTCTTTATATACATATATATATATAATATATTCCTTTATTTATTTATTTTTATCTATGTTATTTGTATCAATGTCGTTCTTATTTCACATAATAATTAACTTTTATTTGTATTCTTTGTTAGTGCTGTGCTGGCAATCGGAAAAATTGAGCTTAATGAATATGGGTGAAAACAAGGCAAGTATTATTATTATTATTATTATTTAAATTTTTTCTGCATATACACTAATTTATAATTTTTGTTTAAATGACTTAGACGCATCTGTGGGAGCACGGCGGCTTCATCAATGAAATCCACTTTAAGCGAAGTGAATCCATTGATGCACTTTATTTTATTTTATTTTTAATAGCATTCATTTTATTTTTATCTTTGTCTGTCGACACACCTATCTTTTATAATTTTATTTGTATTCTCTGCAAGTGGCCCCAACTATAGAAACATAATGTTGTGAATGTAGCACATACAAGACATATATATTATTGAAATATATAGTACATATTATGTTGTACGGTATGAATAAATAATAGTACCCTCTGTTTATGTTGAAGATACTTGTATCTGTTTTTACTTGTTTTAATAAATAATTCACTCATGAATAGATAGAGGACAAAGAAGTCATTTCACTTATTTTTTACACTAATCCGACTTGCCCTATTAGGGTTTACACCCAAATTTGATTCATGTGTACTTATCTCTGTTTTTATTTTTTTATTCATTTATTCACTCATGAATAGATAGAGGACAAAGAAGTAATTCTAATTTTCCACACTAATCCGGCTTGTCCTGTTAGGGTTTACACCCAAAATTGAGGGTTTAGGGTTCAGCACCGGAGACAGCGTGCAACCCGATGGACCCTATCGTCGCTGCGCTCTGGAGCAGTTTACCGAAGATGCCACCGGCGTCCATTCCAACAACTCTCGACTGTATCTTAGCCTCGACAGCCGCATCTCCGGCCTCTCTTTTTTCTGAACTTCTCCATGAATTTCCGAGAATTGCAGAGGTAAGCACCATCTGATAAGCTACTTGCCCATTTCATTCTTCTTTCTGAACTAGATTGCGGAGCCTGGTGCAAGATTGTTTAATTTCTGACTCTAGATTTTTGGCTCTTAAAGAGCATGGACCAAACGTATATGCAATTGGTAGAGATGGAAAGCTTAAGTAAAATGTTATGAAGTTCCTCTAAATTATGGGGACCAAATTTGATTGGGAAGCTTGGCATCAAAGTCCAGGGGATGTATTCGGTGTTAATAGCAGTTTTACTACCATTTTCAGTATCTGGAACTTTCTATTTATGCAGGGCATCGCTCAAGAAACTGTGGAGATGGAGAGTGATCAGCCTAACTGTGTTTTGTCTTATGTTGCTGCACTCAGTTACTTCCTAAAGAAGTCCGGTGGTGGTGAGTTTTTAGTAGTCACATACCATGACTCTTACATTTAATTTTTGTACTTTTATCTAGGCCCGGGGTTGTATTTCTTGTTAAGATATATTCTCATCTGGATATGGGTGAAAATAGGACTATTTTTGAAAAAATCATTATGCTTGGACCTGGACATTAACAAAATAGTGGTATAATCAAATCTTAAGGACCATTACTAATTTCCTGAATGTGTCTCGGGTGTTGGTGGTTGTGGGGGATAGCAATGGTTAAAACTAACTTTGATCATACATAATTACTTTTCTGGTTCAGAAAACTAGGTGTGTGTGATGCTGCTCAAGTATTATTTTTGTGCAGGTTCTCACGACATGGATATATTTGTCTGGAAAGTGTTGATGCCTTTGTTGAAGTTGGTGCATCCATATGACAATTTGTTATTTTTTGAGGTAAATTATAATTGAGGTTTCATGCATTGCACCAAACTTCATCAGAAGCATTATTTGCTTACTCTTTCTTATTGCTCTTGTGAGTATAGGTAGCAAGTATGTTTCTTGATGTTGTTGCTGAGACAAACTGTTGGGATGTTATTGGAGCAACAATTGTGCCCCTCTTGTTAAGATCAATTGGCCTATCGATGGGAACATTTCACAGTGAAAAGCTGGCAATGCATAAGTGGACAAATAAGTCAAATTTTGAAGATTCTCATGACAAATTGGCCAAAGAGCACATATCCAAAGATGAATTTCAATGCAATGTCTTTGATTTTCCATTGCCTGTATGCTGTAAAATATTAACTATGATTCTTGATGCTGCTCTGAAATACAACAATGTATCTGACCCTGGGTCAATGTCAGAAAACATGGCAACTTCTTTTGCTGGATATATGCTTTGGGACCTATCTAATTTTACCCTTCAAATGATCTCATATAGCTTGGAGCATCGCTCTTGTGCAGTCAAATCTCTTCTTCCATTTATATTCAAGGCATTTTCAAATTATCATACCTTCAGTGTTGGAGTTTCTGGTGTGCATCATGTATTGACAAGGTATTTAGCACATGTAATACCTTTAATTGGCTTCTTAGTAGTCTATAGTATTCACAATAGATGCGAAGCTGTGATTCAGCTTTTCAGTGTCTGCATATTAACCTCTCATGAATTCATAATAGGTCTTTAATCCTCGTCTTGCCACATGCCAATGGCAGATATGATCTACTTTGAAAATAAGTATGCCTTTTTTCATTAGTAAATTTATGATATTGAGGAAAAATGAAGGTTGTTGATTTTGCAGGAAGGATTTTTTCTTTAAAATCTGGGAGACTTGTAAGTCACTGTTTTCTTTGGGATCTTTGGAAAGAAGAGATGCTTATGATATACTTTCTCTATATTCATCCTTTTCTCCACTGGCTGATGAGCATGATGATTCCACTTTGAGTGGAGAAGAGGATATTTTGGATTTGAGAGCAGACCCGGAATTTTGGGATGAAATGAAGAGAGGATTGGTAACAGGACTTTTCTTGCCTTTGGTTTTCAAGATATTTAAGATCTGCATTAAATATGTTTTCTCTGATACTGTTGTATATTTTTTCCCTTAAGCTTGATAAGGAAAGCCTAGTGAGGAAGCAGTCGTTGCATATACTAAAAACGACGTTAAACTTGAGAAGAGAGAGGAAATGTGACTCTGATATCTTGTTAGAAGCATCAGATGAATTAAATTCTAATTCTCACATGAAGGGCAAGAGAGGGAAGTGGGCACATGAGGAAGCAAAGTCATTAGGCGTTGGCAAAATATGCAGTCAAACAGAAGTGAGTGTTAGTAGTTGTTACAAGTGGGAGGTTTTTATACTGCTATATGAAATGCTTGAAGAATATGGTACACATTTGGTTGAAGCGGCATGGAATCACCAGGTATGCTGCCTTAGTCATAAAATATAATTTTCTAATTAGGTGCAAACTTTGGAAGAACATCTTTGGGAAGACTCATGCTCACAGAATTACCCCTCAATATACAAAGATCCCATACATGTTATGTGAAAAAGTCTGGCTTCATTTCTATTTAATGATATTTTTCAGTACTAGGCAATTCTAACAAATTTATGCGTAATACAAGAAAGCAACAGTTCAAGTTTAGAAGTGAGGAATATATCTTGCTTTTTTTTTTTTTTTTGGCTTCCTGTTTTGTATATTTGTTGAGGTTTACTCTGAAACCTGCGCAGCACACGCAGAATCTAGTAATGGGCAATAGAATGTGAAATCAAGAGTCCTGAGCTTAATATGAATTGGTTAGTTATTTTTGTCTGGTCATGTTTCATGCCTTCTCTCTAGTTCCATATATATCCATTTCAGCCAGATGGTCTTTTTGTCCTTTACACAACTTATTGTCTGCGTTACATCATTCCTGTTGTCACTCAGTGTTCCTGATTCAGTATGATAATTTCCCAACTTCATTCTTGGTGCTTGCTCTTTTCCCCTCTTCTTATATATGTGTACACTGGCTAAATCTCTATCTGGAAGCAGGAGCTGATTACAGTCTCGGGTTCCTTTTTCTTTTGCTTTGGCAGATTGTACTTTGGCTTCAATCTTCATTGCCAGTAGAGAATCCATTGCAATTTTCTCGTGAAGAACTATACCTTAATCAAATGGCAACTGCAGAGCAGATTTTTGGATGGTTGATAGTCTTATGGGAACGTGGTTTTTGTCATGATAATCCCCAAGGTACTATGTTTATCCTAATTTTGTTGATCATATTCTTGAAGCAGCATTTCTTGTACTATTTCATGCATGTCCATGCATGTGTGGAAGCACTAATATATTTATTTATTTCTGGCAGTACGATGCCTTATCATGCAGTCATTTTTCGCAATCCAGTGGGAGAGCTATGGAGTCTGTTCAAAGCTAGTGCCAGAATATTTCATACTTGGTCCTCTCATGCGAGGGCTAAATGATCCCGTGCACCACAGAGAATTTGGTTTGTCAATTTGTATTTATGAATCACATAAATTGAAATAATCTAATTTATGCTGGTTGTCTCATTTTTTCCCCCCCTTCTATATCATAGGTGTGAAGGAGAAGTACTCTTCTCACACAATTGAGGCAGCCTCTAGATTTCTGCATCAATATGCCAGCTCTATGGGAAGGAGGTAGGCCATATTATAAATAAGTACTTACCTGCTTCTTTGAAGTGAGCTGTGAGGGAAGATTATGGCTATTTTATTTTATTTTTTAGAAAGAAAGAGATACATAATAGGAAAAGCTTTAGATTACAACCTGGATAGAAACATAGGGAAAACAAAGACAGACTATTAGAGTAGGCCCTGAAATTTAAGGAAAACTGATCATTTAGGAATAGGGCTTCCCTAAAAAGCTGACAAACTGCGGAAACTATGGGTATAGCCAAATTGATTGCTCTGTGTTTTGTAAATCGACATGCCCTTTTTCAGCTTAACTTAAAATATGTATATCCCTTTCACATGTTGAATTAGGTGGTCCTAGTTATAATATGTATATCCCTTTCACATGTTGAATTAGGTGGTCCTAGTTATTCTTATACCTGTGCTTTGCCAATTTATTTCTTGATACTGAAGACACTAAATTCAGCATGTTTGTTCAATAATCATATTCGTCTACAGGGAGCATACTTCCTTCTTGGTGAAGTTGTCATCTGTTCCTTTAAGACTCACTTTGGGACGGGTGGGGTTGATGTGCTTGGCAGAGTGCATTGCATCAACTGCTCGTGGAGTTGCAAACCGTAGTAATCATGGCGCTGAGCAATTTTTGGATGCTACTGTTGAGGTCTTAGTCGATTCCTTGCCAAACTCATCTCCGAATGACAAAACTGAATTGTTGGATGCTTTGCGATTTGTCTTGGAGTGCAGCAAACATCATTTTAATCCTAAATACCGTCTCCAAGGTATCATAATGAGTCTTGGAAAATTCTCAGAATCATGTTTGTTAGTATTTCAATAAACTTAATTTGGACCTTGCTGTTTTTAGTTTGCGAAAGGATTTTAGCCGCCGCTGCTTTCCTGATGGATACAGCCGATGTTCCTTTGGAGATCCTTTTGCACTTCCTTTCTAGTCTGCCTCGGGAATACACTGATTATGGTGGTATGGCTAACATGCATGTTATACTGATTGCATTTCACTATAGTATCTGTTAGACTGTGTGACAATAGGCTTCCATCATAGGGTGCTCAAGTATCCTTATATCTGTTCTCTCTTTACTTCATCCATGTGCACTTATGAAATATGCGCTAAGCACTTTTACCAGGCACAAAGAGTGTGGATTTTGTTGTTTGTATAATCTTATAGAAGGGTAAGTTGGAAACTAACTTATTTTCCATTATATGCAAAATTGTTTATATTACTTAATTAAGTATGCTTTATTTGTTGTATAACTTTGCAGCCAACTTTGATCAGGCATGCATGCACTTCCCACCATGGACAACTGAAATACTGATTTACTTGCTTTGGTGATACTGCTAATTGGTCAGCATTGCATTTTGTCTTACATATCCTCTTGATCTGTTTCTGCCTTTTAGGTTCATTGAGATATGAAGTCCAGAAATGGCTTGGGAATCCTAATTTGCAGCTTTTAAAGGCTATTCATGCGTTTCCTGTGAACTTTATCTGCTATCAGTATCAACTTGATTCACCTGTCACATACGATGATGAAGAAATAAATGCATGGGAATCTGAGGCAAGACGTTGGGCTCGAGTTCTGTTTCTTGCAGCCAAGGATAGACTGCATTTTGACCCAATTATTAAGGTTAGAAGTATTTAGAAGTATATATGCTTTTTTTTTTTCCTCTCTTCGTTTTATATATTTTAGGAAGAAAAATATGTATGTAGTAAGAGATAGGAGAGTTATAGGAACACAGGGCTAGAGACTTAGATTATATAGGAGCTCTATTTAGGGCCTGAAGGCTGGGTGAGGAAGTTACACCTGAACTGAAAGTGCTCTGTTTCCTCTTGCTCCATGGTTTGCAAAAGAATTCTGCAATTCCGTTTGCATTACGAGAGATGTGATCTAGAGATACAGATGTGGCTTGTTAATATAGGAGTTCATTTTTCAAGGGGTGCAATGCTGTGAATCCAACCAAGAGCATTGTTTGAATTGCACTATGCAACATTCTGAGTTATATTCTAAGTTCATTGGAACTAGTACAATTCCCAGGTCAATGTAATTAAAATTTGGTGTACAAATTGAGATTAACAACACTTACATACATATTGAGCATTTTGAGACGAATTGGTTGTATTATCAAATATTGGTTGATAAATGAGCATTTTATTTTCCTTCAAAGTACAAGGAAAATAAATTACTGAAGTGTTCATGATAAGTAAAACTTGATATAGCAAGTGATATCTACTGTGCAGGAAAGCTATAAGCTGCATTTCTTTGGCCACTGCTGATTTTGTCAAACATATTGTTTCCACGTTCATTTTATTTGTTATCTCATTGTGACTCATTGTGATTCTGCACATCATGGTGTAGAATTTCGGTGCCTCTCTCTTATATATGTGTACACTAAACAAGAGAATCTACAATGTAAGCTTTGGTTGGCTCTACTTCTGAAGCCCTTATGGATCTTTCTGTAAACATGGACATTAAGGATACAATATTGTCTACATAACTTACATTGATGACTTTGATCTAATCTCAGTTCGGTGAAGTTTGACCTTGTACTCTTGTTCTACACTAATATCTTGCTAGTTTAGTAGCTCAACTATAAACTTATAAGTAATTCTTGCTTCAATGATGAATACACCTTGAATGTTGTTGTTGTTTTTCCTTTTTTTTTTATTTATTTTTTTTATATATATAATTAGTATGGAGATTGTTTCCTTCATGCACCATCCACATTTAAAATTATATTGACATTTTTCTGCGGCTTGTCTAGATTTTAACTTTGTCACAAACCTTTCTTGCAGTTCATTCAGAATCTTGGTGGTAATATTTGCAAACATGACAAGTTTGAGTGGGAGGTGGTGAAATTTCTTATCCTTGTTTGCAGTTTGGTTGATGAACTTGTAACAATCCAAGAGAGAATAGCTAAGGGTCAAGTGGCTGGAAGAATGGAGAAAGATTTTGATGGCGGAGCCATTTTTGATGAGTTTGCAAGAGTATTTTTGTCATTTCTGGTATGGATAGAACATGTAGCGTTGCACCATTGTCATCCAATACTATTATTTTGATATAGTTGTGTTCCTTTGGATTTGACAGGAAGAGCTGGTCTCATTTGCTAAGTTATCAATTTCCATATTTTGGTTGGATGTGGTACTTGAGGAAACCTCTCTGCCTGGGGCTATTAAAGGGAAACTAGGTGGCCCAAGCCTACGACGCTTATCATCTACTCTTTGCACTTCTGTTTTGGAAGCTGTAAGAATGTTTGAATTCTCCCTTAATTCATCATCAATTTTCACCTATCCAATTTTTATTTTTGTGCTTCTGTGATTACTTCTGTTAATCCAAATTTTTTTTCTAACATTTATTTTGGATCTAGTGACTTGATAAGTTCATTCTGAACACTTACAGGAAGAGTTGGTTACACTTTTGGTACCCTTTCTCCACAACTCATATCCAAACCTACGAGCAGACACATAGTATTCAGAAAAATAGTCTTGTATATACACACCCATAGATAGACATTACAAACATGATTATTAGCCATGATTACATCTGTTCAAATTATGATATTTTTTATTTTTCAATGTGCTGAAGGGATATTGTCAAGCATGACGAAAATGTTCCCGTTCATAATATTTACATTCTTTTCTCATTGCAGTGTCTTTTATAATCTATATTCTGTACTCATCAAAGATTATCTCCTGTAAAATGATAAAACAAATTAATATAGTGGAGAATTGAAATATGATTTAAAATGTGCAATCTACCACCATGGAACAACTAGATGCCTATTGATTTCCTTTAGCAATTTGGGTATGGTCGTGTATGAATGTTGACGATGGGTCGGAGAGATATGAGGGGCGAATTTTAAAGTTGTGAAATTCTAGGGTTTGGGGTTTGACTAGGTTAGATGATTAGGGGTGTATTTCAGATGCGCCAAGCTTAAGGAGTAATTCTTATTAGAGGATTATTTATTATCTTTGAGAACCAGGGAGTATGAATATTTATTTTCATTATATGCTGTGGGTTTTATAGGCATGTGTTTTTCAAACCCATAAAACTATAGTCACAGTGAAATACTGTGGTGTGTTTTGCCTAAGGTGCCATAACAATTTTATCTAATGTCCCATTCTTATCCTATTTTTTTGAGAATCAGATAACATCAATAAAGACCCTTGTTGCAGTTCTAAAGTGGTGTGCAGAGTTGAGAACAGATGTTCCGACTTATGCTGCACAAGTTTTTCTCTGGACTTTCTGCTTGAAGACCTTTGCAACTCCAGCACCTAAATCTGAGGTTTGCCAAAATTTGGATTATTTGTTTTTGTAGTGGATAATCACATTATTTTATTATATTTAATTTTTTCCGTCCTAAAATACTATTACAATGAGCTGCTGGTTATTTATTCATTGCCGAAAGCAGGTTGAAGGAGAAATATACATTGCTGCATATGAAGCATGTACATACGCTTTGGAGGGATTGGTTCCCATCTTCTCTACTTCATCATTGAATAGTTTAGCAAACAATGATAGCTTATTTCTGTTGGAAGAAGATAGGGAAGCGCTCTTAGATGTGCGTGTTAGCACCTTTATGAACAACCTCAATATTGCTATTGATGGAGGAAATATGGCCAGGACACGGCGGGCAGTTTTAATGAATTTGAAGGTTATAGTACCTTTTCTCCAACTGCTGCTTTTTTTTTTTTTTTTGACATTTTCCTCTTATCCAAATATTTCGTGCCCAGCTTTCTTTTTGGTAGTGTTTTAGTATGATAAGCTGTTAGTACGACAAGTGGCATGCATATTATTTTTCAATTGGGAATTTCTATTTGCAGTTTGTAACAAGGTTATTCGGGCTGGAAAAATTTTCATATTTGATATACACATGCAAACTGTAGCCTAAGTTTTAGTTAATGACTACCAGACTAGGGTAAATGTCACGATCACGTTCTTTTTCTTAGGTCCTCAATCTGGAAGTAACAAAATATTTTTCAAGGAATTTTCATTATCAGAGCAGTGGCGTAACAAGAAAAAAAATTGCTGCTCAAGGTGCTGAAGTATTTAAATCCTACTTATTATGTGTAGTTTGGCCCAGGTTGAGAGGCTACCCTGATATGAGCATTGCGATTGAGATTTAATTTTCGGTTTAATAATTTTCTGTTTTTCTTTTTTCTACTGCATCTCATGTTTTTAATTCTTATTTATTTATTTATTTCTATTTTTTCCCTGTTTATATGGCCTATTCAGCTGTCAAAAGTCATGGTGTCTTATTTTTGTTCTTTCAGTGGAGGTGTCTAGAATCTTTGTTGTTGCTACCAAAGTATGCTCAGTGCAATGGCATTTATTTGAAGAGGTGTAGATATAACTTCTCACAGTCACTCTTAAAACAAATATTTGATGATCTGGTGGGAAGGTGAGATACTGAATTGTGACATGTGACTATCAATTAAAATTGATCTTTGAGTTTGTTTTAGTTTGTTTTGGCCTTTGAGCGGTTGTTTTTACAGTCATGGTTTTGGTGCATGCTGACATGGAACAACTGCCAAACACCGGAAACAATGGCCCGGTACCGCTGCGTGTCTATACACGACGCGGAAAAAGGGCATTTTGGTCTAATTGCTGCATTACCATAATTACTATATATTTGCATTGCAAATTAGTCCTTATCTTATTTATAATTATATTTATAAGTTGATATAAAGAAATGGAATTAGGGTTAAAGAAGTTGATCCAAAAAGAATAAGTGTGAGCGGCTAGGGCTGGGCAGAAGATATCAATCATCTTCTGAGTAATAAAATTGGTTATTATTTCTTTTAAATTGTGTTCTTGTTTCTATCACATGCTTACTGTGGAAACTCTCTTTTGTCTCAATATGATTACAACACGACTTTGCCTTGGTGCCAAGTATAATGAATTATGAACATAGGAGTTGAAATGACCACGTTTGATAATGATTTTTCTAGGTTTTCAGTGTTGCTATATAGAGTTGGATGTGCATAATATGGCAAGGTTATGCTACCCTGTTGCGCTTTCCATGATTATGTTTTCTTTTGAAGCTAGACGAGTAACTTTGAAATTGAGCTCTCCATATTTTGAAGCATATAACATAATTACAGTTCTTTTTGGTTGGCTTCAAGTTTTCTTGAACTCTCTTGTATTTGTCTGGTAATTTGTGGCAATTCGAAACTTTTGTTCAAATAAGTAAACAAGATACCTTCATGTATCCATTCTTAGCTATATGCAGTTGATATAGAATAATTTTTAGGTGTATATTCTCTGTACATGCAAATAATGTCAGAATTGAGAATCACTGTAAGGTTCACCCATATATATTTGTGTGGAATTCCTCTAAGCAGTAAAAATATTTATTTTTCTATACATCTCAAGACAATATATATTCGTATTTAAATCCTAAAAATGGTATCACACACACCACATTTTTAAAATATATGTGTATATATATTAATACTACATACTATTAAGAAACATTCACCCCTTAAGGATTCACACCTTTTAAACTAAGCAAAAAACCAACTATGTATATTTATGATTATTTATTAATTTATATCTTTATGATGTACATTCAAGTCATTTATACAACCTGACAACCATATGCTCAATGTGTGATAAACGAAAGTTACTTTCTTCTAATGTAATGAAAACTTCACAAATCAAATCATTTTTTATATGTTTCATATCATATATTTTCTGAACCTCTTACAAATGTTAATTCTGAGTAAAGTTCCATGTTATGCTCACATTATGGTCTTTCTGGATGAGCTTGCAGCCTTGAAAATGCTGGTGAAGTTTCTGTTTTGCCCATGCTCAGATCCATCAGATTAACCATGGAAATGATTTATTTAAGAAGAATGGATCAAACTTCTTCTTGGACTGGAATAACTATTGAGGTATTCTTGCATACTTTATCAATCTAATACACAGTATTCTTTTCTTCAATCAGGAGAAAATTGGCTGAGATCTATTCACCTTTTGACTTCTCCTGACTGTTATCTAGGGTGATGTTTTTTTCCTTCTGTTTTTTTTTTTTTTTTTGTGTGTGTGTGTGTGTGGAGAGAAAGCAAAATGCATTTAGTATTAAGAATGGAGTGAATAACATCACAAAATCAAGAGAAACCTGATGGAAGAAGGCTGAAAGCAAAGAGCAACCCTATAAGGAACTCACTGAGGAGACATCCTAAACCCTAAAAAAAGTTTGTGGGGGAGAAGCTTACTGTTGGATTGGATTATTTACAATTAATATTAAAAGTTGAATAATGGTGTGCATAGAAGAAGATAATCAGTGTCTTGTTTCCTAGCCTTATGCTTTCAGTTTCTGTATTGCTTTCTTTGGATTTGCTTCAATTGATACTTTTTTTGTTTTTTTAATAGATGATGTGGCTTTTGGTTCATTCTTCATGGATATTGCATGTGAGCTGCAACAAAAGGAGAGTGGCTCCTATTGCTGCACTCCTATCCTGCGTCTTACATAGTTCAGTGTTTGGGGATGAACGCATGCATGAATCTGACAATGTTACTGGGCCATTGAAGTGGGTATGTGTTTCTCTTTCATTTGGACAATATTTATGAACTTATTTGACAGTCGACAGATACCACAATAACACCTTTGCAGTTTGTTGAGAAAATCCTTGAAGAAGGTAAAAAAAGTCCGCGAACCATTCGTCTTGCTGCATTACACTTATGTGGACTCTGGTTGGCCTGTCCAAATATCTTAAAGTACTACATTACAGAGCTGAAGCTGCTTACTCTTTATGGTTCTGGTATGAAGATTCTTGATGTGCTCGATTTAATATGGAATTAAATTTTCCGATGGGCAAAACTTGATATGGCTGCTTCCTGTTGATCTTGCCTGTTTTTTGACGCAGTTGCTTTTGATGAGGATTTTGAAGCTGAACTAGCTGAAAATTATGATGCAAGGGCTGAACTATCTGTGCTTTCAAAAAGCCTAGATCCTGAGTTAACAGATGTAAGTTCTATGTTGTTCTGTTTGAAGTGGCTTTCCAATCTGAAAAAGATTCAGTATTTCTCTAATGCTTCCCTTGCTTTCTATCATGATTACGTGGCACAATATTGTAGATATTGGCAGTTGAAAGATCTAGTGGAAGAGGAACTAGTCAACAAGTTGACTATGGATTACAGAACTATGAAATTGTTCCCTCCACCGAATATGACTCACCTAGCTGTAAATAAGTCCATAATATGGATTGATATCAGCTGGTATATGTATTTTCTATATATTACATTGTTAAAAAGGTATTCATGGTAGTAATTGGCTGTATAAAAAGACCTTTAATTGTATTGATTACTTTATTAGAATCTTGTACTGGTTTTATTTTTTTCCATAGCCTGTAGTTGGAAAGAATCTAGGTGAAGTAAATTTGGAGGTGAAAACAGCTCTTCAATATACTTACGTGACACTAGGAGGTAGTTTTAGTGACAAGTTTGCCTCTAAATTGTGAAGTTAAACATCTAGGTTAACATGGAAGCAACGATATTGTCCATCTTCATCGAAAGCCTTGCCATGGCTTTCGTATGGAAATAAATCGTTGCATTCTTATGGAAATAAATCGATCAAATACACCAACATATCAACACCAAAAATAAAAAAACTAAAGAAAATTAGGAAATGGATCTAGGTCATCTTGGTTTTACATTAAAATAGAGTCATGAAGGATGCCGATGGTGCACAAAACTATGGGAATGTGACCTGAACAAAAAAATTTCAACTTTTGAAATGAATGATACATATTTTTGTGAGCTTATGCTTTTAGTTAAGACAGTCACTTATCTTTTCTGATACAATGTTGCGAGTGGAGAGGCTTTATGTTTAAACTTCACAATCAGTTATTATGAAAATAAACATTGGATTAGGGTTGATGATTGACAAGGGTGCTACTTCTACACAGCACATATTTTGAATAACTAACCTATGTATGCCCATGTCTGTGTATATATATTAAGTTGAATATAATGTATATTTATGAATGTTGACTAAAGGTAACGTGACAATTGGCATACAACAAATATTGTTCTTTCATTAATCATGATTACCATTGTATATATTTAAAAAGGGAATAGCCAAATGATGTCTGATTTTTAATTTAATCTACTGTATTGCTTTGATGCTATTAATCTATTACTTCTTCTACTATTTTATATTGATATATGTTCTTGTATTGCGGTTTTGCTATCTTTATTTCGAATTATTTTTAGTGAGTAGAAGACATTTTATTAAAAGAAGGAGATGGCACAAGATAGGGGAGTGTTCAAAAAGCTCACTTGGTATTACAACCAGGCAGATAGGTCAATGTTTCCTTTTGGACCATGCTTAGCAAAATATCGGAAACATAATTTTCACTACGAGGGATGTGTTAAAAAATGATGGGAGGGAACTTTATAATTGAGAGACGGGACTTGTTTATGTTGAAATTCAGCTTCCAAGGAGGTGAAGTATTCAATATCTATCCAAGCGCATTTGTTGAATTGTATTCAGCAATTTTGGGAATAGGATGATAATCAATCAACATATATACAATCCAATTGAATCTCTAACTGATTACAAAAGATCATATATATACCAACATGAATCATTGTTTATGCAGAGTTTAATCAAATCTTGGTCCCACTGTTTTGGGCCCTCCAGACTTTAGAGCATGACTTAAGTGTCTTTGTGAGGAAGATTGTCCTCAGTGCATAAAATCAAAATGTTCTGTTTCTGAACGGTGTTTACTGTTCAGAGTATTAGAGTTTAGATACTGATAAAAACTAGCATGGATGATAGTAATGATGGATGGTGAGCTTGTAAATATGTGATAGTTCATGTGGACTCAAGACAGTAAAATAAGGATGATCGATACACTTGAAATGGTGGCAAGTTTGGGTGAAGGCTCTGTTTGTATAACCTCAGTGGTTAATCACTTTCTCTTCTCCATATAATGCATGCATGTTTCGGAGTTTCTAGACAGAATGTTCTGTTTTTTTTCCCTATTAAATTAAATATCATTTGAATTCTGACTTCTTATGTTGTGTTTCCTTGATCAGGTGTTCATCAATACGGAGTTGTATGCTCGTGTATCTGTTGCTGTTTTGTTCTCCAGACTAGCAGACATGGCTGATTTGATTAAAGAATCAACTTTTTCAAATGATGATAACCTTGATATTGTTGCATCCGGGAAAATGTTTCTAATCGAACTTCTCAATTCTGTGGTACCTATATACATCTATCTAGTTACCTCCTTTTTTTTTTTTTTTTTTTTTCTATGTTGTGACTTTCCATATTTTTTTATCTTCATCCCTTCTTGCTTCTGGTTTTATAAAACCTTTATCATCCCACCTCAGATAAGTTTAACTGCAGGAGTTGTGGCTTAAATTTGTTTTGTTTGTGGTGATATCTTGTTGCCTTTTCTTCTTACTCCGCATACATTAGAAACATGGAACTGCATCTTTTTTTATTTTTTTTGATAGTGTGCGTGATGTTCTTTGATTTATCGGAGAATGCTCTAAAGTCCTAATAATGTATCTGGTTTTTTTTGGAGCATCTACAGCCAGACGTTTTAAGTCTATATTTCCACTTGCACTAAGCTTAGACAAAGAACCTTCCACCTCATTTGCACTTGTGGGGATATGCTGCAAGATAATTATGGAAAATTTCAATAGGAAACTCTCTCCAAACCACGTGTATTTTTGGTGGGGCATTGTTGGTAGTTTCTTGTGTATTATTATGTGAAAATTGATTAGCTCTTTTCAACTCTTCGATAATTATTTTGGGTATCTGCTAATTTAGGTGAAGAAATTAGTAGATAGCTTAAAAAACAGTACTAGTAATAGATTAAGATCCGAAATATTTAGTTGGCAGCTTACAATTGGAGAACATGGTCCAAACATTAAAGGGGTGGGGTATTGAGAAATTATATTGATGTTTTTGCAGAGGAACATTTGCAGTTTGACTTTCTTTGATTTGTTGCTTTTAATATATCTCTAGATAAATATATATTGAGGCACCATCTCAGTTTCCTGTTTGTTGTTTAAGGTTTAGCCTTGTCTTTTCATTGCTTCATAAATGTATAATTCCTTCCTCTTATAATTATTGTTTCTGAAATAGAAAAATGGCCAACGGATCTGCTTTGATTTTTTGACAGATAACTGACAGAGATCTGTCCAAGGAATTGTACAAAAAATATAGTGCGGTGAGTTTTGTTGTGAACATGACAATTGATAAGGAATTATGGTTTTCTTCTTTCCCCTAATCTACCTCATCAACCCACCCACCCCTCACCCCCACGCCCGCGCACACACATGCTGGCTCACAATACGCCCACTAAAATTACCTAAGGAATTAGAACACATTCCACACCATCTACTGTGTAACGTATGTCGCTCCGATTTAATTACAACAGCTATTCTATAGTAATTTCTCTGAATGGAAGAACTGATATATACAATTATAGGAGACACAGTATTGTACTGTCCAAATTTTTTGCATGATGGTGCATGAATAAGTAGATAGACTTCTTTATTCTTTTCTGCATCTGCTCACTTTTGATATTTTCAGATTCATAGGAGGAAAGTTAGAGCATGGCAGATGATATGTGTGTTGTCACGCTTCGTTGACAGAGATATATTCGAGCAAGTGACCTCGTGTTTGCAGACATCAATTTATGTGAGTCAATACCCTTTTAAACTTCAGTTTAGATTTTCCAGCTGTTTGCTTTGTGTAATCTAACATGTTGAGTAACAAACTTCTATCATTTTGTGTCGGCATAAATTGAAAAAGTACACGATTTAAGTTGAATGCAAAATATATTGATGATAAAAAGTTTACTGTATCATATTTACGTGGATGAATGTATTCATAGTTTGCTACAAGGCTTGATGGGGTTACCTTTTATTTTCTCCTAATTATTTCAAAAACCAAACTTGCGGCATATAATTCTATAGGTAATATTCCCTCCGCAAAAGTTAATAAAATTAAAAAAGCAGTTGGGGTTATTTTTTAAAATTTAGTTAGTAATTAAAGGGAACAAATAAAAGATAATGTAATAAAGGTAGTGATAGTGGCGGAGATAGTAGGGTGGCCCTAACTTTTATTCATTTTTATTTTTATGTATTAATTTTTTGTATTATATGTATTTGTTTAGAAATTTAGTAATAAAATTTATGATTTGAATAATTGACCACTTCTAATAATTTAATAAAAAATTATTATTATAAATATTTTACTTATTCAAATATACTAATCCATATATTTATAAAATAAAAAATTCGAATATTTTTAAATTTTTATAATTTTTATTATATTTTTATATTTTATGCTTTTTATATATTATATATAAAAAATAAATGCCCCTGCCAACTTTTTTTATCCGGCTCTGCCACTGGTAGTTACTATTATGGTAAGGAGGATAATAGTGACATGTTGAATATTTGATTTTGTCAAAATTAATAATTGAGTAAATCTAATGGATGGATGAAAAAAGAAAGTGAGATTAAAATTAATATTTGTTGAATTGTTGTTTTTTTGTGAGTTGATAAAGTATATGTATTATATATAGTGTATTAATGGATGTATATATTGTATTTTTTTAATAATATTTATGAAGAATCGTCCTACCAAAAAAATCTCTTCCACTCCATTAGTGAATCTAATCTTGATTACAATATTGGTTTTAGTCTCTTCATTCTATCAGAGGAGCAAACCCTGATTAAAGTAGTCAGCTGACTCAGCTATTTATTATAATGTTGAACCATTAAAATAAGTAGCGCATTAGCATAAGTAGTCTATTCACTCTATCAGAAGAACAAACCATGGTTTTACACATTTGTGCCTAGTTGAAGCAGTCGAAACTAGCCTTGATACCCTGCTAGAAATTGATACTAATATTAACAAGTGGAAGGATGAGTGCAACAAGTTGAAATTTGTGAATTATATTAGTCTCTCTCCCCCCGTATATAGTAATACGAGGGCCATTTATTTATGCATATGAATATGTAAAGATTAGAGACATCTCAAGCTTGATCAAGTTAACATTTATCACAAAGCACAGATATTTGTCTATTTGCAATATCGTTGCCCTCATGTAAAAGTACAATGCGTTATTTTATCTATGTTAAAGTTTGTTCTATGCGTTGAGGGATAGTTACTACTATCTGGTTTGATTTTAAGTTGAGCTTGTTTCGTTTCTATCCTGATATTTTACCTGATCTAGCTTTGTGCTGATGTTTATTTTGTTATGCATGTAGAGGAACAATTTACCCTCTGTTCGACACTACATGGAAACTTTTGGCATCTACATATATTTGAAATTCCCTTTGCTGGTAAGAATTTGTGCTAGGTTTGCCTCTTTTGTTCATTTTTACTGTCATTGATTATTGACAAATGATAGGGATGATAGGATATTCTGTTTGTTTGAAAGAATATTTGAACCAATAATAAGAAATGAACTGAATAAAATCCAACTGTCAAAATCCAGAATTTACATCCAATCAAACTGTCTTTTAAATTTTGAGACAGCTGTGACCAAAAGAAATACTGGGTATTCTTATGTTTCTTATGCTATATTGTTCTTTTTTTTTCTTTTTTTTATTTAATTTTTTCGCATCTTTATTTTAACATATTCTAAGGTATTTGTTATGATACTTAATGTCTTGTACAGATCAGCCAGCAATTGGTTCCTCTACTAAGAAACTATGATTTGCGACCTCAGGTGAGAAGCTTATGCATTTTGCTTTTGCTGCTTCAATTTTGTTTCTGTTTTGAATTCTCTTTTATGGAAATATACCATAAAAGAGAATGAATTCTGTTTTAATTTAGGAATGAATGACTGATTTTTTTTATTACAAAACCTTTCTTGTTTTTCTTTTTATATTTTTAATATTGATTGTCACTCTTAAAACACAAATCATTCATTTATATATATATATGTCTGATGGATGCAGGCTGTGTCATCATATGTATTCATAGCAGCAAATATCATTCTCCATGCAAAAAAAAGTAATCAATTTGAACATTTGGATGTGTTACTTCCTCCAATAGTCCCATTTCTGACTTCTCATCATCACAACTTAAGGGGAGTTACTCAGGTTAGTCAGAAGCAGACATTTATATAAACATATATATCATGTATGATATGCTCAGATTTGACAGTTGTATCCTCATTATTGAATAACAGATATTGGTGTATCAAGTTCTTCAAATGTTGTTTACTGATTCTAGCTTGAGCTCATATTCAAGCATATCCCTGGAGAGAAGATGCTTTGATGATTTGAGATATTATTTGGCCCATAACTCAGATTGTGCACGGCAAGTATCCTACTTTACATTACACCAATATTCTACTGTTGAAGCATGCTATGCCTCGAAGTTTGTTGTGTGTGTTCCCTGTATTCAAATGAGTTGTAGTTGTGAGTGGTGACCTTCACATACCCTAGTGTGTTGTCATCTTCTAGTTTTGGACACTAGTCTTGTTAATTACTACTAATAATATCTGAGAATTGGCTCCAGATATTGGTTGAAAGAATATAAACACAGGCATATCTCTTTTGGAAAGCCTGGGCTAGCAGGTATTGGGGCGGTAATTGCCATGTCTTATTTAGTCTCTCCAAATTCATTGATATCACCAATACAAATGATGTAGATTGTTGGGAATTATCCTAGTCTTTTATTTCTTATTGATTGGGCAATTAGGCCTGCTTCTGAAACTCTTTGTTGAGTGCGAATTTAAAAAATGCTTTAGGTTAGAACCAGGGTACCTCAGCTCCATGAAAATGAGCACTCCATTTCTATATGCACCCTAGTCATTTTCTAAGACATTCCTAGAAGCGAATGATTTTGTGGACCTTTTTGCTAAACATGGAGCCCGGGGAAGCAAAGAGCTCACTTTTTTACTATGGCTTTTCATCTTATAAAGATCCCTATAAATGTATTTGTAGATTCTGCATGGTCTCTATCCTTCTGTCATTGTATACTTCATTTCATAATGATATCTCCCCCAAAAATGTAGACTTAAAGAAAGAGCCATTGTTTGTGTATGATTTTAACTCAGTTTGGCATGAGAGATACAACCAAAGTATGCGCAGACAATATAGAGGAACCTAACTTTTTTGGAATTAGTTGCAACATCTTGTCAAAAGAAACACTACTGAAACAGAAATTAGGCAAAAGAAACCTATTGCCTATCTTATTGAGATAGAAATCTCTCCATTTATGGATATAAATTTATTAGAAATTAGTAGTCTTCCAATTTTTTGACAAATGCACTTCAACCACGACATCTATAAATGTATTATCCACTTTCCTAAAATGCATTGAATATTTGAAAAATTTTGCACTCACGTTAGGCACAACATCCATTTTGTTTCCCGTTTGCTATTCTAATGTGCAATCTCATACTTTAGTCTACGTCATCTCTGCAAGATAGTGACCACATTTTCTGAGATTGTTAGCTTTTACCAATATCTATGCAGGTTAAGAGCTTCTATGGATCGCTATCTTGGTTCTTTTGATCCGGTTAAATCTATATCACCAGCAGGGATATTTACCACTGGGATAGAGGTATGTTGTTGGCAAGTGCTTTTTTTTTTGGGTCCTTGTTTATTGTTCCATGCTAACTGAAAAACAGATTGTTTTATTTTGGTTTCTTGTTTTGAGCTGTACATATATACAAATAACTACAATCAAAAGATATTTGTGGATTTCTATACCTGTACAAGATATGATATTATGAGATGTGTGATTTTGTAGCTGTACAAAAACAGGACATTTTGGATGCTCCCCATTCTTCCTCTTGTTGGTGACTTGATATATTCATTCCCAGCATGCATGCAACTTTCTCAAAGTTTGAAGTTATCAACTTTAGCTAAGACCGAACCAACTAATTACTCAAATATATGAAGCACAATCATGGCATTTTTCTGTTTTTCTTATGTAGAATGACCACTTAATTTTAAGGTCATAGGCATTATCTTGAACCAAAATAATAAGCTTCCAACTCTATGAGCTATAGCTTTCGTTGAATATTGTTGTCCCACGCTGAAAAATTGTGAGAACTACCCTTGGATACAAGGGTGAAGACACTTAATACCTATTGGTTTAAAGTTAGAACCCCAAATTCCTTCTTAACATGGTTTCACCCGTATTGAGTATCGATAATGTTTAGGATTTCGAGATGATATCATCTCGAAGGGGGAGTCTTGAGTATTGTTGTTGATATGGAAACTTATGGGAACTCCCCCTTGGATATAAGAGTCAAGGCTACACCACTTAATACTAGTTGGTTTTAAGTGGAAACCAAGATCCCTTCTTAATAGCTTTATGTTCTCATCTGGACTTGATTTTGCACTTAACAGATTTATGAGAAAATATAAACTATGGCTGAGTACAGTAATTAATTATGATTATATAGGATTCTATACCCCTAGATCATACTTTTTTGACCAATTGAAGTAAAATTTGCCATATGTTGATAGATTGGTTACATGTTAAGAAACTTCTATTATTCTTTTTAGAAGTTGTGAAACCAGGCAATAAAGGCTGTGTGGTTAGCCAAAACTCCTAGATTTTCTATTATCCTATTAGTTGTGTGTGTGTGTATATATATATATATATATATATATATTATTGATAAAATATTTAGATGCGTACAGATTGGACAATTGAGGTAAAGATCAAGTATATTTATATTATTTTAATTATAACTTGTATCACATTGTAATATTCAATTGATAGAAGAATGTCTTATATTGAGTGAAAATTGTTCACTACAAGTTCTACCTCCACAGCTTGAATATTGTATCCATTCTAGATTGTAATGTGACTTGAATTATATCCTCTTATTATATGTCGATTGTTGCAGCTAATCACACAGAATACTTGGTTATCTTTAAGATTTAGCTCTTCATTATTTTATTGTACTAATGTTGGGGAACTCTTTTAGGAACATGAATTTGAGTGTGTTCCAACAACACTTATGGATCAAGTCAATGATTTTCTGAATGTAAGAATCTGATTACTTTTTGTTATTTTTTCTAATTTTGTTTTCTCACTAGCTTACTGCCCTTAATTTATTTTCACAGAATACAAGAGAAGATCTTAGATCTTCGATGGCCAAAGATGCTATTGCTATCAAACACGATAGCATCAACCTTGAAATAGGCAACCCATCTAATGAAGTAATGAATTGCAATGGTGAGCAATCAGTATTCAAGGTACAAAATGAACTTTTGTGCGACTTCCAAAGAAAAATTACCTTCTCGTGGAATGAGCTGCAACACACATCCTCCACAGCATTCATGGAACAAAAACAATTATTGGGATCAGTTTTGGGTACGTAAGCATTATTCATGCCTTGTTCTTGCCATTGCATACAATTAGACAAACTGTGTTTTATACGGCTTTATAGTTACTGCTTAATGCTATGGTCCAAATTGTGTGATATTTTTAAGAATTTTTATTTCTAGAATAGGACATTAAAGATATTTTGACAATATTAATAGTGTTTACGATCTAGACTATTGACTTCTGTGCCAGTCACTATGAGATTCATTTTTCTGTTTATGTCAAAGGGTTTTGACTTTTATGCCGCCTTTGTTACATGCTGGAACTTTATTTATTAATTTATCTTGTTTATTTTTTGTGAAATATTTGTTGCTCTATTTCATTGTAGCAGTGGCATTTTAATACTCTAAGGGTGTGTTTGTTTGGGGGATTGGATTTTAAATCCACTATTCATCCCATTTCCCCCACCCCAAAAATATCAAATCAAACACTTAGTTTTATTTTTTATATTATACTAAAAATCAATTTTACATTCGAAACATCACATCAACACCTATTTGTATCACATCATACAACTATTCAAATTCAAAATTTTTACTATTCAAATCCCAACTCAAAATCCAAACCCCCAAACAAACACACCCTAAGTTGTAGTCCTTTGTCATGGTAAACTTCATATGGCATCTTTATTAAGGTGTACAGCTTTGATGTCTTAAAATGCCACTGCTAATCCAAATAACCCCGACAAAGGTGGGTGTGATATCATAATCATACTATGTGTCATGTTTTCCCATTCAAATTGATTCAATGCATGTGCTATTTACAGTCAATAATAGATTAGAAAATTAGGATAACATCAACACATATGATTATAGGCTACAAAAGATTATATTAATCCTTAATCTTAACGACAACATTATTAAATATTCTATTCTAAATGCAATTCTTCAAAAGAAAGGGTTGAGTCGATGGCAGAGGCATAATAATTTATTTATGCATTTCGATGATATTTTATTTTTAGTTTTAAAACAAACCTTATCTCCCAGTCTAATGCGATTATTTTTTTATTGGAAAAATTGTTTGATCGGAATATTAATGTGTTTATTGGTAATCATGTTGGTGGAGTAGAACTTATGTTCGCTACAAACCAATTGAGTGTAAAAATTCATGACCTTGATTTTGGCTGTACTTCCTGCAGCTCCTAAGGAATTTGTTAATATATAGTTTCTGTCATCACTGGTTTTGCTCCTAATTATTCAGTCTTTCATTAAAAACATTTTTGTTACGGAAATTTCCAGGAAATCAAGATGAAATAACAAGGACAAAAGAACACAAGAATTTGGTAACCCAGTTCGATCACGATGATCTACGTCTGGGGGCGCTGCCAAGCCAGGAATTTTACTATAAAGTACGCAGGCACATGTTAAAGTGAGAATACATGGATATTTATAGCCTAAGCCTTTGACAATAATATCCAAATCATATATCTAAAATCTAAAATATAATATCCAAATCATATCCCTAGATTTTAGGATATAATCAGGCTTCATATCCTAACAATCTCCCACTTGAAGACTGATTTCATCTTCCACTTCAACATACCTCATCCAATCTCCACTCCCCACCATTCGGTGTTCTGATTCGAATCATCCCTTTACCTACAATTTTCAGTGTCTCATCATCTCCAAGATAAACAACACCAAAATTACCTGTGGTATAGGATTCCATGATTCTCGAATCACTGCATAAGTGGAATGACGCTCGACCAAAATCCATGACTCCATTGGACTGCTGACGCTCAGAATCAGCGCATCGGATATCTCCTCCGTTGCGTTTGCTGAACCCTGATCCTTCTCCGGCGCCCTACACTGTCGTTTCAAGTGCCCCTTGCAGTTCCAATATACCACCTGACTTGCATCTTCATTGTCCTTATTCTTCGGCTTCAACTTTGACCATTCTTGATCTTCACCCTTTCCTTTTGCCTCAAATCTAAATTCAGTCGAGACATTCTCCCAAAGGGTTAGTCGAACCGCACTCATCGTCTTCCTGTCGATCTTCTTGTATTCGGCTTCATCCATGTCTTCGAATTTCTCCTTCAATACCGCATCTAGATCTTTACCATACATGTAATCTTCTATCTGCATATTTTAGAAATCGAAGTTCATACCATCGAATACCTTGACAACATGATGATCACCCATCTTGACTCCCACAAACAAACCAAGGTTCACTTGATATGAGAGCACATTGGATATCTCCTCCGCTGCGTTTTCCGAAACCCTTATCATTCCCTGCCAACCTTGCACCGCCTATCACAAAGGGACTCGCTGCCTGACCTACCAGTCGGGACCGACCCAACACCGCCAGGAGACTTTCGACACAAGGCACCTCCGCAGGTCACAAGGGATTCCCACAACGATCCAACGTCCGATTCCTCTCAATCCACCCTATCAACGAACTAGGCTCTGATACCACTTGTTACGGAAATTTCCAGGAAATCAAGATGAAATAACAAGGACAAAAGAACACAAGAATTTGGTAACCCAGTTCGATCACGATGATCTACGTCTGGGGGCGCTGCCAAGCCAGGAATTTTACTATAAAGTACGCAGGCACATGTTAAAGTGAGAATACATGGATATTTATAGCCTAAGCCTTTGACAATAATATCCAAATCATATATCTAAAATCTAAAATATAATATCCAAATCATATCCCTAGATTTTAGGATATAATCAGGCTTCATATCCTAACAATTTTTTTTTTTTTTGCTTCCATCTAATGGTGTCCTAAAATTTTCATGCATTTCCTCCAAATGCAGATATATCAAATGAAGACCATCTTCTCAATCAGTTGCTTCATTCAAGGGGAATGATTGTGGAGAAGTTGAAGTCAAGCAGGCAACAAATTATTCTTGTAGCATCACTCATAGATCGCATACCTAATCTTGCTGGGCTGGCAAGGACCTGTGAGGTTTGCAACATTAGACTTCAGTACTTAACATATGTAGCATTTTGCCTATGGCCACATCAGTTTAAGTGTTGCACTGCCCTTCTTTACACAGTTTCTTAGTTGTCTACTGATTTATGCTCAAAATTTTTAATGAGTGCTATGTTTGCATCTCCCAGGTGTTTAGAGCAGGTGGACTAGTTATTGCAGACAAAAATGTGTTAAATGACAAGCAATTCCAACTCATAAGGTTTGACTCAGGTTTTCTTATGTTGTTTCTGAATAGTATTTAATAATCCATATCAATTATTGAGTAAATGTTAACTTTGTTACATGAAATAATACAAGTCTACACTCTACAACTGCTTTTGGGATTTTAATTTATTGAAATAATGCAGTAGTTTGTTGCTTAAAATAGCAAAATGTCGTGATGCATTTTAAAATTTAACTAAACATTAATACTGAACTTTAGTCCGGAAACTTTCAGATTACTATTGTATGTAGTCTTATTCATGTTTAGTAGATGAAATCAAGAGTTAGTTTGTGTATGATGCTGTTTCCAAGTCTATTTCTTGTGTGTTTGTATGTCATGAGGATCCCTTTCCTGAATCTTTTGCATTGAGAACATGTAGATATAATGTTCCTAGTGTATAAACCTATCAATTCCTTTAATTTGGATTAAAGAACTAAATAATGCAAAAGTACATGTATAATGGCATCACTAAGTAACACACATTAGCAGGTCAATCTAATTAGACTTGTCAAATTTGATTAGGTCCAAGTCCAATTATATCTGTCAACATTGTTAGCAACTTTTTAAGGCATTTTCTAAATATGTGCTAAAGTGCCCTTGTTTTATCAGTGTAACAGCAGAGAAGTGGGTTCCCATTGTGGAAGTTCCAGTTGGAAACATGAAGGCATTCTTGGAGAAAAAGAAACGAGAGAACTTCACCATCTTAGGTCTGGAGCAGACCTCAAATAGTGTACCAATGGACCAATACAATTTTCCTACGAAGACTGTGAGTCTGTGCCACTAGAATTTTATTACCGTGCACTGCTGTATTATTATTATTAAGTTGATCCTTCTGTGTTAAATATAAATGTTTAAAATGCTTCCCTCTCAAAATAGAAAGTGATGATGTTTCTATTCTAATCTTGAACTAGGGTTGCTTTGGATGATCTTATAAACATAAATATTTACAAAGATAATGCTTTGAGTTGTCACAAGAAAGATAATGAAGGATATGACAAAACAAAATGTCCAAAGTGCTATTTTGATGTCAGCTCTCCATTATATTTTCTCTTCTAGTGTTTAGGATTCATACATAAAGATGGGTATTTATCTGTAGGATGCAGCACATACTTGTGAAATCTATTTTTTGTTTAATCATATAGGTAAAATAGTTTTGGCTATGTTTAGGTCTTTTCTTTTTTAATAAATAAATAATACCAAACATTAAATCTTTTAATATAACTCTTGTATCAATCACAATTAATATGATTTGATATAATTGCTTTAAAATAGATAATTTATATAATATGCATCATATGATTATGAATATGAATTCACCTAACCTAGAACTAGCAGTTTTATCAGGGAATTTCTCCTTGGGGCACTTCGTATGGGCTCATCATTTGTCATCTTGGAATGGTATGAGGGATTAGAACAAAGTTTAAACAAAGTAGTCTTAGACTAAGATAAATATTCATCTAGGTTATTGTAACAAAATTTTTAGAGGGCCGTGTATTAAGTCAAGTGGACACTTGTCCTCTCTCATCACCTTTTACTACAAATGAAAATGCTATGTGAGTGTGATTAGAGCAAGTTATCTTCATGGCCTAGACTTGGGCAGTTAATCTATTTGAAATATGAGAAACACCATAGATATTAATTTGTCTTTCTGTTAGTTTTGGCGCAATTGCTAAAAAAGAGTGCAGTGTTCTCATGCTTTTCTAATGAGTATCTACAGTTGTGCATAATCTACCGAGGATAAGGTCTTTTGACTGGGTATGCTCAATTTGGTTGATCCTTGAGTTTTAGATTTACTACCACAAGTTGATGATGTCTTTACCCCTTGAATAAATTCACTCCTTGTTTATATACTTCTTCATGTGCTTATAAATATAAAACAGATTTCCATATGTTATCTTGGCTACAAAAAACTTTGCGTATACATTTAGCCTTAATTAGTGAACCTTTATCTGTGGTTGGTGATTCTTTTCATTTGCTGAAATGAAAACAATTGACCTTTTTCTTTTCTTTGTGTTCCTCCATAGGTATTAGTTCTTGGTCATGAGAAGGAAGGAATACCTGTAGAGACAATACACATGTTGGATGCTTGCATTGAGATTCCACAGCTAGGAGTAGTTAGGTCCCTAAATGTTCATGTCAGCGGTGCCCTTGCACTTTGGGAGTATACTCGGCAGCAAAGATCGCATTAAATTATCATGGAGCTGTTTCCTAACATTATATGTCCAGAAAATGGTGCATGATTCACCATGTTTGGGGCATCAAGTTTCCTCACCTATCATACTTTACCCTGCCCTGCAGATTAGGCAAGAAAAATCATTTTGAATTCATTCTTAAATTTGAGTTATTGTTTCAGGGAAATATTTAAGTTACCATCTTACAAGAAACTTGGAAGTGAAAATTGGAAATCTTCAGATTAGTAGGCTCACTTTTGACAACTCTTTTGGCCCGAGCAGGCGCCAAATTTGATCTTCTGTTGCTGAATCAATCACTTGTTGGATTGATGGTTGAAATATTTTAACAATATAAGCATGGAGAGGTGATACTTATAAAGGAATGCAAGCCTTTTTCTAGCAAATATGTTATGGTACTCAATTATATACTTTAGTTTTTTTAATCAATTAATTTACTCCATAATAAAAAGGAAACAAAATTAAAGCAGGCTAAGATGTATGGCAATGTATTATGTACGTGCATAGTGCATGCAGTGTAGCAGTTCTGTAACACAAATCTTGTGCTCATTTTGTAGTTTAGAAACACCTTTCTTGTGCTCATTCATAAGCATTTATGTTCTTGTTGTGCACGCATTACATTGATTGCTCGATAGAATTCATGGCGAATCAGCTGTGCCTCTCCTTTTATTCTCTACTCTATTAACTACTAACTGCTTCTTAGTCCATGATATTCGTTGTCATCATTGTTCTCATCTCTTCGATCCACCAATGGATGTTCGCGGTCCACGGCAAGGTCTTTATGGTTCTCATGGAGGATGATCCGGTCGTAATGACACCACTAAGGTTCGTTTGATTTCGGATCTAGAAATATTCAAGTGATCATAAGGTAAGTCTTCTCACTGAATTTTCTTTTCTTTTTTTTTTATATATCTTTTTGTATAGGGGCGATGAGGATGTTACATTGTACAAAGATTGGATTAGACGGGAGCACGAGGCTTTCCTCCAATCCCTCAACCAAGAAGGCGCATATGTCAAACTCTATAGCTACACGCATTTGTTGAACGGCTTTGCAGTCGATATCAAGGGGGACGATGTATGGTGTCAATGTGTTTACAGATGGGAACGTTGTTCGTGTTTTAAGTTTAGATGGATTCTTGTAATGTCTAATGAAATGCGATTTTATGGCATATCCTGCAGATGCTTCATTCGCTACGTCATGCAGAGGGAGTTCAATCCATCCAAGAAGATGTAAAAATCGAGAAGTTCACAACACATACGCCGGATTTCTTAGGAATCCCAGAAGGTGCTTGGCCAAGCTTAGGTGGATCCAACGTTGCAGGCGATGGTGTCGTGATTGGCCTAATAGACACCGGGATCAATCCTGCCCATCCCAGCTTCACAACCAAAGCACCACCTGCCTCAAGCCGGAGTACTTTTGCCCAGAACGGAAAGTTCAAAGGAAGATGTGCTACCGGGGATCGGTTTCCATCCTCAGCTTGTAATGGCAAGATCGTCGGCGCACAGTACTTTGCACGCGCTGCAATCGCTGCAGAAGAATTTAATTCATCTCGGGACTATGCTTCCCCCTTCGATGCTGATGGCCATGGCAGGCAAGTAATGAACAAAGTTTCATATATATATATATATATGTATATGTGTGTGATAAGTATATAAGCGTTCAAGAGATGAGCATGATATAGAGTGACGATGTTCTGTGTTCGGCAGCCATACAGCCTCGATAGCAGCCGGGAACTACCATGTTCCTGTCTTCACCAACAACTTCAACTATGGCTATGCAAGCGGCATGGCGCCTGGAGCAAGGTAACATAAACAAATTCGTTCTTAGCTATTTAGTCAAAATTTCGACATCTAGATTCGAGTTTATCTTGTGCTCTGATGCAGGATTGCTGTGTACAAAGCTCTGTATCCCTTCGGAGGCTACATGTCTGATGTTGTCGCTGCAGTTGATCAGGTTGTAAATATCTTTATGATTTCGACACCTGAATAGAATCAAAATCGACTTACTAGGGAAAGTGTGGCTGATTTTTGTGAAGGCAGTAGAAGATGGTGTTGACATACTAAGCCTTTCGATAGGACCATCGAGCGTTCCTTCCGGATTGTCTGCATTCTTGAACATTCTAGAACTCGAACTTCTATTCGCGACAAAAGCCGGTGTTCTGGTTGTTCAAGCTGTCGGAAACGGCGGCCCCTCGTCGAGCTCTATACTCTCCTTCAGCCCTTGGATCACCAGCGTTGCCGCGTCCATAACCGACAGGAAATACAGTACTTACGTTACCCTTGGGAACGGCCAACATTTGATCGGCAATGGACTTTCACGTAAGTAGTCAATGATCTATTATCGCTTTCAAGATAGATGCAGAACTATCATTTGATCTAAAAATTCGATAAAACATCATGCCTATGATCTGTTGCAGCACCTACAGCCGGAGAAGTGTTCTTCCCCATTGCTGCTGCTGCAGATGTTTCCCATCAGAACATCACAGCCGGGCTCGTCGAGAGCTGCCAAAGTGCCAATTCTTTTATACACAGCTTGGTCAGAGGAAAGCTGATCATCTGCACATACACATTCGACTTCGAATCCGAAGCTGCGAGCATCTCTAAAGTGGCAGCCGTCATCCAAAGAATCGGGGCAGCCGGTTTCATCCTGACCATGGATCCCGACATCGGTTCCGAGCAGATAAAGGGCGCCACGGTGACCCTAAGAGTCCCCGGAATCATTCTAAACAATCTGGAATCTTCTTCGGTACGCATTCGACCCAACCGAACCGAACGCAGTAATCCCAATGGTTCAACCTGAAATTTTTTCGCACTTTCTTTTGTCACAGGCACTGTGGGAATACTACAATTCAAATACGGTGAGGAGTCGAAGCGGTAGAGCCGTCGGATTCAGAGCCAAAGCACGGATATTGGATGGCCGGAGAGCTACTTACACTGGCCAAGCCCCGATTGTCGCATTGTACTCGTCGCGAGGCCCCGACGTGAACAATGCTCTTCTAGAAGCTGCTGATGTCCTGAAACCTAATGTCATGGCTCCAGGTTCATCAATATGGGCTGCTTGGAGTCCCAACAGTGAAGGAGATGAATATATCAAAGGTACATTTAGTTGCGAAACGTCGACATCAATTAATTTCTAGAGCTTCGAAACATCGATTTAGGATTTTAACATTAATACGACCAGCTCGGTGTTTACAGGGCAGAGCTTCGCATTGCTCTCGGGGACGAGCATGGCTACGCCGCACGTCGCGGGGGTTGCTGCTCTGATAAAGCAAAAATACCCCGACTGGACGCCGGCGGCGATCACTTCAGCGATCATGACTACTGCCGACGTGATTGACCATTCCGACTCTCCCATTCTAGCTCAGAGGAAGAACAAGCTGTCTCCGGCGACGCCCTTCGATTTCGGGGCGGGCTCGATCAATCCTTCCAAGGCCCTCGATCCGGGGCTCGTGTTCAATGCGCACTTCCACAACTATATAGAGTTTCTGTGCGCCGTCCCGGGCGTTGACGACATGTCGATAAGGCGGGCAGTGGGAGTCGGATGCCGCGAAAACAGGAAGGAGTGGTGCTCGGATCTGAACACGGCGAGCATCACCATTTCAAACCTGGTTGGATCGAGGAAGGTGGTAAGAAGGGTGACGAATGTAGGACTTTTCGACGAGAAGTACCGAGTTGTCCTGAGAGAACCTGTCGGAGTTAGCATTAGTGTGATGCCGGCTGCGTTTAAGATCAGCGCGAGCGCGTCGAGGCACGTCACACTTGTTCTGAAAGCTACTCAGAGAACAAATGCTTACACTTTTGGGGAGATGGTTTTTGAAGGTAATAAGGGCCATGTTGTTAGAGTTCCTATTGCTGTCTTTGTTAGCAGCTCCTTAGGTTTCTAGACATCGATGATTCGGTTAAGTCGTCGTTCATCAATAGAAAGTTTTTCTCGAAACATATATATATGTTTTCGACTACGCAACAGAAACAGAAGCTACTGTCGCGAGAATTGAGTTCTAGGAAAATTCTTCATCGATCAAGATCAAATCTACACGATCACCTTGTCCTAATGACGTTTTTGTAGCGTCTGCATCACTTTGGAGACAAAGCTTCCGTCTTTTCGCACCTACAGAGTACAAAAAATTTCGCCGTTAGTTTATGCCTTTGAAATCAACGATGAGCGTAGCTTTCGATCACTTTACCCGAAAGCTTTTCACGAGATTTTTCATCTTCGACGCTGTGGGAACAGTATTCTTCGATTTCTTCTTTCCTTTGCCTTTGGTGCTCTTGATAAGCGTCGTTGGCTTGAGAAAGTTTGGTACGATGAACTCCCAGTTACGGAAACATGACGCAGAGCTCGAACGCTTCATCTTGTCATCGACCGGAACGATCTACCGAAAGTAAGATAAGAAACTAATGATCTTTATACTACAACTACATAATGCAATAAAATTGAATTCCTGGAATGTCAGGAATGTCGAATACTCGGTCTTGCAAACCTGCATCGGAGAATGGTGTTTGGCATTAGAGGCTGAATGCGAAGTAGCTGAGGAATCGGGTCGAGCAGATGATCGGAGATATCTTGCATAGTTGAGAAGCTCAGCTTTCCGGTTGTACCCTCTTTTTCCGGCTTCATTCTCCGAAATATTTTTTCGATGGAAGGTATGGTAATCGTAGTACTGATGGTGGTGGTGGTGGTGGTGGTAGTGGTGGTGGTGGATGTTGTTTCGTTGATCCTTGGTTGAGATGAGGCTGTTTCTCGGCCTCTCGGAATATATCGCCACCGACACAGCCTTTCCCCGGCAGCAACGACTTGTCTGCAAGAATATGTAACCATTTCGATCAGATCGAAAGATGATCGATTCGAGGAGGATCGGTAAGTAGCCTTACCATGATGGTCGCGAGCGAAGGCTGTTGCGATCCGATTCTACGGAAATTCGATGAAGACAAGAATCAACAGTTGGATAGATCGAAGGGATGGTTGTTGTCTTCGTTTCTTGCAAAAAAGAAAGCTTCTTCAACGTTGTAATAAATATGAGTTTCAATGCAAAGGAAGGAAAAGAGGCTTCCCAATCAAGAAGATTGTCGTATGTAATGTTGCTTTGGACATTCTGATTCTGCCCAAATTTGACCAACAATTTTATCCTTTCTCAAACCGAATGTTTCCTCGTTTATTAGATCCTCCGGAGGTTCATTGTCCATTTCAGAGGCCTGCATAATTATTTCCCAATTCTGCAAAATAAACAAACAATCAATGTTCCATTCAATAGAGATATTTTAACTTTTAGAGATGATGAATGATTGTGTGTTAGGACGGCAGTTATAACCTAAGTTGGGCTGCAGTCTCTGGTAAATTTTTTAATTCAGCCCAATAACGAGTATCATATTCTGATAAAAGAACATATAACAGTTCCGAATTTAAAATTCAGTATTGTATGGACCAGCACTCAATATACTAACAAACAACACATGGTAAATATAATACAAACACAGCATTTTAGCCCATGCAATAGCTGATTTTAATGCATGACATACTCTTATACAGCGCACACACACGTTGTAATTATGAACAAGCAGGTGACGTGTCTTGTTTGTGTGCTGTTTTAAAAAATAGCACGGAACAAATACAGCATATGAACACTACATAGTAGTCCGGCAAGATATCCGTGATAAACTAACGATACATGATAAAAAATCCACACATAACCAATCAATTCAGACAATGTATTACCAGCCTATACTTAATTTTGATTAACCTTAATCAACACCCTAACCATCACCGGTATTAACATATTAGCAAGAAGAAAACACTTTCTTGATGATTTCAAAGAAAGTCATGACAAGAAATCATTGCTACAACGATAAACATAGCTACGATCATCTTATAAAAACCGCATACTTCATTTAGGAAAAAAAAAAAAAAAAACAGAACAGATCAGAACATAGTACTTCTTCAATCTTTTGATCCCGAACCACTACTGCTCGGGGATTCGTCCTGCCAGGTCGCTTGCCACTGCTTATCGTAGAATGTTGTCTCGTCAAGTAATTTCTTGAGGGTCTCTATATCCTCGTTCTTTCGTATCAGAAGGGTACCCGCTACGACGACAAACAGCAATGTTTTGCATATGAAGTTGTTCATCTGATCGACGAGGCCTACGCCCGTCAAACTGTCGACAAAATACGCCATAAAGAATCCTACCATCGCAGCACGGCCTGCAAAATGCAGACATGTCTGTAAAGTTTGGGCATTCGGTGATATAACTTTGGAAAACCGATGAGGAAAGAAGTGTGCAAACCATTGAGGAGTTCGGCTTCAGGAAGGTGAAATCTCTTCATCCACGCCCACCATGGAATAATGGAAGTATCGAAAACGATAGGGCTTTCGTTGCTCGACGATTGCGGGTTTTCTTCCATCCATTTCCTCCGTTTTACTTCTGCAAGAATCGTCAGTAGACAAACTTATATATTGAGCGATCAAGAGAATCAGAAAACGGACAAATTATCAACTAACGTATGACATTGTGTGCCATGACTAAAATCTATCGATAACTCAGAATCAATATGAAGTAGTTGAATATTGCATTTCCAATGCTAAGAATGAAGAGCTATATGATTGACATATGAGAATGCATTCTCTAGATTGTAATCTGTAGAATTACTGCATCCATCGGTAAATTCATATAAATACACAATAGGGTCTAAAAACGACTATCTACCAACATTTTAAGAGTATAAATGTTGTCTCCAACTAAAAAGGTTTGTTTTCATACACACAAACGTAGAAAGCCCAGAAAAAGAGCCGAAAACGTAGCTATAGCATTGGCTGCAAAGACCATAAAAACACTTGATGTAATCATAAACTCCAAAATTCCATTTTGCTCTATTCTCTTCAGTAAAAGAAGAGAGTAAGAACAAAGTGAAGAAATCATTGTTCCTTCATCTCCTAATAGAAACTTAGGTAGTCCTTCTCCTTACAACTTCACTATCAGATAGGTTCAATTATCTCCAGCGGCATTGCAGTTTCATTTCTTTCAATAACATTAACTAAGCTTGTTTCCTTCTACAACTAACGGAATCGAAGTAGCTGTCTGATAAGAATCAATGATGTTAACTCCCCAATCCAATGTTTCAACAACCATCAACAATTACTACTTCCTCACAAAAAGCACACTCAAAATTGCAAAAAAAACAGATCAAACATACATCTCTAACAGATCTACGGATGATCATAGAAATAATTGTTGACGTAAGCAAAACAAAAAATTGAAAACAATGCTCAAATGCAGCAGAGAGTAGAATGAGGAGTAATTACCAGCATCAATGACGGCATCCCAGTCGGTCTTCCCATCCTTGTCGAACTGTTTCAGATCCCACGTTCCCCCAACCCACCTAGGGTCCTGAAAGCTGCCAGCCGTCGCCTCCGCCGCGAAGGGCGGCTGAGACGGCGAGGAAGGAGAGCCATTTGAGCCGGCGGAGTCCTCGGGAGTGACCGTATCGGAGGAGACCACGGAGGCATTATCGGCGGCCACCAGTAAGTGGAAGTGAAGTGTTTTGGCGGGCAATCTAGGGAGGGATTGAGGCCTGAAAGTGAAATTGGTTTGTGAGGGAGGCGCGCGGGGGAGGCACGGCGATTTTGGGGAGAAAACCGCCATGGACATGGACATGGACATGGACATCATCGGGGAGAATTAATTTGGGAATTGAGGAGGGTTTCAATGGATGAATTGAAAATTGAATATCGGCCACAGAAATCGGTTGAGGAGCTCTTGTCTTGTCTTCTTTCACCTCTTCCAATTTTGTGCATGTCAGTGTCTTCACTCTTGTCTTCTTATTACTTTAACTGGATTTTTAATATTATTATTATTATTATTATTATTATTATGATCTTATTTTATTTTACGCGACACACCTTCACGGAAATATTCATTTTTTTAATTAACATCACGTCAAATACACTTTTTTCTCGAGTAGAATATCAAATCGTTAATTATTTTAACTTTTTTTCAAACTTTCAAAATTTTAAAAAAGAAAACAAAAAACCTCATCTAAACTGTTAAAAAGTCAAAAATGGCTGCCCTCCACCTCCTCCCACATCGTTTGCAAGAATGAAATGGGAGAGAAATTTTTCTATAAATTCACCAATTCCCTTTGCTTCAAAATATTCCCCAACACAATCCCCTATTCTTTGTATTTCTTATCTTTCTCTTATAAGTTTGGTTGGAGTCTGAGGATGTAGTCGAACTTTGTTAAATGTTTTAATTTTGCCAGAAAAATTCTGTCAAAAAACTATAAAAAATTTATTAATTAGGTACGATATTTCAGAAAAATTCTGTCAAAAGACTATAAAAAATCTATTAATTTGGTACAATATTTCGCAATGGTGTGGGACTAACCCGTTTTTCTTGCAACATAAACACACCCCAAATTTTTTATTAGTACTCTTAGTTTATGAAAATTGTACAATTGTTAGTTAAATATAATGGGCTGCGTCAAAATAGGCCAATGTGTGTATAGGGCCCAGGAGGCAAACGGCACAGGCCCATATTGCTTACGTGATGTTATTGGATTTTTGTAATTTTAAAATATATATATAAATTAAAATTGATTGCAATATAATATTTTGTAAAAAAAGAAAATATGAATTTGATATAATATATTCTATGGTGCAAAGTAAAAGATTCCACATTTGAGATAAAATAGTCTGATCTTAATAAACAATCTTTCCAATAGTGATAGAACGTGCTGTGATAATACATGCATTATAAGGCGATGGAATATAATTTATTTTTTCTATTACAAAACAACACATCAAATAGAAACCCTCAGGAAGATTTGTAAATGGTGCTTTTCAATCATTATTATTATTATTATTATTATTATTATTATTTTTGTGTAGTTAAGAAAGATTTGCAGTAAAAATAGTAAGACAGACAAAGGGCAGAACAGGTGAGGGGGTTAATTTATATACTTACCTGGAATTTCAGGAGTTCCTCTCTGTTTTCTACATGCTACGAAATTTCTCCAGGATAGTGATAGTAATGTGGGCAGCAGGTAGGGCACTGAAGATGAAGCAATGGACATAAATAAAAACCAGAACGAATTACTACCAAAAGGGATTGTCTGAAGCATGCATTCATTAATCATTATTCACAGGGTGGGTGGGTGAGGTGAAATGGAAGGAAATCACAAGACTCAATTCATAACTACAACTACTTACCAGTAGCAAGCCAAGCAGTAGACTAGGTGATTAATCTGTAATCAATCATGGATCCATCGATCTAGTTTCGGGCAAGCGGCAACAATGGCTGGATCCCTTCCAACATTCTGACCACACAATGCATAGCTGGTCGGTCATGAGGGTCGGATTGGATGCACAATAGAGCAACTTGAATGCATCTTCCAGCTTCTTCCACTGGAAATTCACCTCTAAGTGATTCATCTACCAGATCTAATTCTCTCATTTCTTTCCACTTCATCCAAGCCTGGAATGTGCCAAAAAAAGTCAATAATTTCATCATTTCTTGGGCGGGTAATGAAAGGGGAACATATTCATTTGTCAAGGCAGAATATCAAGATGTTTAATTTGTACTTTACCTTGTCTTCCAGAGATTCATAGGTACCATCATTATATGCTCCTAATCCAACTACAATTTTCAGGACTACAATGCCGAAGCTGTACACATCTGTTTTAACGGATAGCTTCCCTCTCAAAGCGTATTCGGGGCACATATAGCCACTGAACATGCACACAAATACCAAACTATAATTAATCAATACAGATTGAAGCATGATGGGGATCAGAAACATTGATACTTACTAGGTCCCAACTAATCTACTCTCCAATTCAGATTGATGTTCACTAATAACCTTCACTAAGGCAAAACCAGAAATCTTAGGATTCATCTCAGCATCCAGCAAAATGTTGCTGGCTTTGATATCTCTGTGAATGACATTTAGTCCAGAATCTTGATGAAGATACACTATTCCTTGTGCAATTCCCATTATGATTTTCATGCGCCCTGCCCATGAAACGTAATGAAGCCGCCCACAACCTTAGAGTAAAAGAGTCAGCTCATAATCTGTTGTTCAGGGTAATAATGCTATGATTTAGAAAAGGACGACAAAACACTAACCTATAAGAGTATCCATATTTCCATTAACCATGAATTCATATACAGGGAACCCTTCTTCTTTATGCAAGCAATAGCCAAGTAGTTTAACAATGTTTTTATGTTGAAAAGTAGAAAGCGAATGGATCTCAGTAACAAATAGGTCCAACCCATGTTTGGATTGACATGACCACCTTCTAACCAAAACCATTTGTCCTGTAGGTAAAACACCCTATAAAAATTACGTATATATAATTAGGGTACAGATAGAGAAGAAACATCCTCACTTTATCTTATTGGTGTAGTGTAGCATATAGAAGAGTTCACCTTATAAACAGAACCAAAAGCATCACGTCGAAGTTTATTTGATGATGAGAAATTATTGGTAGCAGCTGCAATTGTATTCCAATCAAACTTTGTTGTCTGAACTGTAACCATTAAGCACTTTGTATGATTAACATATAGAGATAAAGTCTTAAAGATTAATAAAGAAAAAGGAAACAAACCTCCTTCCAGCAACAATTCATATCTTTTGGATTGTTTCATTAAGCTCCAAATACCTTCCCAAGGCCAAATCCACAATGGTTTATGTGTTGAGGCTTTCTTTTTACCTCTCTTACTAGAAGACTTCTGTGAATTAGCCACCACTTCAATATTTGTTTTATCTCTTGGTGAAGATGCACCACTCTGCAAACCTACAGGGCCCAGTGTCGGCTGCACGGTATATACTGGCATACCACCCCTGTTATCATCAAGAACATGCTCTGATTCAATTATCCCCGAAACTTTTCTTTTATCCTGAAGCTCAAGGACTAACTCAAGTTTCAGCACAATTTCATTCATTGTCAGCCGTTGCTTGGGTTCATCGTGCAAGCATCTTTCGGCAACTGCTATGAAAGCCCTTAGGCTTTCTTCTGAGACTTCTTCCCTCAGGCTAGAAGATACAATCTGATCAATGTTCCCCTTACTGATTTTCTCTCGAGCCCACCTAATCAATATCTGCTCATCTTCCAAAAGACTATCGTCCACTGCAGGTCTCCCACATAATGTTTCGAAAAGAACCACCCCAAAGGCATAAGTGTCACTTTTCCTAGTTAGCTTACATGTGTTGATGTAATATGGGTCAAAGTAACCTCTTGTCCCCTTTACTCTAGTGCTCACATGGCTTCCTAGCTTGCTTCTATCTTCACGCTTGGCCAAGCCAAAATCCGAAACCTTTGCTACAAAGTCTTCATCTAGGAGAATGTTTGAAGCTTTTACATCTCTATGTATAACTCCATTTCCTGTATGAAGATAGTCCAGTCCACGAGCAGCTCCAATGCAAATATTAAGCCGTTGCTTCCAGGTGAGAGAGGAACTATTATCACTTTCCCGTGGGAACTTAAATAGGTGGTCTGCTAGTGTTCCCCCTACCATATATTCGTAAACAAGAATCATTTCTTTGTGCCCATTACAATAACCAATTAGAGAGACAAGATTATAATGTCGAAGATCACAAAGTGTTTCGATCTCAGTCAAAAACTCATGTGCACCTTGGCTTGAGTCTGATTTTAACCTCTTTATAGCAACAGTAGTTTCACCATTATCAATGATGCCTTTGTAGACTTTACCAAATCCACCCCTTCCAATCAAGAGTTCAGCACTGAAATTTCTTGTGGCTAATTGGATCTCAGATAGTGAAAAGCGGCGACAGAGCCGTTGAGCCCTGGAAGACACATTATTTTCTTCCTCACAAATGCTAGCTCCCCAAACTTCCTGCAACTTGTGACCAACAACATTTACCACACAAAGTATGATTATCAGAACATTTACAATCACATATCTACGACCAAGGACCAAGAGTAAAGTTTGGATTGTTTGGAGTGGTTCACTTAGATCTCGAGGCAAGGGATTTGGACTGGCAAGACTATTATGAAGGTTACTCAACTTAAACACCTCAAATCCAGCAAGAAGTCCATTCCCATCTATAAGTTTATCACACAAACGCAGACAAATCACTAGATCACGTCTAATCTCATTTTTGTGCCCTCTCATCTCCGCCGCATAATCCACATACCAACGAACATCATGTCCACTCCCTCGGTTTGCAGTATCAACATTAGTATGAGCAATGACTTCATTAATGAGGACCTCAAACATCAAGGGATCAGACCCAATAAGTTTGTATCCCATCTGAGAGAAATGGAGCCTAATCAAGTATTGAAATCCTACATCCACAGGTACTCTCCAGATATTATTTCTCACCTCTCTGGCCTTTTCAGTTATCCACCTTGGATACATATGATCAAAATCTCCAACGGATACACTAATCTGTCTGACGAGTAATCTGTGGATTAATTCAAGTGCAGTGTTGTAATCAACATAGACTTTGTTCTTCTGACCAACCACTGGAACTCCAGAATCTTCATAACTGAGATAAGAAAGACTTGGGAGCACAGAAAAAATCTCAATTCCATTTATGAAGGCATATGAATTTTGCAATTCAGAATCCCTTGCAGGAGTGAAGACTATATTCAATTGTTGATGATCATGCAAGTATAAACTGAATTCCTTCACAACAGAATTTACACCAAGAGCTTGAGCAGTGAGCGAAGCGCTGTAGTTACCAAGCAGAGTGAATTTACCGACTTCAACAGTGAACAGGTCCTTAAACCCTATGAAACCCTTGTACGGAGCCGGATTAAAATGAAGGCGAAGTGTTTTCTGACCTGAACTCACTCGAATTGCGTAGGAGAATAGAGAACGAGAGATCCTCGCTGTTCGGTAGGGAACAGAATCATCACCGGAAATCAGCTTCTTACGAACAACGGTTGAAGTGGTTGATGAACCTTCAATTCTCAAAAGCGACGGCGATTTCATCCGTGCGTCTCCCAACCATTCCTTGCCATTTCCCGCTGTAGTATTTCCGGCTGAGCCGCAGTTGATTGAAATCCCCTCGGGTGGACTGCTGCTGCTGCTGCCGGCAGCGATTGAGGTGAAGCAGAGAAATAGCAGAGCGAATGGAATTCGACGAGCGTCCATCTTTTGGAACTGCATTTCAGATGGAAAGATGGAAATACTTCGAGGAAGAAGACTTCCATTGTCAAGTCTTCCGATGGTGACTTCCCGCGCTTCTTCTCAGACCTCTAGAGAGAGAGAGTCCAGAGAGGCATGTATTTTTTTTTTTCATTTTCTTATTTTAATATTTATAAAATGTATAGTATATACATATGGACTTTGTTCGTTTGTATCGAATTGGTATCTAATATTTTTTAATAAAATATACTTATCTCTTTCTAAGGTTTACAATATTTGAATATTAAGGAAAAATATTAAAATATTTTTATTAGTGTTATGTAATATTAATATTAAGAAGAATACTAAGGTTGTGTTTTACTTGGAGGTTTTACATCTGATTTTACTATTCTATTTTATTTTTTTTTCTCCAAAAATGTCAAATCAAACACTTAATTTTTATTTATTTTATTATACTAAAATTTAATTTTACATACTTCACGTCAACACATATTTATATCATATCAAACAATTATTTCAATTCAAAAATTTTACTATTCAAATTTAACTCAAAATTCAATCAAAAACAAACTGACCCTAATTATCTTGGAATAAATAATTTTTTGTCCCATAATAATCAATTTTTTTGGAAATAAATCCCAAATCACAATGATTAATTTTAATCTTGTTGAAACATTTAAATTAATATAGATTTTATTTAAATTAAAATTAATCAAATTTGATTAAATAGTAACCAAGCAGACTAAATATATACTATCATGTTGGCTTGAACACAATTTTATTAAATAACTATAAACTGACTAATCTTTATTCATATTCCTCAATTGTATTTAGACATGTTCAAACATCATCATGTTCAATGTTTTGTTTACCAATAAATCCAAAACTCAACTTTGATCTGATTTTATAGTTAAAATTATTTATAATTTATTTTAAATTATAATATATTACAAAATAAAATTATATTAAAAAAATAACAATATACTGATTATAAACAAATATAATCAAAATTTTAAATTTGTTTGCATCCGATTTTTTTTTAGATATGTTTGATATTTTCAAAATTTTGAATTTGTTTCATGTCGGATTTTAAATTTTTGAGTCTGTTTGGTGTTAAATTCGTTCGGATTATGAGGTAACCTAAAATTAACTTTTAAAAAATCAGGTTATGTTCGAATTTCAATCCGAAATTCGAACATAACCTGATTTTTAAATTCGTTCGGATTATGTAGTTTTAATTTTATTGATTATCAATATAATTATTTTAATTATAAAAATTAAAAAAAAATTACATTCCAAAATTATTACATTTTCACTACCCTTAATCAGAATTATGTAATTAATATTCCCTCCGTCCACACACAAAGTAAACATTTATTTTTGACGCGGTGTTTAAGAAATAATAGTATTTTAATTAGAGTAGGTAGTTAAAAATAGTAAAATGACATTTTTGTCATTGCTTTTTTGTGTAAAAGTAATGATGTAATATAAAATAAGGGTATTTGTGTGAAAAAAATAAGGTATTTAATGAAATGTTTACTTTGTAATTGGACGTTCCAAAATATAAATATGTATATTTTCTATCTTGACGGAAGAAGTACAAAATATTACTAATTAATTAAAATGAATTGATGATGATCCATTAGTATAAATAATTATTACTATCATTAAGTATGAATTTAAATGTAAATTGAAAAAATATTAAATTAATTTTAGAATTATTAAAAAATCGAAAATATGAAAAAAAAATAATAATAATAATAAAAATAAAATTTGGAATTGCGGACCCACACCAACCTCAAGAACAGGCAAAGCACAGCCTCGCTTAACCTAACAATGACGAAAGGATCCACCACACGCGCCAAACTAATGCTATCATAATAATAATTTTAATTAATTAATTAATTAATTAATTATTAATGGAACTATATAGTCTAGATATGGGGTGGGGATTAGTGTAGGCCACGTCAGATGGGACCCACATGATCAATGGTCAGAAATGTGACTGTCACCGCCAATCGCAACGCCCCGGGTTACGCTAAAATCCATATCCTGTTCGCCCACCCACAAAATAGCTTTTTGTTTAGTGTAAAAAAAAATACACATTTTTTAAAAAATTTAATATTAATACTACATATTATTTACATAATTTTTTATATATTACATAAAAATATATTTTTTTTTCAAATTAAAACACAAAATAAACAAACTCATAAATATCTCAAATTTTGCAAATTAGTGATAAATTTTAAAAGTTGTTGATTTTCAATTTGTATTACTTTTAATAAAAATATATTGTTATTTTTTACTTACAAAGCATTTTATAAAAAATACAAACAATAATTTTAATAATACTTTTCATAAGTTTTAATAATTTAAAAAATAAATAAATAAGAACACACTGTGCATTCATTTAATATTTTTGAATTTTTTTTATATTTTTTCTATTCCGAATACTTCTTTAATTTTTGTAGTATATTTACCACTTTGAATTTTTATAATAAATTAAAAAATAATAATATTTTATTGGTTAGTAGAATTGTATAAGGTATTTGAACATTTATGTTCGTATAAAATAATTGTATATTTATATTTTAATTAAAAATTAAATTTATTTTGTTATTAATATATAGTTATTTTTATTAAAATAGAAAATCAATACTTAGAATATAACAAACAAAAAAAAAAAATACTTTTAATTAAGATGAAAAGAATAATATTTTATTAGAAATTAAAAACGTATAAAATGATTTTGACATAGTTACTTTTATAAGTATAAAAGATGAACATATATATTTATATTAATCTTGGTGTTTTGATATTTATATATTAATTCTATTTGCTATAATAGAAATAGATACTTTTGAATTTAACGGCAAAAAATAATAAGAAAAAGTACATTTAATTGGAACAAAAAAAGTATAATTTATTTAAAAGAATAGTACTCTCTCCGGACATAAATATGCTCATATAGCTTATTAGTTCGGACACAATTTTAATGAATATAATATTATATTAGTTAATTGCGATATAAAATATAAATATTTTAAGACATTAAATGTGGAATGGAGAGAATAATTTTTATCCGAGAGAAGGTTATTTATTATGAATAAAAGGCGCGGGCTTTGTCATCATCCATTTGCCGTACCAACCTAAGCTCATATCCAACACGTGCCATACATGTGATCTTACACTTACGACCATGACCCTGTAAAAAGTCCTAATCATTTTGCACTCCATCGATAATATTCTATTACAACTATTATAATTATTATTAAATTTCAATATATTAATCCTAACCCTGTTAAGAATTTGTATTCGTTCATCTTTTTACTATGAATAAATACATCTCCCTCCGTCCCTACAGTCTTAATTAGGTTGGACACCGGCTTCAATGAATATTGACGTTATATTGGTAGTTAGTAAAAAATATAGATAACAAGTTTTTTCGCCTTTACGAGTGTATTAGTGTAAAAAACAGTGGCAAACGTGTAATAAAAATGAAAAAATAAGGATAATTTTATGGTGATATGATTATTTATGAAAATAAAAATTGTTTTTGGACAAAAAAAAAAAATGGTAAATAAGACTATTGTATTGGAACAAATGGAGTATTTCCATCCAGTAACTTTATGTTAGTCTTTTTGAATATATATTACCTCTTTCTACAGCTAATCTATCTGTTACTTTTTAGATCTTAATTTTTTAATATTAATTATTATATCAAAACGTAGTATAAATTAAAAAAAAATGACAAAAATATTTTTATTGGTGTTTGATAATACTAATGTAAGACATTTGTACAAAAACTTATACAAATATAAAAAATATTTTTAACATTGAAAACAATGACACCAAATACAAATGGATAAATTGACGGTGGACAGGGGTAGTATATTAGAATATTAAAATGTGATATATGAAAAGTAACTCAAAGCTATTATAGATAATTTATTAAAAATTGATATTCCCTCCGTTCCAAAACTATAGTTTGAGTTGTGTTTGACACGAGATTTAAGGAATATTGAAATAAAAAATTTTAGTTAGTTTATTTTGAAAATTTTATAAGATTTCTTGTCTTATTTTATTGAAATAAAAAATTTTAGTTTTATATTCTAACCTAAATAAGCGCAAATAAACAGGATTAGTTAGTCTATTCAAAATATGTTTCTACTACATTTAGTAAAAAAATGCAATTATTTTTTAAATCTATATATACTATTTTTTTCTATTTATATAGACATAATATCGTACTTTATTCATTATCATTCTAATAGTGCTATATATTTATATGCTTACGCTCACATTTATATCATAAATTCTTCATATATTATTAATAAAAAATAAATAAATTATTTACATATACGATTAATTTAAATAAGAAAATATAACAACATACTCGTGCAAATAAAATTACATTAAAATTGGCATAACAAGCCTAAATTTATATGGAAATAACTTCTCTAAAGTTTTTTGGGTTGGCTATATACTCCCTCCGTTATAGAAAATACGAGACTATTACTGTAGATACGAGAATTTAGGTAAAATATAATTAGTAAGTAATTAAAAAGTGTATTAGTAAAAATAATTATAAATTAAGATTAAGATAAGTAAATAGTTTGATTAAAATTAAGAAAATTATAAAATTTAAAATACGATTAAAGTTCATAATTATATTTCCAAAATTAGAAAGAACAAGTTATGTGGACAAACGAAAATAAAAAATAAGCCGAATCTAAACCTGTGCTTGAGAGATAGTTGTCCATACACTGATAAGGGATGTACGGATTCTCGAGAAGAGAGGAGCCGTGGTGGTCCGCACAAATTATATGGTACGGAAGAAGTATATTTTTTATTTAATAATTTGAGGATGTTATCGAGTAATGAGATTAAATAATAATTTTTAGAATTATTAAATATATAAACTTATCACGACGAGCCACGTATGGACGTAATGTGATAGATGGAATGCAAAAGGGATAAATAAATAAATAAAAGTAAAATTCCAGACACGCCCCTGCCTTCTTTCTACTACTAGTATGTATTTTTTGTTTTTTTAAATAATAATAATAGTAAATCATGTTATTTGTTTTGTATTTTATTTTTATAAAAATATAGTTTTACTTCCGTCCGACTTTCAGGGTCTTATTTTTTTTATTGATTTTTTGAATATTAATTATTATATCAAATGTAATACAGATTAAAATAAATGCCAAAAAAAATTTTATTAATAGAATAATATTTATAAAAAAAAAATAAAAAATTATACAAATATAAAAATATTTTTAATGTTAAATACAATAACAAAAAAAATAAAAAATAAATATAATACTTAGAGGCTGACAGAGGGAGAGGGAGTATTACTTTTTAATAAAATATTGAATTTGTTTGTCTATTTTTTTTTCTAATATATATATTTTATGGATAAAATAGAGTGTCGAATTTTTACATTCATCATCTACGGCTTAAAATTTAAATCTATATAATTACATTAATTATGTTATTTAATTATATAAATTAGGATAATTATTTTTTAGTTTTTCAGCACATATGTGGAAAATATAATTTCAGCGTTGTATCATTTCTCATATATTATGTTTTACAAAAGTCAATATTCAATATGAAATATTACTACTTTTATGTTATTAACACAAATTTTTATATTTTACTCACATAAAAAAAAAATAAAAAAAAAATATTCAAATCAAAACACTAAATTAACAAACTCATTACATTGGAACTATTTAAATTATAATTCTAATTTAAAATCAAAACCAAACAAATCCTATCGAGTTTTTTCATTTTATATTTTTCAATAATACGATTACCCATAAATAAATTAAAAATATATTATATACATATAATAATAGAATATATATATTTACTTTATTAACTTACAATATATCAATAATTTAATATAAAATATTATTTTCATCCAATAAAAATTAGCATTATTTGTCTTATTGCTTTAACATTAAAAATATATTTATATTTGTATAATCTACTCTGCAAATATTATTGTATTTATATTATAATTGACTAATAAAAACATTTTTGTCCTTTATTATTCATTTGTACTACGCATTAATATAATAATTAATACTATATTTAACACGCCAAAAAATTGTAGTACTCCCTCCTTCCCATAACAAAGTATTCATTTTTTCATTTTAGTTCGTCCCAATAATAAAGTATCCATTTCTTTTTTTAGTAATTGTACTATTTACTTAACATTACAAATACTCTTACAACTTACAATATATTACACAAATAACATTACCTTTATATCACACATACTAATAAGATATATTTTAGTCATTTCTACTTTATTCCTACTATATCTCAATATAATACTAATATTTCTAAAATTACGTGCAAAAAACAAATGGATACTTAGTTCCGGGACGGAAGGAGTATTATTCTTATGGGACAGAGGTAGCATTATTTTTTATACTACCGGCGCAATTTTAATTAAATCAAAATTATAGATTTATTCGGTCTAAGTTTAAAATTGAAATTTAATTTAAATATTATTTTATGTGATAAAATAATATATTTTTATTTAATAATTTGAATATCGAACCAAACACGTTTATCTTTTAACAATACATTAATTATATATATATAATCTAACATATTAAATTAAATAAGATTACATCTCGAAATTAACACGGCACTGAATTTTCAATTTTCATTCTAATGTATGTAAAACAAATACTATCATTCTTTGTTCTGTTATTCTCACTTTTGTTGTATTATAAAAATTAAATATAATATAATATAATTAATCACATAAAATATTTGAATACTACGTTGGATCCGACAGTTTACAATAAAATATACTTCCTCCGTCCCCTATACTGTAGATATGATATTTTAGAAGGGGTGTAATTAGTAGATAATTAAGAATATATTAGTGAAAGTAATTATCCTATAATATAAATAATTATAAATTAAAATTAAGATAACTAATTAGTTTAATTAAAATTTAAAAAAATAAAATTAAAGTGTGTGATCATTTTCCAAAAAAAGAAAAGTGACATGACACGTGGGACAGACAGAAACGACAACGTGGACATGGTATCTGGGGCGAGGGAGTAATATAATTAAACAAATACTATCATTTTAGTGTTTCCCATAAACTTTGCCAATTTAAAAAAATATAAAATTCAATAATCTCAAAAAGAACACACAAGATTTATTTAATTTAATGCTAATAATTTACAATAATCTTGCTTTTAATTAAAACAAAGAGATTGCAATTTAAAAGCCACTCAGATTGCTTCTGTATAATCTTTAATAAAGATAATATTTACATCATAAAGTTGACCAAAAAAATCCTATTTTTCTTAATTTAAAATTAAAATAAAGAAGCAGTCTTCTTTTAAAATAAGATAAAAATAAAATAATAAAATAGTACATTTATATTCAAAAAATCCATGGTCAACAGTTTTTTTTTTTTTCTTTTAAAAACAACAAATATACATATACAAAATAATTATTACATTTTTTAAATTTTTGGTCACTATTTACTATTACTATTATTATACAAATCAATTAAATAAAATTTGACATTTCAATATATGTATATAAATAAACAAAATACTATACAATAAATTATATTTGCTAAAATATTTCTGCAATATAATTTTAGGCATTATTCTGATAACATGTAAAAATCTATATATAATATATTAATTTATTATACAATAATAAAATAAAAAATAAAAATGAAAAAAGAAATGTACAATTCAACAAGAAAGAAGTCATATTGAGAATTGAGAAACCACCCTCCCCACCCTCACCCCTCTTTCCCATTTTCACCTTCCTTTCTCAACCATTTATTCAGATTCCTTCTGCGTGTTTTCCATTTGATTGTGCTCAATACAGACGCCTCAATCTCTTCTCAATCTTCATTTCTTATGCTGCTCTCGACTGCTGCTTCTAATTTTCAATTCTTTTTGGAACTATAAGAAGGGGGATTTTTTTGTTCTTTAATTTTTAATTTTTTTTTTTTTATTTGGGATTTTTTTGATATCGAGTTCTTAATTGTTATCTGTGCTGGTTTGAACTGGGTTTATTGCTCAAAATCATCCATAGACCACAAGGAAATTTGCTCTTTAATCTCCGGCTGAAAGAACAATCAAAGGCTAATTTCGTTTTGCCAAATTTTTGTGTTTACTGGGGGACTGGTGTGTGTGTATTTTTTTTAAAATTTTTTTTTTTGTTCTTGGCTTCTCTTTAGCCCTGTGAATATCTTCATCCTGCGTTTGGAAATTGTTAAGGATTTTAATTTTGGAAAAAAAAAGGAAATTAAAGAAAGAAAAAGAAAATACAGACATGGGAAAGCAGGGACCTTGCCATCACTGTGGTGTTACAAGTGAGTTTATTGTGTTTTCATTATTGCTGTTCTTGCAACCGTTCCTCCCCAAATGGATTGTTGAATTTTTTGTGAAGAGAGATCAATTGATTCTATCAAAATTTGATTGAGGAATTTTGCGTGATTGGAGAATGATTGGGGGTGGGTGGGGTTGGGGAGTCAATAGGAATGTTCATTCGATTGATTTTGTTTGGAGGTTGAAGGCAATGAATGAGAGGGCAAAGAGCAATTCCAATCCATAGTTGATGGTTTCTTTGTGTTTCTTGAATTCTTACAGCTCCTTTTGTGTCTGTTTTTCTCTCCATTTCGAGCTTCTTTGAGTTCTCAAACTATCCTCTTCTTGCAGTAATGTGCAGCTGCTACCTCGATCTCTTCAAACCATTGTAGACATAGAAGGATTAGCTCTTTGTTTTAAGTTCATTCGAATCAAAGAATGGTTAACTATCATTGCTTGTTTATCCACATCTCTTGATCAATGCCCAGTTTCTTGACAAACATTTTTCCATCATGATCAAGGGTGTAGATTTCTCGATGATGTTCTATCATCACCATTGCAGTTGTTCTCTCAAACATTCAATCAATTCTAGACTTAGTTTAGAGCTTATTTAGTTGATCACTTATTCCATCAATGGCGATGATTGCATATTGTTGCCCTTGCAATTGTCGATGTTGAGACATGGACTGTCTTCTAGCTCATCTTTATGTAATCATGCTTTTTGCTAGTTGAATCGAACAATTTTCCAGCCTTGAGATTGTTCAACCACCGGCAATGCATTTGTGCTACTCTTGATTAACTTCAATCCTTTTGAAGATACTCTCGAATAACCAGATAAGAACTACATTTATGCTTTCATTGTGTAAGATTATCCATATGGAAGGCTATAATGAACCTTCTTCACGAACCAATTGGATATAAGAGAGCGAACATGGAATTCATAGTAGAAAGGAGTTGTGCAATACTTGTCAAGGCTAACTTAGTGATTGTTTGATCGGTCTATATTGGTTTTAATGTTTCCATCTGTATTATTATTTTGCAGTGATCTTTATTCATATTTCTGTATGTAACAGGCACTCCCCTTTGGCGCAATGGCCCTCCCGAGAAGCCAGTACTCTGCAATGCTTGCGGCTCGAGGTGGAGAACAAAGGGGACTCTTGCAAATTATACGCCTCTGCATGCTCGGGCCGAACCTCAGGAATTTGAGGACTATAGGGTCTCCAAATTGAAAGTCGTACCAATGAAGAACAAGGAAGCAAAAGTTCTGAAGCGGAGGTATGATAATGATGCACATGCTACTGAATTTGGGGGAGTTCTCCCCGACTTTAATCAGGGGTTCCGCAAAGGGCTTGAGGAAGACACGAGTAACAGGTCAAGCTCTGGCTCGGCTGTATCACACTCAGAGAGCTGTGCCCAATATGGTGGTGGCGGTGGTGGTGGTGGTGATGCAAGTGAATTGACAGGTGTATAGTCTCTCTCTCTCTCTACCTATCTTGATGCAGAAACTCGACTTGAATGCTTGTCATTGCTCGATTTCTTTCATCATTCGCCAATTTAGTGTTGTTTCTTGTTCTTGCACAAGTTGTGGAGTTCTCTTAGGAGAGTTTTAGTTTTGTAATTCTATATCTACAGAAGATTTATTGTCGACATCAGTTAGCTTATGAGTTATTACTTCATCTCTGCAGGTCCATCGCAGCCTGTCGTGTGGGACACAGTGGTGCCATCCAGGAAGAGAACATGCGTCACTCGTCCAAAGCCGTCGCCAGTCGAGAAACTCACCAAGGATCTCTATACTATATGGCACGAACAACAGTCATCATGTGTGTCCGCCTCTTCCGAAGAGGAATTGCTTCTTGAAAGTGACAAACCGATGGTTTCTGTTGAGATTGGACATGGAAGTGTTCTTATTCGGCATCCTAGCTCGATTGCCCGGGAAGAAGAATCGGAAGCTAGCTCTCTTTCAATTGATAACAAGCACCGAACTTTGAATCCTAAGCAATTGGCTTTCGCCGGCCTTGTGAAGGATGCTGGTGCTAATTTCTCAAGTAAAGGAGTCGATAAAATAAAAAAACCAGTTAATCTTGGACCCGAGCAGCCCAAAAGGTACTTTCATGTTAACTCTTTTCTGAAAGTTTTCGAATCGATGCTAACAAATATGGATGTTCTTTAGTGAGTGTGCAATAACCATTTTACCTAATATTCGTCTCTGAGACTTTTGAATGACATTATTTTATGGAAATTTGGATTAGGAATGAGAGTGAACCCATAGAGTTGGCGCGCTTTAGATTCATCTTTATTTATTTAATCTTCGGATAATAAAATTTCTCTTTTCGGTATGTTGCTTGGCTTAAATTTTCTCATTCAGTGCCAGAGACAAGGATCAAGCCGACAATGTGCACGTGATGACATATCATAAATCACCACTATGTTACATAGACCTACAAGTAAGTTGTGAATGTGTATTGTCTTCTAATTGTTATCTTTGATGATTTGTTAGACTAACTAATTATCACTCGATGAAAAATGTTATGCGAGAAGTTTGAGAAATAAAATGGTTCGGAAAAATCTTTACCTAACGCATGTTTAAGGTAGCCTATGTCCTAAACAAGGATTGTGACCTTCTATTTGTAATGCTATTTCAATCACCAAAAGGGGAATGATTTTCTATATCTGTTGTGTAGTTTTGGAGTCAATCTGTTGAGATTTTGCTGATTTTCATCACTACTTTATTGTGGGAAATGCATATGGAATTTCATGCTTTCTTGTGATTCGCATCTGTATTGCAGGATATTGTAAATATCGACAAATTTACAACCCATTTAACTCAGGAGGAACAACAACAACTGCTAAAGTTTTTACCTTCTGTTGACACTTCTGTATCTACGGAAAGGTGTGTCAATTCTTGTGTGGTATTTCCATATTCGAGCACTAGCAAAATATCCACTACATTGATCTCTATAATATACAGTATGTTGATTGCGATTGATAAAATCAAGCATCTTTTCATGCTTTTCGCTGCCTTACATTCGTAAGTTTGATGCTCACATGTGACACACCAAGTAAGATGCAGAATTTGTCGAACCTTGATTTAATGTACACTAATAAACGACACGGTCAATTTTAGGATGCCTGACCGAGCAATGGGCTGCTAACATAGTCTTAATTTGTTATCAGGGATTCATCTTTGGTCTCCCGTCTCGGCAGCATGTTCGATAGCCCGCACTTAAAGGAGAATTTGGCGTCTTTCCAGAAACTTCTTGCGGATGGACTTTTTGATAATTCGTTGTCCGGGCTCAAGGCCGAAGATCGTAGAGCGCTGAAGAAAGCTGTATTGTGTAATTCTATAAAATCAAAGTGGGTCGAGCATTATAAAGACCTCAAGGTTCGACTAAATTCTCCTGCTGTTGTATCTTGAAACACCGCGACTATCGCTTTCCTTTGATGTTAGCTGACTCGTGTTTTCGTATAGGATTCGGCGGGTAAACGAACCGCCAAAAAATCGGAGCTTGCGGCTAAATCTAAGCCCCTCGTGACTGAGTCCTCAGCGAGTGTGAAACGATCGCACGACGGACTGCACCAAAGGATTTCAGGTAATGTTTGTATCCCTCCATCCTAATTCAAAGTACCATTTTTACCATTTTGGTCCGTCCCACTTTATGGTATCTCTTTTCTATTTTGAAAAAAGTAATCATACACTAATACCAAAATACTCTTTAACTTTTTTACGAAAATTATAAACATACCATTACACATACATACTTTTTATGTAGGCAAAAATGTCAAATTCTCTTACCAAATTTCAATGACTCGTAAAATATTATTATTTCTTAATCTACTGCAAAACCCCGAAGAGCCCCTTTGATTAGAGACGGAAGGAGTACTTGTTAGGTTGATTTATTACTTAGGTTAGAATTTGGATAATCATCATACGCTCCGCCGTTATCTGAACCGAACACCGAACTTGTCGATTCCTTATTGGTCATAGTACGATGAATCTTAATGGTTGGTTGGTTGAGGAATTTTACGGGAAGTTGCTGTCTTCATTGTCGTTGTCTGAATAATCGCGACGATTGTGGTTTCCTTACAGGAGCAAAGGTCGGGAATGTAATGAAGAGCCCGAGAAGGATATCGATGTTGTCGGGGTATGATCAGAAGGAAAACTCTTTCTTCGGCGGCAAGGGACTCTTTTCATCACATTACGACGATGGCTCGTCGCAAGTGCTCGATTCTTCCCATTTTGTCGATGACAACTCCGAGCAAGATTTGCTGCTCAACGTCCCGTCTTATGGCTCGTTCCCGCAGGCTGAATTGCTCCCGAATTCGAGCCTCGCTGCTCAAGCGAGCGCCAGCAGCAGTTCAGTGTACCCAAATTTTGGTCATCCCTGAAGCCCCGTCTCTCGACAAAAGGTACTTTTTGTATTCGAAAGAACCTATGGTAAAGAACATGTGTTCTTGGTATTGTTTTGCTATGTTTTTACCACAAAGGAGTGTCGAGACGAGGCTGCGGTTGCCTGTTTGCCCTGCCTTGCCTTATCTCTGTTTACATACATTGAAGTACCCGGGAAAATGGATCGAGCTGGATCGACCCTTTTCCCGATCTTTGTTTTTTTTTTTTTCTAAAGAAGAAAATATTGTTTTTCATCTTTGTATAATCGATGAAGGGATATTTATATAGCGGAACAGGTGACGAGGAGGAATGAAAATTGTCCCGGGTTTCTGCGAAATCGATTAGATTTGAAATTTGCATAGTTGGGAGTAGCTGCACTATATCTGTCTTGAGTTGTTTTGTTTGATATCGAGTCGTATCTTATCATATCATTTTGTGTAGTTTGATTAGTGAATGAATCGAAAAGGAAATCAAGATTTTGAATGAATGCACATCGAGATAAAGATATGGTGTCGAGTCGAGTCGAGTAAAAGTGAAGAAAGCACACCACTGTGACGATTTTATTTTAATTTAATTTGATTTTTGACCACACATACTTATACATATATATATATATGCCCCCATCCTCCAACCAGGGGATGCTTTGGCCGATTTTAAAGTTATTGGTACGGAAGAGGAGCTAATAGCGAAGACATTAAACATCGCGCCTTAAAGAGCGAAAGTGACACTAAGTAGAATTCAATGCACTTGGGGAAAAACTAGGCATATTTTTTAATCTTTTAAAATCTGAATTTGATTTTATACTATTTATAATTAAAAAGAATAATAAATTAGATTATTTTATCGAATAATATATTTTAAATGAGTTTCATTGAGTTTTTTCATATGCATTTTTATTTTAAATTTTTTTATAAAAATAATTATGTGATATAATATTTACAATAAAAAAAACTAAACTTAACTTCTAAATAAAAACCAATAGACTAAATAATATAAAAATTATATATACAATCAAATCCATTAATATTGCAAAAAAAATTAAAACTTGGATATTTTCGTAAACAAAAATAAAATGAATTAATAATTTTATATAAAATTACAATATTAATTCTTACAAAATATTGAAAATCACAAATTAAACATTTTGAAAATAAATAAATTGAACAAAATAGCTAAGATACAAAACAAAACTTACATACATTAAAACTGATTTCATAACGTGTGTGTCGTCATAAACTAACAAATATTACAAACATATAACTGCTGCTGCTACAACACACTCTAAATCTAATCATATCATTTCCAATGTAAAAGTATGTATTTCATGATCATAATGGTTTTGATTTTTCAAAGTCAAGTTCATGCCATTTTACCTATATTTTCATCTCAATTAGTAGTTAAAGAGCTCTCAGGATTGTGTACCTTCTTCTGCATCCGTTGCTTTATCAGAGCCTCTTGGCATGGAGCCAAAAATTCATGCCTCAGAGCTTCTTCGGCGCTGATCCGTTGCCTCGGATTCACGGTTAAACACTTGTCCACAAGATCATACAGTGATCTTGGTATGGCTTCCACGAAATCAGGTTTTCGTGTATTTCGCATGCACCAATCTTGAAGCTTTGCAGGAGATAAGTACTTGATGTCGAGCAAGTCCTGTTCGAAATGATAATATCAGGAAATGTCCAAGCAAGGCAAGATCATTTATCCTAGAACAATTTTGTAACAACATTTGTACCGATGGGAATAATGATTCGTGGCCATGTATCTTTGCCACTTCCCAGAGTTCTTCACTGCCCCTTAATTTGGCAATGGCTTTGATGTTCCTGTGAGTGTAAACTATAAAATTATGCACTTCTCGGCGAAAGAATGAGAGAGTTGAAGCTTTTATCAGATTCAGTTCTTACTGATCAGTGTCGCCGAAAAAGGGAGTCCGTCCAGTCATCAGGTAGAGTAGTGTTACGCCGGCAGACCAGATGTCTACTTTAAGGCCTTGATGCAGAGATCTGAACAATACCTAGTAACAGATGGCCAAATATCTTGCTGAAATAACCAACTACCATTTTTTTTTTTCGTCGGAATGCAATAATTTCCATGTGTTTGACAAGGAAAGTTTCCAGCAAAATATAAAGTCATGTCACAAATTCAGATTCTAAATGGATTTAGACAAATCACATTCTAATAATTTTATCAACAGCATGAAAAAATTCAGACAGGAATTTCATCTATGCTATGAGATATCATGAAGTAAATGAGTTCAAATATCAACCAAAAGTTTGAAAGGAAAAGACGAAGAATTCAATCGTCTTACCTCAGGAGCCTTAAAGCCTTTAGTTCCTGCACAAGGACCATCTTGATTGCCTTTCCCATCAGCTACAAAAACGAAATAATAACAATAAATAAATAAATGATAGAAAAAGTTATTGTCTGGTCACAGTTTCACTGTGACATATTAACAATAGATAAATGCACAAAGCAAGGGAAATTAGCAGCAGAGAACCTTTGCCATCTGGCAATCCAGTAGTGCCAACAGGGAGCCCATTGGAATAAAGTGGCATTGGGGTTGGATAAAAACATTTTCTTTTAGCATCTGCAGGAGGTGCAGCAACTCTTTTCCGTTTCGATGTTGCAGCAATTGAAGATGTATGACTTCCACCATGCATGGCTTCCTGTAGCATGCGTACTAACTCCTCCCTGCCCCGGCTCGATACAAGTTGAGGTAAAGGTTCTTTCAACCTCTCTGCAGATGATGTCCTTGTGCTTGAGACATCCCTTGCAGATGTTATCACGGAGACATCTGCACCATGGCTTTTGATGCTATTTTTGCTGCTACTGTCGGTGATTGCTGTTGCTTTGCCAACCCTCTTTTTCAGGCCCACAGGTAGCAAAACAGATTTGGAGACTTTTCCTGTATTCTTGTTAACAGCGTCTGGAATTCTTGTATTCAATAACTTGATGTTTTCGGATGGTAGAGGTTTGCTATGGGATTTAGGACTCTGATTGTTCCGATTATGTCGTGCCTTGGAACTATATGCCCCTGATGACAGAAATCAGAGTTCAATACCAGAGAATAAAACCTGAGCATCATGCTTGCCACAAGATAGGCTGCATCAAAAATATTAAATAGGGCAAGGAACCTTGATCTTTCCATAACACACCAATTATTAAACTAGAGAATATATCTATTTAGCAAATCTCGAGCATCAATGTAGCATAGAAGTTAACTGTTACATGATTACATTGTAGAAGATTAAAACACTCACCAACGGTCCCATGTTTTTTGCTCAAATCCTGTTGAAAATAAAATAATATAAGAGAATTACTACCAGGTAGAGCAAACAAAGTGAAAATACAAATGAAGCAATGAAGACTGCACTATGAGGTTAACTTACCATCGCAAGATTGAAATCAATAAGGTAACCTGCGTTGAACTTGCGGGAGAAAAGAAAGTTGCCAGGTTTAACGTCTCTGTGGACTATTCCCTACAAACATAAGAAGCATCATAGATATTTTTCTCCTCTCACTATTATTGTTTCAGTGATGACTAGCATTCTGATTGTATAACTTACCTGCTTATGTAGGCCAGCAAGTGCTTTGAACAGGCCATAGGCATACCACTGCAGCTGAGTAATGTTTATCTCTTTCTTCAAGGTCTGCAGATTAATGTAAAATGATGCTGCTCTGTTGAAGGTAATAATCGTCACAGTCAACTATATTAAAGTTAAAAAGCTACCTCAGGCCTATCATGCTCAACATGCTGCAGAACAAGGCAATCAGTGTTCCCACTTTTAATTGAACCTACATATTTGATCACACAGTCCATTCCCCTGTGATTAGCAAGACAAGAAAGTATTATCAAGTGCTAAAGAACAGAAGAAATGATCATTAGAGCCCACACAAAAATCAGCAAGACAAGCAAGTATTATCAAGTGCTAGAGAATAGAAGAAATGATCATTAGAGCCCACAGAGAATAGAAGAAATGATCATTAGAGCCCACACAAAAACAAAGAGTTGAAAATCTTAGGCTGATTCTTTTACCTCAATTGCTCCAGCATTTTCAGCTCATTGTTAACGTAATTGATATTGGCATTAGCATGAGGACCTGAAAAAGACCATGCACAAGACACTAGTAAACTTGTGATCAATATGATGATTTGGATTAAAGTATCCCCATTTCCCTAAATAAAATTATCCTTGATACACAAGCATGATAAACTACCTAAAAACAAATAATAATAATAATAAGTAATATAATCTATAAATTTCAGAGAAGTCCATCCAGCTATCAGTGCTTTGTAGGATTACCCCTATCTTTGGGCAAACAGATAGAATGACAGGTTCTCAAACTGGCCATTGGCCAAATTCAAAGGACTTTGATGTCAAGTACCGTTGGTGTACACTCTAAAGTGACATCGGGCAAGAAAAGATGTACAAATTTTGGGATATTTTAAGAGCATAATGACTGAGAAGAAAATAGTTACTTCTAAAATGGCAAGATCGCACAAGCTGCTGTCAGCACTATTAGAATTTAACACTGATAAATGACACTCTCTTCAGCTACTATGCTTCCAGTAACTTCAGCTATTTGTTTACATAGTTGAGCTGCGTGAGTACCTTCTTTTGAATAATTTCTTTGAAAACGTTTTATATGGTTATCTCAAAGGAACAAGGACCATGCGTATTTTTTGCTGATTTTTAAGGCAACAATTCCTATAAAGAACTAATATCATTCGATACATACCCTTTTGCTCTTGAACTATTGAGCGATTAGAGGAAATATTTTAAGTATTTTACTTTCTCGAAGCAAAAAACTAGCCATAGTATCAAGAGATCATAAAACTGTCTAGTTACTGAAGAAAGATTAGATTTATAAGCTACTCATAAAACAACAATAAGAAATAGGATGTAATTTAGAATGGATGTGTAAATTGGAAATAAAAACAAGACAGCTATAAAGACAGTACATTTGATGGCGAATGGTACTCCATCAGCTTTCCTTCTTGCCCTGTAAACAGTGCCAAAACCTCCTGCACAAGTTGATAAGAAGACTTGTATCAGAAAATTTTGAGAAATAATGTTCTTATTATATGCAACTTATTGGTTGTCCAAAACAGACACCTGAGCCCTCTTCTTCTTCCACAGTAAACAGTTCAAAGGTTGGAAACGGTTTATGCTCATTATGATCCTGCAAAACATTAATAATTCATTGTTAGTTATTAAGTATATATAATTTCAAGTAAACCACATGCAGAATTTCAGCTAAGAAATACAAGATTTTTAGGAGATCTAGAATACCCTTTTCCTTTTTCCAATCGCTGCCTCCCTTTCTTTAGCATTTGAGTTCTGGTCACTATTGCCCTTAGCTTTTTGCTTGTTTGAGATTCGGTCCTTATTTCTTCCATGTTGCTCTTGCCTTTTAGGAAGATACTTGTAGGTCTCCTTCGTTGGGGAGATGGTTTTTCTCTTATCATTCTTTTCGTTCTTACTAGGTATGGCTATCGATTTACTTCTAGTAAGTTGATTCAACAAGTCTCCCTGGCTTGGCAGGAGATATTTTTGTGGTGTGACTGCATCTAATTGCACATCATTGGGTTCGGCTGCAGTCTTTTTAGGCTCTGTATCAGCCGCTTCATTAGAGATGGATTTAGCAGAAGGAATTTCCTTGCAGCCTCCCCCCCATTCACCAAAATCATGTAGCAGGATTTCCATTCGTGTACTATTATCATCCTCATTCAGTGACTCGCAAACAACATTCTTGTTCTCAGTTTGTAACATCTCTGTACCATCTACTTCTAACCTGGGTATGATACTAGCTGTATCAGAATCTACAATATTTACAACATCAACATTACCAATAAAACTTTCTCCAGAGTTAGTCATTGTATCCTGTAGAAGATAAATCTTTGGTTGTGGAAAAGAATGCACCATTCCTTCAGCTTCTGTAGTTCTCAGTATATGTGGAAACCTTCCAGGTAACAGGAAATCAGATGTACACATTTTTTCCTCTAAACAACCAACCCCGCTTGTGCATTCATTATTCTCAACCTCATATGCTAACTTCCCAGAATTCAACTTTGGAAACACTGAAGTTCCAAACGTAAGACTCTTTGGTTCCGACCATTTATATAAGGAGGGCGGTGAGGAGCTGGAAGGTATCTCATTACCCTGCAACATTGTAGGAAACTAGGAATATATGTCAATGAAATCAGAGGACCATTCTGCTCATCAACAAGGAGGTAAAAAACAATCAACGCTGACAAAAGGCAGTCAAAATTGAAGTGTCAACCCATGAACATAAATCAACATACGAACTTGTAACCAAACTGAGACACAATTGCCAATATTTCTCGTTTTAATATGCCATCACTCCGTCCCAAAAATATATAATATGTGTGTGTATAGTTGAAGGTACACAGTATAAAGCATTTGGAGGAACATTAATTGAAGCAAAGCATCGAAATTACCTGACTATGCACATTCCGGAACTCGCCAGTCATTGTAGTCAACATCGGAGTTAGTCCGTGCTCCTCTGCCATCAGCACATTCCAACACAAAGAAAAAACTATAAGTGGAAAATGGATAAACGAAAAGAATGAAGGGGGGAAATCAATGAGCCAACAAGAAAATTTGAGCATCAAATTAAAAAATCTTACCATCAAACCCTAGTGAATAGCATCTCTTTCTCATAGGCAAACAATACTCCAAATTCGATACTAATCTCTTCCTTTTCCTAAAATACGTCCATCCTATAACTTGTTCCCTAACACAAGGCAGTGGCCGCGGCACAAACGGTGGCGAATCAAAACATCTCAAAATCACATCGGAGTTGCCGGTGAATTGCGTCAATGCAGCAGCTCCTATTCGAGAAATCGTGACAGAGAAATCCTCAGCGAGTCGGAGAGGAGAATTAGGTATTGAGCAGAGATAGCGAATGAAGTCCGGTGTAGGTTGAAACAGCCTAAAACTCCAAGCCAGATCAGAGTGCTCCGCCGCGCGCCCGTGGCCGAGCAACATACCCAGAACGTACCAGGCGGCTGCGGCGGCGGTGGTGGTGGTGATCTGGAGGCTTCGCTCGGAGTTCTGCGGCGGTTCCTTCATATGCAGGCAGATCTCAGGATCCATGTAGTCGGAAGTTCCTCAGCAGTCTACGAAATAATCTGGAAAATAGTTTTATGTGTGGGAGGGCGGTTGGGCGGGCGGGAAATGAATTAATAGGGCAGAAAATTAAAATTTGACACGTCACGTGCAGAGTTCCCGCCGAAGTTGCCAACAAACATATATGATTTGTTTAGATAGGAATTTTTAAAAATTTGAAAGTTAAAAAATAAAAATAAAAATAAATAAATAGTATTTAATTTGATATTTTATAAAAAAAAATATATTTGATATGATATTTTTAAAAAAATAAATAACGCCAAAATAATTAAAAATATGTTATGTAAACAGAGTCATATGCAATACAAATAAACTTTATTAAATAATAGGTATACTTATTTAAGTATATATCAAAGGATTGTAATATTTACAAACATTTTGATTTTGTTTAAACTGATTTTTGAAGGTTTTTAAAATTTTAAATATTATTTAATTTACTACACCCTCAATTCACACATAAAGTATTATCCTTATTTTTTTGGTGTAAAAGGAATGGTATTATGCAAAAATATGGATATTTGTAAAAAAAAGTTAGATATTTAATAAAATATTTACTTTGTAATTAAATGTTTTAAAATACAAATATGTATATTTTATAACGAAACAGAAAGAATATTTTGTAAAAATACATATTGTTTTAATTTAATTTAATATTTTTTTAAAAACTAAATAATACCAAAGCAATAAAAAATGATAATGAAAACGGAGGCAAACCCCGTCGTAGTCAAGTCAGTCATGCACGTGACGAGAGAGAGAACACGACGAAAACAAAAACGAACAAAAGTTTTGGAATCAAACAAGTAATACTCTCTCTCTCTCTATATATATATATATAAGAACATCTCTCTCTTCATCTCTCTCAATACACAACATCAACGCCGCCGTCAATTACTTCATGGGGACATCTCCGGCGGCGGCGGCGGAGGTGAATGGAAGTGGCCGGCGGAGGAGGAAGAGAACCAAGAACAAAGAGGAGGCAGAGAGTCAGAGAATGACTCACATTGCCCTCGAAAGGAATCGGCGCAAGCTCATCAATCACCACCTCTCCCGTCTTCGGTCTCTCATGCCCCAGTCCTATCTCCAAAGAGTCAGTCACTCACCTCTTCTTATTCTAATTGCTCAACAACGTAACACCATCAATTCAACTTTAATTCAACACCTACCCAGGGTTGGTTTTATTTATTTATTTATTTATTTTTATTTTTTTTTTGAGGGGGAGTAAAAATTATTGGTGCCAGATTAACAATGGCATTTTTAAAACGAAAAGATAATTGGTTTTAATTAGTCATATTTGATTCCAAAACAGTGCTTCTTCTTGTTATTACATATCCCTTCATTTATCGCTCTCTCTGTGTTTTTGGACAGACATTCATGTCTTAGTTCTCTCCAAGAAAGGCCAACCGCATATGACAAATCATAGTTTCAGATAACATAACATTAAAATTAACCCGATTTTGAGGGCTCAACAACCGTGCCTGCCGCTTTGTTAATTATATCTGTTACTTCATATATTTATTTATTCAATTTAAATCATGAGCAATATATATATTATTCTTGTTCGATTTGGTACAATCCAGTTTGATAATAAATAGAATGTCGTTCGTGAATGTGTCTTCTTCTTGTCCCCAATAATTGCAAAATTTAATTTCATTCTGCCCAAACTCACCCAGTACTTGTCGTCGTCGAAAAACATTAATTGCTTCCCCTTCCCAACAGTAGTCAAAATTAAAACACTGTTCTTGTTCTTGTTCTTCTTCTAATTTAATTAATTTATTTTTTTTAAATAATAAAATAAAATTAACAATTAAATTAATTAATATATTGCAGGGCGACCAGGCCTCGATCGTCGGCGGCGCCGTAGAATTCGTAAAGGAGCTGGAGCACATTCTGCAGTATCTGGAAGCCAAAAAACACGCGTCTCCGGAAAACCCCGGAGACGGCGGCGCCGACGGGGGCACCAAGGCGGCGCCGCCAATGGGCCGCCAATTCGCCCAATATTTTGCATACCATCAAAATCAATGCGGAAGCAGTAATTCAAAGTACACGTGGCAAGGGAGGGCGGCGGAAATCGAGGTGACCCTAATTGAAAGCCACGCGAACATACGGATCCTGTCGCGGCGGCGCGTGCGGCAACTCTCGAAAATGGTGGCGGCGTTCCAGGCGGCGCTGCTGAGCATCCTCCACCTTAACGTCATCTCTGTCGACGTCGACGCCGTCGTCCTCTACTCCGTTAGCGCCAAGGTACGTACGTACCTTTCCCCTCGCATTTATTACCCCTCTTGTCTGTATATTTATATGTGTGTCCTTGTCTTCATCGTCTAATCTGGACCGTTGGATTAGGAGCTTGATGATGGAAGAAATGCACACCATAAAATTATGAACTTTGTCTTCCTTGCCAAAACACATTACAATGTTTATATGCATACAAATTGTGTGTATTTGTATATACATGTATGTATGTGTGTGGATACGATACAAAAACTTGAACTGTAGGAAAATGACCTAAGCCCAGCAAAAGAATCTAGCTCTGTCATACAAATTTATTATTTTTTTTTTTATTGTCATTTAAAATTATTCATATTGTTTTAGTAAAAAATATTATTTGTTCTATTTTTTATTTACATTAAAAAAATATATATTTATTTTTATCTATTTCTTTGTAAATACCTATCCGATCAAACGGGCTACTACGGAAGGAGTAATAATGATAATAGCATTTATTATTTACTATAATTATTATTTTCTTTGTTATTTAAATTTATTTTTATTTTTATTTTTTGTCTATATTAAAAAAATATTTTCATTTTTTTCAAATAAAAATTCATTATATTTTTATATTTAAAAAAAAAAACAATTTTATTTATTTTTATTACAATTTGTATCCGACCTGAGCACAAATTTCACATTTGCAGGTTGAAGAAGGAAGCCAACTGAAGTCAGCGGATAAAATCGCAGGAGCAGTTCATCACATCCTCGGAATAATCGAAGGGGGTGGGGAAGAAGCTAATCCTATCTTATCTAGGTACCCCTAAGCCTGTAATAATCCTATTTAAGATATAATAGTAGTATTATTATTTGTATTATGGATTTATATATATATATAATGCTGAACAATTAATGTAAAATCATTTGAAAAAACATACATATATAAATAAGTATAATCAAGTACTCTTTCATTTCAATTATTTTTAATATTTTATATTGAATGCGGGATAAAAATGTTACCCTCGCTTCAGTAAATATATTTTTTTTTAAAGGCAAATTTAATTTACCAAAGGTAATAATACTAAGTCCTCTTTGTCAGCAGATATATTTTGCTATTTAAAGTTAATACTGTATATCAGAAAAATATTAAACACTTTATTAATTTAGTAAATATGTTCTACTCTCTCCCCTCCGTCTCAAACATTCTGTAATATTTTTTAATTTTTTTTTTTATATCTCAAATATTTTTCAAAGTATAAAATAGTTAATTATACTTAATCTCTAACCCTCATATCATTCAAATAAAAAAATAAAATATAAATTTATCTATTTATCATATCATTTAATTTCTAAATTATCCTACTTAATGTTATCTATATAAAAATTCGTACAAAAAACAAATATTGCACGGAAAGAAACAAACAACCAATTAAGAACAAAGTAAGGACCGCATGAATTGATGCTGTCAAAAACAATTAGGGTGTGTTCGTTTGTAGAATTTTAACAAAATTCTACTATTCATCCAATTTTTTCCTCTCAAAAACATCAAATTAAACACCTATTTTTTATTTTTTATATTATACTAAAAATTAATTTTACATTCAAAACATCACATCAACACCTATTTATATCACATCATACAACAATTCAAATTCAAAATTTTTACTATTCAAATCCCAACTCAAAATCCAAACCCCCAGACAAACACACCCTAGAATACAAGCCTAGAGATTTGTTATCTATGTATTTGAATTTAATTATATATATATACTTTAAAAAAAAGATTTAAAATTGTACACATTAAATAATAAAAAATTTATTTTGAGCTGCAAACCAAACAATCCCTAATTCTCTTTACATCTCTCAATTTTTATTAAAAAATAATTTCATGGGATGGTTTGTTCACCCAACATTTTAATCTTAATAAAAATACTACTTCCGTTCGAAAAATTTAATTTATTTGGGCTCGACATGAAAATTAAAAAAAATAAATATTTTATTGAAAAAAAGAATATAGTTGAAAGTATTTTTAGAAATTTAATTAAAAATTAAAAAGAATTGAGAGATAATGTAATAAAATAAGTGATATTTATTGTAAATTAAATGTTGGATGAAGGGTAATAATTATATTAAATGAGAATAAATTTGGCGGATAAAATAAATAATATACTTTAATAATAATAATAAAAAAAAGATTTTAAATCAAAATCAAACACATCCCAAATTTATCCAAGTCCATGTTGTGGGAATTTCATAATGGGCTGAGATTCTAATTACTTAAGCCCAAGTCCACCATGCAATAACATTCAAATTCCTCTTGTATGGAGACTCAATAATTACTCCCTCCGTCTCATGTAATATGAGTGTATTACAGTAGACATGAGAATTTAGATAAAATATAATTATTAAGTAATTAAAAAGTGTAGTAAAAATAATTATAGATTAAGATTAAAATAAGTAAATAATTTAATTAAAATAAAAATATTATAAAATTTAAAATGCGTGTATAATTATTTTTCCAAAAATAGAATGGACAAATTATATGGACTGACGAAAATAGAAAATATGAACAAATTATGTGGAATGGAGGGAGTATAAATTAGTAACATATTTATATAATAATAATTAATAATATTTTTTTATTTGGTAGCAATGTAACATTTTGACAAAAAATAAAATAAAATCAATATTTTATGTCAATGTTACAAAACACATGAACAATATACCATGGAAAATTTTATAAATAAATAATTTGATTTATATTTCATATAAAAAAAATAATAAACAATCCAAATTTCACAATGCAATAGTTGAATTCTTAGAGAAGAACCATCTCTCACTTGAATGTGATCTTTCCATCGTATACAAAATGGCCCTTCTAATGCTTGCATCCATGTTCCTATCTTCTCGGCCGCCACCGTCACCGTCACCACCGCCGCCGCCGCCATTGCCGCTGCCGCCACCGTCGTTGTAACACTCATTGTTGTGAAACGCAACGCCCTCGAAAACGTCAGACATCAATATTCGTCGGTCATAAATGCAATCCATAGACACTGATCTTCTTACATGTCGAAGATCCCGGCCCTCTTCTACATCTAAAATATCGACCAATATCTCCCGGGTCCTAATCCCGGCCTCCACACTCCCGGCATTCTCGGCTACGCTGTGGCCCGATGCTTCTCCATTCGGAGAAACATCGAGGCCCAATAGAGCCGGCGGGGAATGCGGCGGGACAACGGCAGCCACATTCGCGCGGCATAAGGGACAATTAGCGTGCGATCGTAACCACGTATCGATGCACGTCACGTGAAAAGCGTGACCGCATTTCGGCAAAAGCCTTAACCGATCACGATCTTCGAACTCGCTCAAGCATACGGCGCAATCATAATTGCAATACGTAGTTGGACTCAACACGGCCGTTTTTCTGTACTCGAACACTTCAATCGACCTTATCACTGCATCGTCGAGACCGTTCGATGTCGCGACGAACCACGGCTCATCCCTACGGACGTCACCGAGACTTCCGTTCTCGTCTCCGCCTCCAGCAATGTCTCGCTGGCGGCGGTGCCGCCGCCAATACTTGGATACGATGGCGTAGTAGCTTACGAGAAGGAACGCGGCGGCTAAAATGCAGATGATGGTGATGACGAGTGGCGAGAAGTTCGGACCGGAGATTTCGCCGGAAAATTCGTCGGCGGCGAAGGGCGGCGGCGGTGGGAAGTCGATGTAGCACCATTGAGGGCAGTACAAGGTGCAGAAGCCTTGAGAACAGTCCTTATTGTTTACATATTGCGTCGGCGAGGTTTCGCCGCCGACCGGAACTGTATTCATCGGCCGGTTATCGGTTTCCGATGGGCGATCGACGGCGGAGGCCGTCGCCGGAAAATGAAAAGGGAGAAGTTGCATGGAATGGAATTGGAAGTGAGTGAATGTGTGCGCTTTTAATTTTGACGAGTCTTCCATCTCTTTTAAGGGTTCTTTTCTTTTTCTCTTTATTTTAGATAAAAATATATTTTTAAACTTAAATATATAAAGTAGGAGTGGTATGAATTATGTAATTACATTTTAATATTTGTTTAGATATAGGTATTAATGCTATGTTTTTTAATTGAAAATAGAGTTATGATTATTTAGGCTTTTAAAAATTATTCACTCGACATTGTTTCTAAAACTACATATTATTATATTTAAGTATTATGTAAAATAGAAGTATTCAGAGGTTATAGGATTTAATTTGGTTTATTTTATAACAAGTACATGATTGAACATGCTCATTCACTGTATAAATAAATTTATTACGCTGAAATCAATAATTCGTTATATACTATGTAAAAATCACTATATATATGTATTGTATTATTATGTGTTGTCTGATATATATTGTTTATTTTTATTAAATATGTTGCCAGGTCAAATTGCTAATCTGATCAAATAAATACCAAAAATAAATAAATAGTGATAATTTTGAATTGAAATGAAAATTAGAGTATATAGTTTTGGTGGGCCCTCTCTTCTCCCTCGTCCTCTTCTTCTCTTTTGTTTCTTTGTTTTGGTTTTCAAACCAAACAAGCAGTTCGTAATCCTTCGTGTTGTTATTAAAGTAAAGTTAGTTTGGAATAAATTCTTTATTTTATATATATATATATATATATAATGTGATGGTGATGATAAATTTCCAAATCCGAAAGCAAAGCCACCAACTTAGTTGAGCCAACCAAGAATATAATAATAATAATAATAATAATAATAATAATGTGTGACTTTTTCAATTATTTAACATGTTGACGAACAAACAGTTAGGGTGTGTTTGTTTGATGGATTTGGATTAAATTCCACTATTCATCCAAAATTTTCTCCCAAAAAACATCAAATCAAACACCTATTTTTCATTTTTTATATTATACTAAAAATCAATTTTACATTCAAAACATCACATCATCACCTATTTATATCACATCATACAACTATTCAAATTCAAAATTTTTACTATTCAAATCCCAACTCAAAATTCAAACCCCCAAACAAACACACCCTCAGTGAATATTATGTGTGTATATATATTCCTTCCCTGGTTATAATTTTTTGTGTTTTTTTTTTTTTTTGTTTTTAATTTATGTATAATTTATTTATAATAATCAATTTAATTTATCAAAAAATTATTATTTTTATTTTAACAAATAATAATTGATTTACTATTATTCTTTTATTTATCACAACATACATTTTTATAGATTATTTAATAAATTTTCTTTTATAAAATTTTTAATTTATTTTTATCTATCCTACTTTTTAGATTAAAATATTTTTATATTTTAATTTCTGCACATAAACAAACTAATGTAATTAGTTAAAATGGAAATAATATATGATAAATGATATTTCATGGGGGTAGGGTGGGCGTGGGCAGGGTGGGGGGTGGGGGTCCGGGTACCTTACTTCAGTGGAATAATGATGAGCCATAAACTGGACTGTGAGAAATAAATTTTGTCTCGATCGACCGATGCCTGTCAGAAACGAACCTTCTTCGATATTCTTGCTCTCATTTTTAAACTTTTGTTTTTATTTTTTTTATAACATGCGAATTCGAAATGCCTATCCGACGAATGGATTTTGAATAAATTTTCCATAAAATCTAATAACTTGCAAAATTTTTATTTTATTTTTTATTTTTATTTTTTCACTTTTATTTTAATGATATTTTAATTTGTGAGGTTTTTTTTATTCTATAATTTGTCTAAAATATAATAGACACGTGCTTTATTCGATAAATAAGCTTTATTTTTCTTTTACTATGGCTTTGTTTTTTGGAAAATCAAATTTAAATTTTCACCATTCAAAAGTTATACTCCCTCCGTCCCAAAATAAAGTTACTATTTCCTAATTTAGTAACTGTACTACCTATTTAACATAATAAATATGAACTTACAATATATTACACAAATATCATTACTTTTATATTACACAGGATATTTTTGTCTTTTTCGTTACAATCCAATATAATACTAATATTAAAAAATTTACGTACAAAAATTAAATGTCACCCTTCCAATGGAACGGAGGGAGTATAATAATTCTCTATAACAAGAAAAAAATTACTTTTTTTTTAATAAAATTATAGTATGTAAGAAATTAGGCCATAAGTTCAGTATCGGCCTATGGGAGATGGGCCGGGCGTAAAGCCCAACGATCCGTTACAAAATTTAATATATTATCTACTACATTGTCAAAATTTAACAATTTTTTAAAAGTAAAATAAAATAAATATTATTGGTAATATAGAAGAGTCAACAAACAATTAAAAAAAGTCAAGTTTTAGTAGAAGCAGCGAGACATTTATCGCTTGAAGGCGAAAGTCTCGGGTTCGATTCCAAATATAAAAATTTAAGTAAAAAAATAAAAATAATTACAAATAACTATTTACAATAATTTAATAATAATAATAATAAAACGTTAAATGGTGCATTGACCCTCAACGTGAAATGTAATAATAGACCAAAGATTTATTGGGTCTTAAATGGACATCAAATTGGACTGTCGATGTTTTTTTATGTGTATAAAATTTGGTGAAATGACAAAAACATTGAATAGTACTACTGACCTTCAAAATGATTTTTTTTTTTTTTTTAGTCTAATTTGCAATTATGGCTATTCTAATTTTCTCTTAAAAATTAGCTGATAGCATCATCTCCAACCTACTGCATAATATCAAAAATGGGGGAGGGGCTGCAGGAATCCACGGTGGAGTAACACTGTTATTCCACTCAAAAAATGGAGTGGAGTTTTTGTGGTATTTTTTATATTTTTGATATTTTTTTGGTGTATTGTGTAATTTTAATATTTTAGTAGATGATATATAATTTTATATTTTAAAACGTTGTATGTAATTTTATTTTTTTTGAAAAATAATGTATAATTTTATTTTTTAAAATGATATAATTTTAGTTTTTGGAAAGTAATATATAATTTTATTTTTTACATTGATATATAATTTTACTGTTTGAAAAGTGATATGATTTTTATTTTTTTAAAAGTGATATGTAATTTTATTTTTTTAAAATAACTTGTAATTTTACTTTGTAAAAAGTTATGTTTAATTTTTATTTGTAATAGTTATTAATTATAAATGTTAATTTTTATATATGTAATTTTTAAATAATTTATAAATTATATGTGCATGGATCTAATGTAAAAATAAATTAAAATTGGGGTGTAATTTATAGATATGAAAAGTTATATAAAATAATATAAAAGAGGAATATATAAAGGATATACTTTTTAGACTAAAAATTGAAATTTATGGTTGAAGTAAAATTACTTTACATCAACCGCACTTTTACTGTAGTAACTGCAAAAATGAAGTGGAGGGTTGGAGATGGCCTAGTTACTTTATATACTTTCATCCATTATTTATTTATCTATTTTGTAATTTAAATTTATTTAAAATTAATCTAAACTGTTATAACAATACCGTAAATAAATTTATAGAGGTAAATTTTTATTTTTTTTTGGTTGTATTGTAGTACTTATTAACTTTATCTTATTATTAATTCTAACAGTTAACTTTTGTATATGAAAATATATTATTATTATTATAAATTTCTAAACCTAAAATCTAAGCACACATAAATTTATAAAAGTCAAAGCACAATGAGGAATAAATCTAGATTAATTATGACAATAATATGTGAATAGGTAGTTTGACATAAAATAAAATTTTAAAAGCAATACCCCCTTTGTCCATAAATATAGTCTTAATTGAGTTAAACACAAGATTTAAGAAATATTAATATTATATTGGTAGTTAATAAAAAATTTTGGATAAAAAACTTTTTTTCCATTGTGAGTGTATTAGTGTAAAAAGTAGTGACAATTGTGTAATAAAAATGAAAAAGTAGAGGTCATTTTATAATTATATGATTATTTATGAAAATAAGATTATTATTTTAAAATAAAAAAAATAATAAACAAAACTATTGTATCGAAGGAGAGAGTAATGCACAATAAATCCATTAAATGCTAGCAGTGTCCCAACCACCACTTGGATGGTTTTCAATTAAATTGGTCCAATTGATAATATATATAAAATATATATATATATATATATATATAATCAATATGTCCCACTTCAAATACAAACATTGTTACAAAAAGCTTTCCCAAATTTGACTTTGGAAGCCCTCAAATTCATGACATTGGTTGAAATTTTATAACCAAAATCCACGTAGGCTTCGATCGAATATTATGAATTATCAGTTTGGTTGTTGATTTGGGAGTTCAGTTCTATTTTGGAATTAATAAAATTTTAAATTAAAGTAATTGTTTGAAAATAATATAAATAATCATCGATGTAATATAAAAATAAATATTTAATTTAATATATTTTTAAAAAAAATAATGAAATCGGAAGGCAATATATAAAAACAATAATTAAATACATCCTATAGTGTCTTTGATTGACATACATACTATTTTGTTCATTTGTTATATTATTATTATTTTGCAATTTTTATTATATAATTCATACACATTTTTTAAAATAAAAGTATATCATAAAATCGCTGCATTTATTAATGTATTGATACAATATTTTGAATGTAAAATTAAATTTTATTGTAATAATATAAATAGAAAGATTTGATATTTTTTTTTTAAAAAAAAGTTAAAAATAATAAAATTGAAAATAAAAATTCACAAGTAAACCCACCCTCAATCAAAATACGTCCATGCTTGATTTTAATGCACAAAAAATTTCTCAAAATATATTATTGACAAAATAATAATAATAATAATAATAATAAATAAATAAATAAAATCAATCAATGGAGAAGATGCATTCCCATCCCCAATCCCCATTTATTTTATGAGTCGCCCCCTGCAATTACACGCAAATTAATAAGACATCCATGACGGATGTTGACCCGCCCCAGAATCCAACGGCCACCATTCAATCCGGGCCCACATAAAAGAACATCTAGAAAATCCCCCCAAGGCGGGCGGCTTGACCTAATCCACCTGTCTCCCCTCTGCCTAATCCCAGCCCGACACGTCATCCAACCTTAAAACGACACCGTTTTAGACACCCACGTCATCCAACCTAAAACGACACCGTTTTAGACCCCGTACTCACCCCACCTCACAACATTCCAAATGTGGCACCCCAATTCACGAACCTATCACAGCACAATTTCTGCAATAATAATAATACAAATACCACAAAACTATTATTGGTATTATTATTATTACCATCATTGATTTCGATTTTGGACACTATTATACATTACATACATTTTTGTACTGTAATATAGTATCATGTCTCTAAAATTCACCTATTCACGGAGTGACCTGTTTCTAACAGTACCAGAAGAAGTAGTAGTATTGTAAAAACGTGACCAAGGAGAGAAAGAGACAGTACCAGAAACTAAAATTAATTAGTAATTTCGAGCTTCAGAGAAATCGAACAAACTCCATTACCATGGGCAGTCGATCCCACGAGCTCCTCGTGTCGTGCAGCACGTACTGTTAAGAACGAACACACTGCCGCCGGACGACGTCGTTTCGGTTTTCTTGATTCTTTCATTTGTAACTATTACATTCTTGATTCTTCTTCTACGTTTTCGATGTCTTATTTCTTGTATTCTCCATTCCATTCCTGCTTCTATGTACAATGTCGCCCTGCCATTATCCTTTTCTTTTCTTCTTCTTCTTCTAGTTGTATATTTCCAAGGCGATTCCTCCCATGGGGGCTCGATGAGGAATTCCCTTTCTTCTTTTCGCGACGGCGGCGGCGGCGGCGGTGCGAGGTGGAGTCGACGGGGAGAAGCTCGGCGGCGCTTTGTTTCCGGTGCTGCTGCTGTAAGAGTCGTCGGAATCCACCATTGCGGCCGCCGCCGCCGGCCTCTTCTTCTCCGGCGAGTGATGATTCTTCTTGCCGCTGCTCTTCTGGAAATTCTTGGATGTCCCGACAATCTTAAAATCATCGAAATTAGGATTGGATTGGATTGGATTGGATTAGATTTATATAATTGGATAAGAAATTAATTAAGAACATGTAGGAGGAGCAGACCTTGCAGCCGAGGGAGCAGTACTTGAAGGAATCGAGGAGGCTGCGATCGCAAACTTGGCACGTGTTGGTCACGCCCTTGCCGGGGCGGGGCTGCGGCCGCTCGTTCAAGAAGACAACCTTGGCGCTGTTGATTATGTACGTCTGCACCGAGCTGATGTCCAGAAACTTCTGGATTTCCGACACCCTGATCACGTCGTGGTACGACGACCTCCGTATCTGTCCATCGATCAATTGATTAATTATCTCAAAAGTCAACGCCGGCGGCGGCGGAGGCGAAAAACCTCAATTGGAAGAAGAAGTAAAAAGGGGTTGACCTGAATGGCGCGGTGGTCTTTGTGGGCGGACAAGCAGAGGGAGCAGAGAGGGCCATTGGTGCAGTCGAGGCAGTACATATTGCACTCGCTCTTGTGGGAGTCTGCGTGGAATTTGCACTGCACGAAGAACTGTTCCTTCAGCAGCGGCCGCAGCCACGGCGGCCACCGCCGCTCCTCCTCCTCGTCGCCTCCCTGAAAATGGGTTTCCGGTGAGAAACAACAGACGACATATTAAAGTGGTGCAGATAATGAATTAGGGATTCGATTCGATTCCATACCATGATTCGTCGGCTGCTGTTGGGCTTGATCTCACGAACCGCGGGTTCTTGATTATCAATCGCCAGCTTCAATGATTTCCGTGTAATGCAGCAACTGATTAATTGATTCACTGATTGATTGATTTCGAGAGAGAGAGAGAGAGGGAGAGAGAAAGTGGTGGGAGTGAGGTATTGAGAAGAAGAAGAAGAAATGAAAAGAATGGTGGCTGTGGAAAGTTTGAGCCTTTCAGAAAGTGGAGGCGGTGATAGATAGGTGGGTGGGGTGGGTAGGGGTAGTGGGGGTTAAGGGGGTCGTTCTTATCCTCTTAGTTCAAAGAAGTCATACTCATAACCAAACTCGATGGCGGGCTGGGCTGGGCTGGGCCACATTATTGCCCAGCGAGTCGACCCGACCCGAGCCGACCTCATGCTTTCCCTTTCTTGCTTTGTATTGTGTTTTTAAATATTTAATTCATGTCTGATTTTTTTTTTTTATTAATAATAATAATAATATTGTTATTATTATTATATTGGAGGGCAGATGTACGGTGTGGATGATGCCAGCGCATCTTTGTTTTGTGTGGATTCGATTGGTCATTGGTATTGCCAAGTATGCATTCACTCGATATGAATACGTAAGTTCCGAATTATTTAATCTTTTTTATATACATATTTTTAAATGTTACTGTATTGTTATTATTAATATTCATTTTTAAATATATTATATTAAATATTTAATTAATTTTAAACAAATTAGAAATTTCTTAAGAGATTGTTTGGCCTTTTTTTTTTTCTTTTAAAAAATAAATATTAAATAATATTTTAACATTATATTTATTAGATAAATAATACTCCTATATTTTTATTTAAAATTGTAAAAATTAATCTCACGTTGAAACACAAATCAAACAAATCGTAATTATTTTAAAATTTTCTATATTATCCGATATAAAATTACATTATCGTTTTGCGCGCACCCTTAACTTCTCCGTAAATCCTCACCATTGTTGATTGAGGCCCACAATAAACGGACGGTAAAGATGGACCTGGAGCTGAGGGCCTGGGCGTTCACAGGGACCACTCTGGCTCTTGGATGTATGAAGAATAATGTTGGATGGTAGGAGATTTTCTTCTCTATTTTATTTTATTTTTTAAATGAAGGTTAATTTGAAAATGATCATTTATAAAATTAAATAATATTTTATGTAGAACATTAAAAATCTAAAATTTGAAATGTGTTTTTTTTTTTTAATTTATTTTAAGAAAAAAATCTTATATATATATATTTTTTATAAATTATATGTAATTGTAATTAGTACATTAATATTTTATTTTTAATTTTTTAAGTTTATTTCTGTTCATTGGTTATATTTTAGATTGTATGGGTCCATAAGTATATGTTATTTTGTTATTTTGAATTAAAGTTTGCTACATGTTGTAATGCATTTCGTAATATTAATATTTAAATTATATATACTTATTAATTTCTTAATTATAATATGTAACGTATTAAATTTTCAAATAAATAAAATGTTGATTTTAAGTATTTAAATTGTTGAGTATATATATGAATTAGATATATTTCAGATCCTACATTATATGGCCTACTTTTTAGTTCTTGGTTGGTGGATATAAACTATTTATTTTAATTATTTATTTGGTTAATATATATAAATATATATAAATTATTATTTACATTCCTTTTCTTGCTTCCAGAACCATCCACATAAAAAAATTACATTTATTTAATGATGATCTGGCGTTTGAAGTCAATCAAAGGGTAAATAAGTTCTAATATGCAATGACATGAAACAATAGATTAGGCAGTTGGGTTTGTGTCTTAGTCTCTGTGTATTTTCTGTTTTAGACTACAAATTATTGCTTGTTAGGACTTAATAATATCTTCGTATTTTTAGTTAAATTGGGTGAATATCATATCATATCATTTTATTTAATTTTGTATTTGTAGACAAAAAAATTGTGTTATATTTTTATAAACACAAAATTTGTACAAATTATATTTGTATTTAAATTTAATGCGGGTCCTATTCTCTATTCGGATCCTTTGATTCTCTCTCCGGGTCGATCCATTTTTCCAATTTGGATTTGGGTGGCTTCTTTGATCCGAAGGGATTTTGGTCTTCGGTTTGACTTCGCCGGCTTTTGAAGGACTTTGGTATCCATGTTGGCGATTTTGATCGTCGGCTTCGGATTGATGCCTCCTTTGGATGATCCGACGGAATTTGATCTTTGAGGGAGAGATTTAGTGCTCCATAACGCTTTTGGCGGCGTGTCCCTTTGACTTTTGGATCGAAGAGGGCCTGGTTTGCGCCTTTTATGAAGAACGCGACGAACATCTTCAAGCTTTGGGAGCGACTTTGGAGGCTCTTCCTTGGCTTTGATGGATTCCTCGATAGCTTTGAGAGATTTGATCCTTCCTCCGGCTCGGACATACGACGAAGAACGTTAACTTCATCGATTCGTCAACCAATATTGGATCATTTGTCCAAATCGGTGACTTTTCGACGAAGAACGCTTCGAAGGACACGAAGAACAATGAAGAACATTGCAGAGAGTCTAGAGAGACTTACCCTTGCGCGAGTCTTCAAATGAACTTCGGTGTCTAAATGAATTGGCCAAGGCTCCTATTTATAGGGGAGGGTGGCCTTGGCTTCCTTTTCGGATGGTGCCACGTGGATGGAAAGATTTTATAATCTTTCCTTTTCCCTCGGATGCCGTTTTCCATTTTTGACGGATTTGATTATGCACCTTCCTTTCTCGTCAAAATCTTTATATCATTGCCTTTTTTGGAAGATATTAATTTATATACTTCCTTTATTGACAAGATCTTTATATCATTGCCTTGTTTGGAAGATATTAATTTATATACTTCCTTTATTGACAAGATTAATTTATTTTGCTGCCAAATTTATTATGGCTCTATTTATGCACGTAATATTTGTACGATATCTTCCATTTTAAGCAGATTTTGCATTAATGGTTGATATTTATTGTACAAAAATTAACATATGTGCATAATTAAATACCATATATTTATTTTATTGGAATTTTATTTTCTTCCAAAATACATGATATTTAATTGATTTTAGACATATATTTTTAGTGTCTACAAAATGCCCCATCGAGACTTGTTTAAGCCGACGCAAAATGTTTAAGGCGTGAACGAGTCTCGAAACATAGAAAAAGAATTTTTTTTTTTTTTTAATGGCGTTTTTTTTTCTTTTGCCATTTTTTTTTTTTTTTTTTTTTTGCATTTTTTTTGTAAATGGCGTTTTTGCCATTTTTTTTATGCAATTTTTTTTTTTTTTTTTTTTTTTGGATTTTTTTTTTTGTAAATGGCGTTTTTGCCATTTTTTTTATGCAAATTTTTTTTTTTTTTTTTTTTTTTTGGATGGTGTTTTTGCCAAAAAATTATATATATATATACACATCATATATATATATATATATTCTTTCCTTTATTCTTTGTTTTTATTTTTATCTTCCTTCCTTTTTTTTTATTTCCTTATCTTCTTCCTCCCCTTATACATGTCTTTCCATATCTCAATTTTTTTTAGACACTATATAAACCCCTCACCATGAGAGAACTTTATCATTCTCAACTTCTCACATTTTGATTTCTCTCATTCTAGGGTAGGCTTATTTCTCTTGTGTTGTTTTTTTTTTTTTTTTTTTTTTTTTGATCTTTGCTTATATATTTTTTTGTAGACGAGATGGCTTACTTCAAGGATGTCTCCTCCCCCTCTGGAAACGCCGAGTTGGTGATTTGCGAGTTTGAAGGTCAACCGCTGGACAAGGCGACTCGTCTATTGGTGCATCCACCACTCATAGGACGCGGAGCTGCTCGCCCTCGCTTGGAGGTCCCAAATTTCCCAAAGACGTGGTCTCGGAATGTCGCTGGCGGAAAGCATACCTTGCAATCCTCACTTCATCAACACGTGTCAAACGATGTTCTTCCACTTCCAACCTTGGGGCGGCGGATCATGGATGGGGCGTGCGTTTGGAATGGTCTTCCTTCTTTTGATGGCAACTTTTCGTACGTGGCCGGCTATTGGGAATGGGCGGAGGATGTGCTGGATCGATGCGAGATTCCACTAAAGAGAGGATGCATTTACGATGCGGTCTATGCTTCCTTGTTCTCCTACGACTATTCTCCGGAGATCGTCAAGGCCGTTTGCGAGGCGTGGTGTCCCAAAACCAACACCCTTTTGACTGCCGCCGGTGAAGTGTCGATCTCTCTCCGTGACTTGGCGTCCTTGGCGGGCCTCCCCATACTCGGCTCATTTTACGAAGAGGTGGTACCAAGCGCAAAGGAGCTATATGGCAGTAAAGAGGATAGGAAGCTGGTTCCCCGTTCGTGCCGATACCTGTTGCATGCCTATCACCTTCTTCGGAGTCGTGACAAAGGTCGACGAGGCGTCCGCACAACCGACTGGATTTCTTTTTGGTGCGAAAAGACCGTCAAATACGAGCGTCCTCAAATTCGTCGTGGCAAGGAGTCTACTCGTTCTTCTCGGCCTGATGCGACTTACAATCCTACCGGAGAGATTGGTGCCCACGAGCCATGGTCGAAGGCGCAGGAGTCATCTTTTGCCAAACTCAAAGTTGGACGGGAGCACCTTGAGGAGACTTTCCTCGCAGCGTTCCTTTCTTGTTGGCTTTGCATCTTTGTGCTTCCGCTCGACGATGTTGGTTTGATACGTCCTTCGACTTTCAAGATGGCAAGTGTCCTAGCGTCGGGATTTCCAGTAAGCTTGGCCATTCCAGTCTTAACCAGTATTTATAAGGGGCTAAACCAGATCGCAGATTCATCATGTCCTGGGAAAGTTCGGTCGACAATTCCTCTCCACTTTTTGACCGGATGGATCGCTGAGTATTTTCAGACCCACTACGGCGTATGGAAGGGAATCCGTGGTCCGGGGATGGTGAAGCACTCCGGGGCTGTTAGTGCTCGTGCGTATAGAGCAGATGTTGCATGCCGGAAGATTTTACGTGGTGACTACTTTCGTTGGGCTTGCACCATGATCACGAAAGATTTCGACGTACGGTTTGTTGATGACGGGAAGCGCGAAGACTACGAGCAAGAATACTTCATCTCCATTCGCTCTTGTTTTCTGACTTTGCGGGATGGATTTCGATGCTTCGTGGAGCCGTATAGTCCCCACCGTTTTTGCCGTCAATTTGGTTTTTTCCAAGAGATTCCCGGAGTTCTTTTGAAAGACGTCCGTTGCTGCGCTTTTGAGGAAGGCTATCAACATTGGCACCAAA